TCAAATATCTTGATATTTCCTTTAGCACCGTCATGGACGACTACCTTGCGCGGTGCATCTTCCGGTGCTGTCCGGCTCTTCAGAGACTGGTTGTCTTTGCTTGCTTCAAGATTCGCGACGTCCACATCCCCAGGGGACTTGCTCTGGTCGGTACCGTGGGAGCGACCATCAAAATTGACGGAATCACCCAGACCGAGACGATTTGAGTGGCGCTACGGTGGACAGAACATTTCTCTCACATAGTTTAGCGATATGGATGTGCCTAGATTTTGAAAAGGAAAAAGGAAAAGAAAAAGCAGGTAAAACCTGGTTTCGTTTACAGCGGCCTCTGTCCTTGACGACGTAGGACCTCAATAACCTGACAACTTAGCACAAAATAATACTAAGGACATCATATTTCAAGTAGCACTACAATAGATTTGTAGATCTCTTTTCCTTCTCGACGTTGTAGCCAGAAGAATACGCTCGGCGGAAAGCAAAGTTTCCACATAACGAATGGATAATACGTGATATGAGATATACAAATTGCTCGGAACTCGCCGAATTATTCATATAAAGGACTTCATTCATTCAATATCATGTATATTTACGCCAAACACCATAATACATGTAACAATAACCCATATAACTCAAGAAAATGCAAACTAATCCATGGTATTTAGCCCATTCGCTTGCCAATCTCGCTCTGCCAGTTTCGAGTCCTTTCAAATCCATTAGAGGCAGTCTGGTAGTCGAGCATCGCTTGGTAAACTTCTTCCTGTGTGTTCAGCACGAAGGGCCCATACTGAACAACCTTCTGGTCCAGCGGCTGGCCAGCCACAAGGAAGATGCGGGCCTCCTTGTCGGCGCTATCCGGGACAGAGAGTTCAACAAAGTCACCCGTCTGCTCGAATTCAACGTTTGTGAATTCCTTCACAATGCGAGTGGAGTCATTCGAGCCAAACACAGTCTCACCAGCCAAAGTGTAGGCAAACGAGTTCCATCCCTGTGGCAGGGGCTGTGAGATACGACCACCAGGCTTGATGGTGATATCCAAGATCCAGACAGGGGTGTAGGCCAAGTCGCGCACGGAGTCAACACCGTGCGATTGGCCCGAGATGACCTTAATCTGGACGCGGCCCTCATCGACCGTGGCAAGGGGAATCTCCTCGGCGCGCAGATCACGGTAACGAGGCTCACAGAACTTCAGCTTCTGGGGCAGATCGACCCACAACTGCATACCGACATTGGGGCTACCGTCCGGGTTCTCGTGGGGCATCTCAGCGTGCATGATGCCGCGACCTGCGGTCATGAATTGCAGATCGCCGGCTCCGATGGTGCCCTTGTTACCGGCGAAGTCTTCGTGGTCAACACCGCCGGACAGCAAATAGGTGATGGTCTCCTGACCGCGGTGGGGGTGGTCCGGGAAACCGGCACCCTTACCGATGGTGAAGTGGTCGAGCATAAGGAAGGGGCTGAAGTTGCGGAGCTTTGCGGTTCCAATGGAGCGGCGCACACGAGCACCTGCGCCTTCTGCTTGCTCAAGGGCAAGGAATGCCTGTCGGATTGCACGAGGAACGGACATGCCTGTGATGGGGAAGACTATGGGAGTCGGAGTTTCCAAGTTAAGGTGATGGTTTGTCTGATTGGCAATGCTTTTTGTCTGAAGGTACTGTGACAGACTAGGAGCTTGTTGCTGGGTGAAAGTCAGGAAAGAGTCTTTGAGAGAGTCTTTGATAGAAGGGTTATAGGCAAGGAAGATTGCTGTGATGCAAATTAAAAGTGGCAGAAGTAGTTTCATGGACGGAATGATGGCTATTTATATGTGAAGGAAGCGATTGAAAAGAGTAGAAGGTTCTTGGAAAAGAAATATTGTCAGCGTTAGTCAATCTCTCATAAATACTCCGTACTCTTTGTAGTGTCCTGCCCAGGTGCCCAGGTGGTCATTCAATGCTTTGCAAGACATCAGTCAGCCCCAGTTCGACCAATGAAGTGGCTCGGCTTTATTACCAACATCCCCGTCAGCAGCCACTAATCAAAGGAGCTAACCATATATGATTAGTGTTGATACCTGATAAATGAGGTACTAATGCTGAGTTAAGCATTTCAAATCAGGTGACCGGGAAATTTGGGATCTATAAGCTACAAGTAATTCTGCGAGTATAAGATGGATATACTCATGTTACATAATTAATTACAATTCTCTAACTACCTAGGTACTGCATATCCATATAAAAAAGGACCATTATATGTATCTGCTTCCATGTGTTCCCATCGGGACATCCGGACAAGGTACTCCGTGCTCCGTAGTACACAGTGAGTGCATTAGGCGTTATCAGATAAGGCCACGGAGCAGCTGCCGCTCTCCACTGCCAAACCTGGCATGCGAGGACTACCTACTGTGTAGGCATTTCATTCATTCCAGCCTTGGGCTTGTATGCTTCTATCTTGATATACATACACTGATACCCATGTGCGATTGATTTACATGACATACCCTTACCATTGCTGAACTGAAGCTTCTTGCGACAAGCGCCTTCCGCGGGGAAGCTTCAGGATACCTGACTCCACAACACCTAGACTCAACTGTGTTATAATCTGATCTGTTCAAAGAGATGGGTCACTCAGCAAAGCTGTCGCCGTGGCTGGTGCTGGTCTGTGCTGTGTCCAGTGCGTGGGCAAATAAAAAGCCGTTCAACATTAATGACGATATTCTGGCTTATCCCCAGGTACGTTGGATATACCTTACACCGATTTGAGGCAAATCTAACGTTGGATATTTATCAAAGTACCAAGTGACATTCCCCGAGGAGTATGTCCTTGATTCCCACGCTGAAGCATTGCTCCGGTCCCAGGCCAGCCCCAGCGCCAATGATCAGAACAATCCCCAAGTCTACATGGGCAAGGCCAAAGCAGACTCCACCGACCAGCCCGAGGATGTGAATCTATCTTCATTCACCTACGAAGAAATGATACTCGAGAACCGGCGACTCCTCTGCCAGATCCCACGTGTAACGAACGACGAGCATAATACAACGAACAAGGAGAATAGTAAGGTTGAGGAGCAGAAGGAACTAGCTCGGGCAACAGACCGTGGTCTGGAACTCCTACGTGAAATGGAAGGAAAATGCATGTACTATTTCTCTGGCTGGTGGTCCTACTCCTTCTGTTATCAGAAGCAGATCAAGCAGTTCCATGCGCTCCCCGCTGGCCGTGGTATCCCCAACTACCCGCCAATTGAAGACCCCCAGACACATTCCTTCGTCTTGGGAAGATTTATCGGCGACAAAGGCGAGGAAGAGAAACAATCTGCCAAAACAGATGTGGCAGAGCTTCACACAAAGGGTGGCTCCCGCTACTTGGTCCAGCACCTGCGTGGCGGGACCAAGTGTGATCTGACAGGACGGGAGCGCAAGGTTGAAGTGCAGTTCCATTGCCACCCACAATCGACAGATCACATCGGCTGGATCAAGGAACTCACTACGTGCTCTTACCTAATGGTCATTTATACCCCTCGTCTATGTGACGACGTTGCTTTCCTGCCACCACGGCAGGATGAGATACACACTATCGAGTGCCGTGAAATCCTGATGCCTGATGAAGTCACCGAGTGGGAAGCTATTAAAGAATGGTACATGACCAGCCAACTGGCCGATGCTGGTACAGATGCGGATGCTGATATCGCCCAATCCGACCTTCCGGTTATTGGAGGAATTGAAGTTGGAGGCCGTAAACTTGTTGGTATGGAAGGCAAGGTAATCGAAAAAGGACGTGTGGCATCCGCGGGCGAGGAGCGAGTGGAGGTGGTTGCGAAACGCGAGAATGGCGAGGTCCGGAAAATGTCAAAGCAGGTCCTGAAAAAGTACGATATCGACCCGGAGAAACTGGAAGAGATGAAGAATCTACTGGAAGAACAAGCAGAAGGCAAGGACTGGACTCTGGAAGTCGTGGAAAGCAACGGGATGATCAAGTTCCAAGGCGTCCTTGAAGAAGACGAGGAAGACACTTGGAACGACAAGCCGTCAGAGAAACTACACGAAAACAAGGTGTCTGAAAGGTCTGGCCAAAAGCCAAAGAAGCAGGAAACAGAGTCGACCGAAAAGAAAAAGCAGTCAAACAAGCCCGAGAAGAGCGAGGGTAGCGAGGAGACCTTTAAAGATGAACTATGATAGTGTATACTAGATCCTGTACATTTTGATATTTTCTTAATTTTCAAGCCTGATATGAATGATATCGAGTTTTTCCCCATTGGCAGCTAGTAACGCGTTAGTAGCCCACATACCTTGTACGTTGGTTTTACTATAAAAGACTACATACTCATTCTAAAGTTGGTGTATAGTACACTTGGTGGATATCTATACGCGTCCTATCCTAATTATAGACGGCTTTAGTGTAGTTAAACATTTTAAGGTCAGATACAGTCAATTTAGCTACAATCTCACACACCTCTAGGGCTAATATGCCAATCAAGCTAGAATCAAAAACGATATACTCTTGCCCGTAGACGTCTGCCCTTGAGGAGAGCTGAGTGCGCTCTGGATTGAAAAGTACATAATTTGCCGGAGAATCGAAATAACTAAAATACGAGTAATGGCAAGAAAGAAAAGAAGGCAAAAAGAGGCAACAAAAAGGCCAAAGAATTCAGTTGGAGAGAATGTCAAAAAAACCACAGAGCATTAAGGCAACGTGACTGTAAACTCCCTATCGCCTTGGCCCACTTTCCCGCCTCTCCCTAATCCAACCTATTTCCCTTCTCAGCCCTTCCCTTCTCTTTCCCCTCTCATTCCCTTGCGCCTAGACCTTTTATCTACCTCTGCATTCGACATCTCATCCGCATTCCGATTTACACCTGCTCCGCGCACTAAAGAAGCGCCAAGGCTGAGCATCGGCCAGCGTCCCCAATTACCGTCTCCCCCCCAACTACATCACTGCGAAATCTAGAGCTGGCACGTTGACAGGCTGCCATTTGCAGCAAACCGTCATAATAATTGATCGGTGCCGTGGGACCAGTTGTTTCCAATATGGGTTTCATCGGTGTCTACTCGGCCGTGTACGACTACCAGCCACAGGGAGAGGGTGAACTCGATATTCGCGAGGGCGACCTCCTCTACATCTTGGAAAAGAATACGGATGATGACTGGTGGAGGGCGAAAAAGAAGGCTGGGCGGGAAGATGAGGACGAACCTGAAGGCCTAGTCCCCAATAACTATGTCGAAGAGGTGAGTCTCCGCAGATGGAATGCACCGGCGCGAGCCTCGCTGCATGAACAATTGCTGATACTAGATGAAATAAGGCGCAACCATCGCACAGAGCTACAGCCCTCTTCGACTACACGCGACAGACTGACGAGGAGGTTTCTTTCTCAGAAGATGCCGAGCTGATGGTGTTCGACACCTCGGATCCAGATTGGACGTTGGTTGGAACCAACTCGGAGTATGGATTTGCGCCGTCGAATTACATCGAAATCATCGAGGATGCCTCCTCTGCAACGACTGCCCCTCCTCTACCTTCTGTTCAAGCCGAGCCTGCCGCGCCGACGCTTCCGCAGCGGCCGACGCAGACTGCCCCGGAAGAATCCGAGACATCGCCCGCCGGCTCTCCAGTTGAGATGTCTCACAATCCCGCTGCTGCTGCGATTGCCAGTATCATCCACAAGCAGCATGCCCCTGCGGAAGCACCTACCGAGACGACTAGAGATGAGCCCCCTCCACCCAGTCTTCCGGTTCGGCCATCGTACGATCAAGCAGAAGACCGTGAGGAGTCTCCGCCGCCCAGCCTGCCTCGTCGACCACCTTCGGAACCTGTCTCTCCGCCTATAGAACATTACTCGCCTGACCCAACCCCACCACCCCGTCCTCGGCAGGCGGCGCCTGCTATGGGTCGTGATGGGACACATGTCAAAGAATCTCCCCCTTACAACCGAGCAGGTGAGATGACGCCTCGGTCACCTTCTGGCTATCATATCTACAACATCAATGAGATGGTTGAAGTTATGGGCAAGAGAAAGAAGATGCCAACTACATTGGGAATCAACCTGGCGACTGGAATCATCTTCATTTCTCCTGAAGGTGATGATCGGCAGAAAGAATGGAGCGCGGAGAAGCTCACTCATTACTCGATTGAAGGAAAACATGTCTTTGTTGATCTTGTCCGGCCTAGCAAGAGCATCGATTTCCACGCAGGTGCCAAAGACACAGCCCATGAGATTGCAGCGGCACTCGGCGAGATCGCCGGTGCCTACCGGGCAGAAGGATTGCGTGAGGTCATTGAGGCAGGGGAAGGTGGCGGTCAAAAGAAGGGACAGATCCTGTATGACTTCATGGCGCAAGGTGATGATGAAGTTACAGTAGCTGTGGGGGACGAGGTCATTGTCCTTGATGATACCAAGTCTGAAGAGTGGTGGATGGTGCGGCGCTTGAAGAACAACAAGGAAGGTGTTGTCCCCAGTAGCTACGTTGAAATCACAGGATTGGTACCGAAGGCGCCGCCAATGCCTAGCGAACCAGGCCTGTCGACTGTGGAAAAGAACCGGATGGAGGAGATGAGGCTGTCCAAACTTGCAATGAGCAAGTCACGGACGGACTCGATGGATTCATCTGACCGTCACAGCAAGAGAGACAGCAAAATCAAGTCGAAGCCTGATCCGACTAAAGTGCGAAAGTGGACGGACCGGACCAAGGACTTTACAGTCGAAGCCCAGTTCATAGGTCTCCAGGATGGTAAAATCCAGCTCCACAAGGTCAACGGTATCAAAATTGCCGTCCCTGTCTCGAAGATGTCTGTCGAAGATCTCGAGCATGTCGAAAAGATCGCCGGCGTCTCGTTGGATGAGGACAAACCTCTTTCAAGTATCCGACCTCGGGTTGGCATTAACAAGGATCCCAAATCCGGGGCTTCCAAGTCCGGGGCTTCTGTACAACGTTCCGACTACGATTGGTTTGACTTCTTCCTTAAGGCTGGCGTTGGGCCACATCGCTGTGAACGATATGCACAGTCATTTATCAAGGATTCTATGGACGAATCTGTGCTTCCTGACATTACATCTGACATCCTCCAGACTTTGGGTCTAAACCAGGGTGATACCTTGCGAGTGATGAAGGTTTTGGATGCCAAATATGGCCGTACCCGGACAAGTCCAAGGCTCGAAACGTCAGTTTCGGCGGTGAGGAAGTCATTGGCAATGGTGAGGACGGAGGGCAAGGCGGTCTGTTTTCCGGGCCTGGTGGTGTGCTGCGCAACAACACTCGTAGGGGCAGACCTACACCGAACGTTCAAGCTGGAGAGGTTGATCCCAAAGCGTTCGGGCAGGGAGACGAACCTAAGTCACCAGATAGCTCGGCGAGCCCACAACCCCCTGCGGCAGCTGAAAAGCCTGCTGCAGCCGGGTTTGAAGATGATGCTTGGGAGGTGAAACAACCGAAACAGCCTGCTAGGCCATCCGCAGCCACCCCAACTCCTCCACCCGCGGCAGCTCAGGTTCCTCAGCCAACAGGGGCAATGGCGGATCTGACTTTGCTCCAAACTCCTTTGCAGCCGACCCCGGCTCAGCCTACTACTCAGCCTACTAGTCAACCTGCCCCGCCTATGCCTGCCCTACAGCCGCAGGCCACTGCTGTGCAATCACCAGCTGTACAACAGCCTCAGCAAACAGGTGCCACTCCCAGTTTGTTTGCGCAAGTAGCACAAATAGGACAGCATCAACAAGGTTTCAGCCCTCAGCAGACTGGGTTCCAAGCACAGGCCAGGCAACGCCCTCAGGCCCCTCAGGCAATTGGACAAAATTCACTTCTGCCTCCACCTCCGCCTCCACAGCGCCCACTGTCCGCGCCTCAGAATTTCTCGCAACAGCAAAACTCCTTTGGTCCTCCTCCGTTGCAAGCTCAACTGACGGGCATTCCCCAGGCGGGTCCTCCTGTTGCTCCTCCTGGCCAGAGTCTGAGCGAAATAAACCAGCAGCGTTACCAACCTGCGATGCAGCCGCAAGCGACCGGATTTATGGGTCAAAACCAATACCAGAATGGTTTAATGCCGCAGCCAACAGCGTTTACTCCCCAGTCACAATTCGGTATCCAGCAGCAGCAACAGCAGCAGCCGTTTGGTGGCCAGATGGCCCCTCAACAAACTGGGTTCCAGGGACTTGGGCCGCAGCCCACAGGCTTTGGTGGATACGGACAATTCCAACAACCAATGCAGACTGGTATCAACTCTGTTCTTCCTCCTCCACTGCAACCACAACCCACTGGTGCCAATGGCTACGGCAACCAGTCCTACACATCCCCGCCCCCTGTGCCGCCAATTCCACAGCAACCAACAGCCACTCCTCTATCACCACAGAAGACCGGACCGCCTCCCTCCGTCAGATTTGGTGTCAAGCCAGATGGTCCCAAGAAGCTTGAGCCACAGCCAACTGGTCTCAGAGCCAATCTTTCCCAAGCCAGTAAGTGTTCTCTTGCCATCACAGGTGATTGAAGTACCAGGAACTAACCGAATCAACAGCCCCCACTAATCCGTTCGGCTTCTAATCTACTTCTGCGCCCATACTGGACTGGCGTATATAATCCCGGTTTCCCTGCCTCCCTATGTTGCCATGAAGTTTTTGCTCATTCTGAGGGTTGGGATGTTCTTTTCACATATCGCAGCTTGTCGTTTCGCACCAGTACCCTTGGAATCGACACGTGTACATATCATGACCCTGGTCCCCGTTTTGACGCAGCGCGTATTGAAGCTCATGCCACGAATCCTCTTCCTCTTTTCCCCTTGCAAAAACCTCTGCACTTAGCGAGCTATCCATATTCCTGCTCTGTGACAGATCTTATTATGCCTCTCATATCCTGCATTTTCCATTGTCTCTAGTTTATTGTCATATAAATCTGTCTATGGTGGATGCTTATTGTGTGGATGCCCTCTCTTTCTCCCCTTTCTTTTGTCGTTTGGATGTTACTTTATTTGCTTTTGTTCTCTTCCTTGTTACCAGCTCATACATAATCCATGGAGTTGTTAGCAGTTAGCCTGATCTACTTACTTCATGAAGTAAACATTTCTAAGTACCACTACCCATATCGGACTCTTTCCTGTATTGTGAACATGGGGGCATATCGAGAATTTCCTCTTACCTCTCAGCCTCAGATAATGGATGCGTGGTGTAGACATCAGATGCAAGATCCATGGAAGCATCAGTGACCCAACTCAGAAGGGGTTCGTTTTATTACAATCCGAGTAAAAACACAGCCAAGCAGTTGTGTAGTATATTGATATCTCCGGAGTTGAGCACAGCCAGAGGAGACAAACCCGACAGCGCACCGCTTTCCCCTATTTGGTTAATACATTCTGTTCTGTACAGATTCCCGTAGAAAATGGATGCATTCGCCCTTTGGGGTATATATATATCAACATGTCCAATTATACGGTTAAAGCACGAGGGGAATCTTCACAAGATAAACATCCCTAGAAATAACAAAACACCAGATGTGAGCCAGTACACCCGCTTTCCATCACGTCTTTAGCTTTTAAAACACAATCCGTTTCCCAAGAAGCACTGGATAATCACGGCTCATCACCCCAGATGCCAAAGACTGGAAGATCTTCAGCCATATACAGCAGACCGTTATCCGGGAACATCACGTCAGAAAGCGGAGACGGGCCGGACACCGGGGGCGCGCCAGCAGGAATAGTCCCACCAGGAGAGCAACCCACTGGGATGCCCGAGGTAGTTAACGCAGAAATGGCTGCATCGTAGGACAAAGCTGCTGTGGGATCTGAGCCATTGCACAGGGCTTCCCAAACATCGTTGTCGGTTGAAAATTGAGGTTGAGGAGCTGGTTGGGAGGGAACATAGGAGGATGGAGTTCCACCGGCGACCTTTTCTGGGGAGGTAGGGGAGAGCGCAGTTGCAGATGCAGATGAGTGCATATCACTTGGGCCAGTGAAAGGTGGAGCTCCCGGGCCGGGGAGTTGCGATCCTCATCACCGCCCACTTGGCCGAAGAGCTGGTCAACCTGTTTGCTGCGTCTATTCATCCATTCTCGATTCCGCCGGGAAACGTATTCGGCTACAGCAGCGCGGAGGTATTTGGTAATCTGGAAGAAACGGCATGCGTGTGGATCGTGCGGGACAAATAGCCTTAGGAACCGTTCAGCTTTATTCATTCCTTCTTCCAAGGGGAGGAGATTATCGTAGTCGGCGAAGAATGCAGCGCCGAGAACAATCACAGAGTTAAAAACGGAGTTGATCAAGAAGGGTAGTCGACGTGGAAGGGAGGTGTAATGGCTAAGATCATCGACCACGTCTAGACCTCGGAGTGCAGAATAGACACATGCATCGGCAAACAAGGATATCCGGGAGCTACCGTTTCGAGTTTCGGAGGATGAATCGAGTTTGCCCTTGACATACTGGGCAACACGGTATATGAGGAATGGCCGGGTCAACAGGATAATCGACCAATAATATGACCCGAATACATGAGCTGCGGCTAGACTGTTTTCCATGGCTTTGTTTTCGAGCCGCTCAGACTGCGTTTTCAGGATCGTTGGAAGAGTGCGAACCCAAGCCCTGTGCTGGTTCGAGATCGCCTCTGCAACATTGATCGATATGACTTGCTTCATGTACACATCGGTCAGAATCCGTTCGAATATTCGACAAAGCGAAATCACCGCAGCAGAAAGCTGTTGACCTGCTGTCAAATGGTGTTGTGACTCTCCTGATACAAGCGCATCTTCACGTATGTCATAGTCGTAGTCTGAAGTTGCGGGAGGGCGTCCCAGGGAGGCGCTGAGGAATAAATCCATCATCCGAAGACTCTTCCAAACTCGCTCCCTCGCTCGGCGTTCACGTCCGCAAAAGAGCGCGTTTGCATCCTTGCGGTGGATTCCTACCGCATAGGCAGCACGCAGAGCAATGCCCAGATTCATAAATGCACCATTGCGCCTGCATGCGCCGAGCATATACATGGAAACTAAAATGTATGATTGAATGGTGGATATGCTTGGGGTTTCCTGGAAGGCTGAGAACGCCAATTGACGACCGCTACCAAAATATTGTTCAGCTACTGTCTGATCAATATCGGAAACCTGAGCGCCAATAGCAATGACAAGATAAAAGATAGAGCTAACGGTATCTTCGTCACCCGATGGATTTGCAACCCAATTAGCTAGCCGTGGATGGAACTCTTCCAAATCAAATAAGTCAAGGAGCGGGTTTGTTGCAAGCACAAACTGACGAGCTAGTCGTTGGGCTTCATCGTTGCTTGGTGGCGTAACCAGAGCTCGGGGCTGAGCGCTTGGGTTGCTCTGAAAGGCCTCGAGCATTGAGTGCCGTGAGTTGTCCTCGGTAAACTCACATCGGCCAATGGAAGACGTAACAACACGGCGCAGACTCTGTAAAAACGACAAACTCGCCGAATCACCAATATACATAAACTTTCCCTGACCGTCGCGCAGAAGCCGCGCCACTTTTGGGACGGGAGCTGTCCCTTCCTTCTCGTCCTTCTCCTGGCGTTCCATATTCATCCCTTGGTCTTCGAGAGAGTTCAAAAGGCGATCCATTGCAGTTTCGCGCTGCGGAGATGCTGCCATGCGCTCGCTGAGCAACATTGTCGAGTCTTTGGCGTCTGGCTTGAGCAGGCGTGCGGGCCGATCCGAGAAATGGCATTCCGACTCCTTGCGTCTCTGAACACAGATTGTACAGGGTTGTTCACCGTTGCATTTCTGTTTTCGCCGTTTACAGCTGTCGCAGGCTCGTCGACATCGGAGCCGTGCTCCCGGGGTAGTGCTGGCCCGAGGCATACCGATCACCGCGCTCGCGTTGGTGAATAGGTCAGTTCACTCGTCCGGAGTTTTGGAGGTATCCATAAGAGGCGTGAGATATTCGAACCGATTGAGCCGGAAGAGGATTGATTTAAGTCATTGCTGAGGTCTAATATAAAATGCTAAAGATCGTTTGAGTGCGGGCATCTGCTTTCCCCGGACTCCACTATGTGACTAAGCAGACTCGCCCGCCCGGCGGGGCGCCACCCGTGGACCTGCCCAGGTCCCGGGCTGTACATAGATGAACTTGAATTCAAAAGGATATCGCATTGAGATATTGATATGACAAGAATACATGTGCTTCAAGTTTCGAATCCTCGAGAAGATCAGGGCCGGAACGACACTATCTTGCCCCAGGTATCGGCAGTGCCCCAGATGCCACGCCGCAGGCATTCTAACTGCACAATCTGGCTGTGATCCACAAACAGGTTGACATCAATACCGAACTCGCGAACGTACCAACTGAAGACCTTGGGATCTGCAGCTTCAAACATGACACGCTCAGGAGGAAGCTCCTTCATGATCCTCGACACCACATCAGTCCGCCAGGATGTGACGTTTTCGGTGATACCTTCTGACTCGATCATCAACCGCTTCACACCGGCGTCGAGGAATCTCCGACCCAAGTTCACCAATTTGCCAGGGTCGGAGGTCCCAATGGCTTCAAGTCCTGAGGCGGGTGTGTCTCCGCCGGCTCCGAATTGAATCCCCAATTCAGGCTTTGGTTCCAGCTTGTATGAGTGGACTTTATCAATCAGACGGAGCCAGTCATCCTCTGGGATGGACAGAAAACCAGAAGACAGTTCAATGACGTCGAGTCTATGTTGAGTAGTCAGATCTTATGTTCTAGGCTCCGGGGCCTCGAGCTAGGGATGCACGTACCCGAGGTCCTTGCATTTTTTCAAGTAGCGGTCAAACACTGTACCCGGATCGGGGTGTGTGAGGAGATGTTCAGCCCATCCACCCTGAAACACGGAACCTGATGTCAAGAGTATGCTCCCAAATGCGCTAATTTGCTGGTGCAGGACAGTCTTACCGTTGAGATGTACACGCCATGCTCATGGGCAAGGTCAACCAATTCCCGCAGTTGTTTCTCATGAAATAGAGAAAAAGCGCCTGGCTTTGTCTCAGCGCTGTCGTTTCTGGCGAGAACCAAAGTCCTGTGGGGACTCACCTCCGGCAAATTTGAGACCATCTACATGGTCGCCCATCCTATCAGCTGTTGTCAGATGCCATTTTGGTTGAATGGTTGGGACATTTCGGGATATTACGTTTCTAGGACATCTGCTAGATATCTTTTGCCCATGACCTGGTGTAGGTTAGCTCCGTGGGAGAAACGATGAGAAGTATGTGTGCACCTACGGAGTAGTATGGGCCACGGATCTCAGTGACTCCCTTCGTTCTGGGTTTGGCAGGTCTGGGGTTTGACCGCGCGAAGCCAAATCCATTTTTCTTGTCTTGCAGAAGAGTGATTCCTTGATAAGCGTTCGGGGTGGTAGAAAAGTGTCTGGATGTCGACAAAGCAGTGGCCACTGACGGGCGGCTCATTGCACGTCCGATTGTAAGTGGATTAACGAATGGCATATTGAGGTGTTGCTGTACCAGGTGAGATGAAGCCAGATGAAGCCAGGAATGGAAATTTCATATCTCAAATTAAATGTAGAGGGGAAGGGATTGACGTCAAACATACTTCATCGGATTCCCTGAATCTCCATATTACCTAGGTAGGAAGAATATTACATCACTTAAGAAATACTACACAACATATGTACATGTATAATATCATTGTACTATTATATTTGGAATTATAACAGATTGAAAAGAAATATGTATGCATAATGGATACTGCATACTACATAGTAACTATATAGTACTATGGTATATTAAATATATATCAACTAGTGCCAGCTATTAGGAGTTTTGATCAGGAGATATATCCATACTCTGTACATCCTACATACATTTCTACATGTGTACATACATGTAGAGAGGTGCTCTAAGAGGATCCACGGAGTACTAATCATGCCAAGCCCACCAACACACTATCCGGTGTTGGTGTGCACTGCCGGATCCCAGATTTGCAAGATTAGGTACCTTTTGTATGGGGTTGCCATATAAAAGGTACTTAAATATAACATAAATATAACATCAATTTTCTCAACCGTTTAAAAGGGTTAGGGATATAATAAGATATATCCATGTATGGTATAAACGGTGCCCTGATTACATGCTATTTTACTATAGTCAAAAATTACTAGTATATAATATAAGAGTACGTACTATCTCTTTATGTGATATTTATACGTGAATTTTTTAAAAGTGCGCTACCCAACTTCTACATACGGATAATGTAGTTAGAATTGATTTTAGTAGTAGATTGATTTAAATAGACTCATATTAAGCTTCGCCTTTTTTATTTTTCCTTTATCTAGTATAAGACTTGAGTTATGTTTATAGTTATGGTTAAGTACCTTTTGTATGTAGTTGCTATATAAAAGATACTTAATTTGCAAATCTTGGCGAAAAGAAGGGATCTGAGACCGGGTACTCCGTACTTCCGTACTTCCGTATTCCGTGTGTTCCGTACTCCGTGTGTTGGTGGGCTTGGCACGATTATGTACTAGTTGTGTACTAGTTATGCACTATATACTCCGTACTAGGCATCAAAATTTATGTCTTGGCTTCGATGATTTCCGAATACGACAGGAGGCCACATGTGTGTTTCTATATATAATTTTATGATATATGTATAATTTTTATGATACATATCCATATATCTGGTGATCTACCTGTATATCCAATCAAGATCAAGGATCTCAAATTACGGTGTATGGCTGTATCCAGCCATTGCTCGCCAAGACAGCCTTATGGAAACTCATGACATACAATATATTTGTTCGATATACCGAGGATCCCCCAAAAGTAAAAAAGAAAAAGAAAAAGAAAAAGAATATGCAGTTGATAGTTGATTCGCTGTCCCCTCTTGGGCACCTGCCTTGGACAATATTTTCTGTTTTAAAAACAACCAGATGACCTTTGATCCCCCTTCTCTGGTATCTCCATTTTCAAATCCCATTCTTAAAGTACTTGCATATCTATTGCTACTTTTTTCTTCCCTTTTCCTTTGTACTATCTAGGTACTGGTTCCTTTGATACCCATCATGGGAGTTGGAACGGTTATAGAGCCTCTGGTGGTTATTGTTCTCTTGTTTGGAGGCACCTGGATAAATCGCTCTGTCGGATCATCCTCGACTCGGCGCTACAGCCGACGGAACTCGAATGACCTTGGACGAGCCGCTTCATTTGATTCTTTGGAATCGGGATACTCAAGTCAATCAACCAAGGATGGCCTGCTGGGCTCTCGGTTCCACTCCCCACAAGCCCCGGAAGATGGATGGCACAAGCGACAAGTTGGACTCCTGGGGTTGAATTTGGAGGTGTCATCGCCGAATACTATTGTGTTCCAAGACCGCTTGCTCAGTCGGGTTGCTCCGCAAGTTTCCTTTCTTGGTGGAATGTTGGTATTGGGCTTTGGTTTACTGGGTAGGGTGATTTCCTGCTTCATTATTGTCTTAGTCAAACTGATAGCTCACAATGTGTGCAGACGTACCAGCTCGGTCGAGCCTTTACCGCCGTGACTCTCAAGGATGATACCGTCGATGTCGCGAGGAGACACGCGTTGCAACTAATCGTGATAGAGGAGAAGCTAGGGATGTTCTGGGAGATCTTGATTCAAAGACACTTCCTTCGCCAACCCCTTGTCATGCCTTGGATCAATTGGATATACTCCTTCATACACATTCCCGGGACAATCGCATTTCTCGTCTGGCTTTATTACTACACTACCGTGCGGAATCGGATCGATGAGGCTCAGCCCGGAAAGCCCAAGGGTGCTGTAAGCGGGTCGCCTGCAGGCCCTCTTCTATACCAGGCGCGCCGGCGGACTTTGGCCGTGTGCAATCTGCTCGCTTTTGTGGTTTTCACTCTTTGGCCTTGCATGCCACCTCGGTTACTGAGTGACACGGCCCCGACGGGTGAAGAGGCGGATCTAGCCCGCAGTTATGGGTTCGTGGACACGGTGCATGGTGTCAATGGATCGGGCAGTGTTTGGACAGAAAACCGCTTCTGTAATCAATATGGCAAGTGTTGTCTGACGCGAACCCTCACCATAAATCTTTGACTAACTCTCACCAGCGGCAATGCCTTCCTTGCATTTTGGCTACTCTCTGATGATTGGCCTCACACTGATAACAATCCCTTTGCCACAGCATCATCGGCGCACAACTCGTACTCGGCTGACCCGTGCCCTGAGACTAAACATCCCATCATGGCGCCGCCTTGTTTGCGTCATACTCGGCTTCCTATATCCATTTACCATCCTTGTGGCCATTGTTGCCACAGCCAACCATTTTATTCTGGATGCTGTCGCGGGAGCTCTTGTATGTGCCTTGGGGTGGTATTTCAATGGCATACTACTCAATCTGTTGCCACTGGAAGACTACTTCCTTTGCCTTGTCCGGATTCATAAGCCGGAACCGTCACTTCTCGTCCCTGAAGAGGATCTCCCCAGTGAAAGTGCTTCAGAACATGCTTGCATCTGAGTTCACTCAGGGTATGGCATTTCATAGTTGGTTTGGCTTTGGATTCAGCGTCTTTGTTTTAGAACTTGATACCCTGTATGAAACCTCATCAGACCAGTCGGTTTGGTTTATAATCTCTGTATATGGATCTCCTACTTATTGTTACCCAGTTCTCTCTGTGGGATTGACCAGCGTTCCACTCTACCTAAGTAGTCACCGATCAACATGTTTATACAAGATTCTTTGATTGCTGGAAGACTCTGAAAGAAGAGCATTTGAAGATGATTCAAATACCTTTCCTTTGTATATAGCATAACTATACCCGTACATACAAAGGCAGAGCATTACAACGCAAACTTCATATATCTCTTTCTGATCCGGAATATAAATACCTGGAAAAAAGCATCTCAAGAAAGGGCATGAAATCGCATCATATCTGGGGTGCACTTTACAGGCACAGAAATTTAGATGTGTTTAGGAACAAGAAATCAACTTGGATTTATTTCATTCCCTCGTATTCGCCTCCCGTTCAAATCAACAGCCCATTCAATACATACTTATAATACTGTGTTCGTTCAAGTATTACATGTTCACTAATACGGACACACCGCGAGTTAATAACGTGAGGATCACATCGAGGTACAGAATCGCAAGCTCCAAGGATGACCCTGGATGACCACGATCTGCTCACAGTTAGCTGATATTACACATCATTTTTCAAAAAGCATGACATACTCATCAACGGTGGCCTATCTTTCCATCTATGTACCTCTATCGCTTTAGCGAATTGCGACTGCTTGCGAAGAGATACTTGCGAAGACCGTGATTGCATCGGTACTCAACACGACTACACAAGCTCTGGACCAGACTGTTGGTGTTGCTACAAAAGGAACACGTCACTTTAATCTTGGAATTGTGGCCAGGCTGGTTTGAATCGATCAATCTGCTTGAAAAGAGTCTAATTTGAAGGAATAGGCTCTTCGGCACGTGTCCATGCCCCGAATATCTATACAAGACGTCTCTTGGCACTTCACAGGTGCTATCATATACCATCAACCTGTGAATGAATGTGAGATCAGAAGATATTCTGTAGAGGAAGACAAATTGACTCTCGCATGTCAATCGCCAATCGTTGCTCTTGCCCGTGTTGTCCAGATATATGGTGATTGTGAAGGCACATGGCAAAGAGAGACGTCTGTTGACTCTTCCAGCTGCTGTGTGTTATACGCTATCAATCTGCCATCAATCTGCCGGGGTATCAGAGGTGGACACAGAGATTCACGGTGGTTCCTGCGCTTTACGTCGACATATCAGCCTGTCCACGATCTGTGATAGGCAATCCCCCCATCCCACCGGCGTCACCTGTCACCTGTCACCTCCCCTTCATACCACTTACGAGTTGACAGTCGATACTCCGTATTCGCATCGTGAATACATGCTCCAGTCGTGAAGCACCCACTGTCTGTTGACAGACTTGGAAGAGGTAACTATTCAGAGATATCTCTACCCCTACATTGTGCAACACTCCATTGTTCAAACACCATCCCCAAGGCTATTCAAATCTGAAAAGCGAAACAAATAAACCTCTCCAGTTCACCTTACTGTTGCGTGGTTGACTTGAAAAAGTTGTGGCGTCATTGGGGTCTTCCGTTCTCAGACGCGTCTTGAAGTTCCCGCGCCTTTCGCGACTCTCTTTCTTCTCCACATCTCCTACCCTCCCCTGGAAGCTCCTCCCACCAACTTCTTCCCAGCTCCAATCTACCCAATCGCCTAGTGAATTTTAACTCATCTCATCCCAGCTTGCCATCATGGCTGACGAAACCCCTGTGACTGCGCCCGAGGGCGATCAGCCCGAGCGCGCTACTGAACCCACTGTCTCCGAGAAGAAGTCTGAGGATGCGACCATGTCGGAAGACAAGCCTGCCGGTAAGCATCGACTGATTGATATCAATCAATCGCTTTGCGCCTCCATTTCTCGACTCCCCCCCCCCCCGGTCGGGACATCCTATTTTCTGTGCGACACCACTAACCTACTGTTTCTTCCAGAGACTGAAGCTGCGACCGACAAGAAGATGGACGCTGAAGCTGAGGCTGATAAGCCTGCTTCCTCCGACGAGGTTCCTGAGCCCAAGGCCGATGGCGAAGCCACTGAAGCTGCACCTGCCGATGCAGAGGCCGCTGCGCCCGCGGAGGCCAACGGAACCCCTGCCTCGGCGAAGAAGTCCTCCAAGAATCGCCGCACCTCTACCGGTGCTCAGAAGCTGAGCCGCAAGAAGTCTCAGAGTCGCATCACCCACCTGGATGCTAAGCCAGGCCAAACCTACCTCGCCCGCCTTCGCAGTTATGCGCCCTGGCCTGCTATCATCTGTGACGAGGACATTCTGCCACCCAGCTTGCTTGAAACTCGTCCCGTTACCGCCATGCAACAGGATGGATCCTACAAAGGCGAGTATGCCGACGGTGGCAGACGCGCCCATGAACGTACCTTCCCCGTCATGTTCTTCGATACCAATGAATTGTGAGTCGACCCTCCGCGCAGCCTCTAGGCCAGACGCGAACTTGCTACTGACCAATATTTGATAGCGCCTGGGTTCCCAACACTAACCTGACTCCTCTTGACCCTGCTGAATGCAAAGATATCTCTGAGAAGAACAAAACCAAATCACTCATCAATGCCTACAAGGTTGCATCTGAGGGCCACAACCTTCAGTACTTCAAGAAGCTCCTGAACGACCACCAGGCAGCTATTGACCAAGAAGAGGCTGAGCTTGAGGCACAGGAAGCGCAGAAGGCAGCCGCCAAGGCCGCAAAGGAGGCGAAGAAGGGTAAGCGCAAGAGCAAGGGCGCTGAGACCGATGTCGAAATGGAGGATGCGGATGACTCCAAGAAGTCCAAGGCTCCTTCTAGGAAGCGCAAGAAGGATGTGGAGACTGATGCTGAAGCGGAAAAGGTATGTATTACAGGATCATTGTGATGTTGACCTCGCTCATCTCACAAAATCAATAGCCCGCTAAGACCCCCAAGAACAACACAAAGCTGAAGTTGACCACTCCCAAGGCTCCCGCCGAGGATACTGGAAAGAAGACTCCCGCCAGCAAGACCAAGAAAGCACCTGCCAAGAAGGCCAAGGCAGCTCCCGCTGCCAGCGACGAAGGAGACAGTGCCGACGCTAAGGAATCCGAGAAGCCCATTGACCCAGAGGAGCTGAGAAAGAAGAAGGAGAAAGAGAGTACGCGATCCCCCATCTCCCCCAACGAGCCCGACCAGGCCAGCTTATACCTTACAGTTCTGTTCCTCCGTCATAAACTCCAGAAGGGTTTCATCTCCCGTGACCAACCCCCCTAAGGAAGATGAGATGGCTAGCATGGCCAGCTACTTTGACAAGTTGGAGAAGCATTCCGACTTGGAGGTGTCGATCATTCGTTCGACCAAGATCAACAAGGTCCTTAAGATGATTGTCAAGCTCAACTCGATTCCCCGGGACGAGGAGTTCAACTTCCGTCACCGTGCCATGGCCATCTTGTCTAGCTGGAAGAACATCCTGGACGCGGACACTCCCGGCCCGGCGGACAAGGATGAGAAGCCTGCCGCTAACGGATCCAAGGAGGAGGATGGTGTTGAAACCCCCAAGCTGGAGACAGAAGAGGAAAAGGAGCCTGAATCCAAGTCAACTAACGACGTTGATTCTCCAATGCCCGACGCGGATGAGAAAGCCCCCGAGCCTGAGAAGGAGGAAAAGTCTGAGGAGAAGGCAGTTGAGGAGCCTACCGAGGAGAAGACCGAGGAGAAGACCGCAGAAGCTGCTGCTTAAGTGGTCTAAGAATCACGACTCTGCGATGTCTGTTTTCTTACTCTTATCCATTTGCGCCTCATTCATGTTCTCTTCTCTGTTTCAATCTATGCGGTTCCGCCGGTTTGTTTCCTTTTTTTAACTCTTTTTTTGTCACCTGCCAATGCAGTACTGGGATACGGGGCTGGACCAACCAGCAAGGCTTTTTGAATCAATTGAAAATGTGCTTGTTCTTGTTTTTTTTTTTTTAAATCGGCTTCTGCACATTGACCTGTGTCCTGGCCATGGAGCATGGGAGTTATCTGGCTCTGGATCTTTCCCAGAGGTTGTACGCCAATGGTCTCTTCGGTGTCCAGCCGGTTGTGCACGAAATATCGCCCAGGGTATCGGAGAGAATGTTGTTTTATGACGTGGAAATGAACAGAAAGGTCCCCAAGGGTACGTACTGGAGATGCTAGGTCTTCACTGCATGTATTGAGCTCTTGAATACAAGGATCCATGATGGCTGTTCAGTAAATCAATATCTAGTAGGAGGTATTCTGGTAGGACTGTTTAAAAGTCGATATCGATACAATAATCAGGGTTATCTCCATTATGAACCCTCTATTTGAAAGTAGTCAAAATATCAACGGGGAAGCATCACATGCTTATATGCTTGGCTCTTTGCAAAATCAAAAAAAATCCTCGCCCCCTTCTATATATATATGCATGCAGTTATACACCATGCTCGAAAACAAATGAAGAAAACAGTATGACGCCGGTTCGATGAAATGTCCAGATTACCTGTCCAAATCCCTCATGCCTCACCCGCAGGAACGCCATCATCGACAGCGATGACAACCACAACGCAGATATCATCAACCTTCCCGCCGCGATAATAGTCACCGGGGTAGTAGCGCTGAGCCTCCTTAGCAAAGGGCCCATCACGGCGATAGTCGACACTAGCAATTTTCGCCTCGCCAGCAATTGTCGCCGCGAGAACAGACTGCAAAGTGATCCCATCCTCAGGTCCGGACTCGGTATTAGCCGGGTCCTTGGAAAGCGGCGAGCCTGGCGGAGTAGGAAGAGCATGAGCCAATCCACCTGGCGCAGCCAGCGCACGCAGGTTCTCCGAGACCCCAACGCCAGACTCCGTAGCCGTCCACGCCCCAGTCATAACCATCCGGCTGGTGACAAGCTTGAGAATATCCTGATTATTGAGATTATCAAAAACGCCATCGGTAGCAACCATGAGCACATCCCCATGCTGCATCTGCACATTCGTAACGGAAGCATCACGGGGGAAATCCTCCAAAAACGCCCCGCCAAAGACAGACGCCTGGGCGCGCATACGCGGCGGGATCACGCTAATCTGGTACGGGGTGTTGAAACCATGCGTCTGCGGAATCGAGTAATGGTGGACCGCCGCCCTCCTCAACAACACCGAGCCCGAATCACCCAAATTGGCCAACTCGACCCGTCCATCCGGCAGCGCGACGCCAACAGAGGCCGTACTCCCACCTGCGCGGATTGATGGATCCGCCACGACCTGGTCATACCCGGCCTGTAGGAGGTTTTTGGGGCGCAAGCGCTCGGCAGGCTCGTGCCAGGTCTGCGCGGTGTGCGCCATGTAGTTGCATAGACCGTGAGAGAAGTCTGCCGGGTCGACGCGGGATTCCGTCCAGCCGCCTACGCCGTCTGCGACGCCGAAGGCGACAGCTTCGGCGTTTGTGTCTTGGTGATCTGAGATGCGGTTTCCGATGCGGGAGACGAAGAAGGCGTCTTCGCCGGAGTCTGGGCGGTTGCGGCGACGGCTGACGGAGTTCTTGTCAGTTGAGACGCCTAGGGCGTCTGCGGTGGGGTCGAAGTTATATGCATTTTTGATGGGGTGGAAACGGCGGCCTTTCCCGGAGGAGGAAACGGCGACACGGTATGAGAGTTTTGTGGGGAGGGTTTTTCGAAGTGGGTTGTTGGGGTTGCGTGGAAGGCTCGGCGGGAGGGATGGCGGGTTAGGTTCAGGCTTAGACGGGTGTCTGGTCTGGCTCTTGCGGCGTGGGAGGAGAAGCGGACATGTTGGGTTTTGAACAATGAGGAAGTGTATGTGCTTGGATTGGTGGAAACTGAGTAGACGCCGTCTCTAACGATGGCTTGTAGGCTACTGCAGGCGGAACTGCAGGCTCTATACGAAACGCTTGGCGGGATCATCGCAGGACTTGGGGGTTCTGTATAGTTCCCTCGTGGAGAATGGGCCTCCTATTTGGGGGCGAGAGAACAAGATGAGAGGAATGAGAGGTATAAAGAGAGAACCAACAAGCCAAAAAAAAATCAAAGGAGCTGCATAGAATCTCAACGGATAAGACAGTACCCGCCCTTATCGCCCGACCGCCTGGCGTCATTGATTTTTCTTGGATACCCGATTTTTCAGGCAGAAATTGTTGAACTGTACGGAGTTGGACTTGTAGGAAAATAGATCAAACGAATGAGTACTACTATTGCCCTCTTATGTAGATGAATTCAAATCTGTACAATTCCCTCAGACGTGAACTTGTACAACTTGTATGCCCTTCAATGCGATACCGCCAAGGTCTATCAATTATTCTGCCGCCCGCAACATCTTCTCTCCCGCCAACCTTTTTCTCTTCACTACAAGATACCCCAATTCTTTTCTTTTACACAAGCGCCAATCTTTATTAATCTACATTTTGAGCCACTGGAGAAGCATAAGCTTCTAAATTGCCCAATATGATGCACCCAGCGCGACAGGCCTATGTCGAGGAGACGGAGGACACAGACATGGGGGGCATCAGCTATGCCGATCTTCGTGAGTCGTTACCGAACAGCCTTTTTTTGGGGGAACCTACTAATAGAACTATAGCAATGGACCAAGACTATGATATGCCCACTACCGCAGGGGGTATCCCAAGCGAGCGGGCCTCCGCCATTCTATCGCAATTCGAACGGAAACGGAGAGCAGCAGCTATGGTGGTTCCAACAGATGACACACGAGTGCGCGCACGACTACGAGAGCTCGGAGAGCCCATTACCCTATTCGGCGAAGGACCATCAGAGCGACGCGATCGTCTACGTGAACTGTTGACCGACATGGCGGAGCAACAAGGCGAAGTCGAAATAGAAATGGAAGAAGCCGAGGAGGAAGGGGAACAGCAAGAAGAATTCTTTACAGAGGGTGGGAACGAGTTACTCGAGGCGCGGAAAGATATTGCGCGCTATTCTTTGCCGCGCGCAAAGGCTCGAGTGGCCCGGCTCAAAGACGAATCCACAATTCCACTTCGAACGCATGTCAAGCATCGCAAAGCCGTCAAGGAGAAGCTACAAGGATTTGATCTTTACGGATCTCAGATTGCTGGCGATCGTCCGGTGAGCATTTGTCGATTCGCGCCGGATGGGCAGACAATCGCTGCTGGGAACTGGAGCGGTGGGATCAAATTGCTCGGCGTGCCCAATCTGGAAGAAAAAGCGAGTTTCAATGCGCATACGGATCGAGTGGGTGGTTTGTCGTGGTTCCCCGGCGCCACTCTACCCACCTCGAATGTCTCACCCTCAACTGTTAATTTGATCTCCGGAGGCGGCGAGGGAAATCTTAACCTCTGGGCCCTTGATCAAGAAAAGCCGCTGGCTACGTTATCTGGCCACTCGGGGCGTGTGTGCCGTACCGAGTTCCACCCTTCAGGTCGATATGCAGCATCGGCATCCTTCGACAGCTCATGGCGGCTGTGGGATGTTGAAACGGCCACCGAACTGCTCCTGCAAGAAGGCCATTCGCGAGAGGTCTATACAGTGGCGTTCAACAGTGATGGCTCTCTTGTGGCTAGTGGTGGATTCGACAGTATCGGGCGTATCTGGGATCTGCGGACAGGGCGCAACGTGATGATTCTCGACGGCCACATTCGCGAGATCTACGGTATGGACTGGGGCGTTGATGGACACCGGGTGCTGTCTGGTTCCGGTGATGGATGGGTCAAATGCTGGGACTTGCGACAAATGAAAGAGACGGGCGGGATTGGTGCGCATAAGAGCGTGGTATCGGATCTCCGCTGGTACAAGGGTGCAGAGGCTGCGTCCTTCTTGCCTTCTACAGATGGCGGGATGGACATTGATGGCGCTCCACCAGCTGCAGTGGATAAAGCAGCGGAGACGCCCTCGCCCAAGAAGTCGGGCACGTTCTTTGTTAGCAGTGGATTTGATAAGAGTGTCAACATTTTTAGCGCGGATGACTGGTCCCTCGTGAAGTCGCTGAGCGGCCACTCGGGTAACGTTCTCAGCACAGATGTCAGTGACGATGCAAAGTGGATTGCTAGCTGCGGTCACGACCGTACGGTGAAGCTTTGGGGGATTGAATGATTCGGGTTCATATATTGGCTCCAGATCTTGAACTATCTCTCTTATGCCTCCTAATTGGAAATTGCATACAACTCAAAGAACAGCATGTAATATGTTGGATAAGATTTTTCGAATATCCATGTCGATATCCTTCCTTTCCTGTGCAATGTATCAGAGATGTACCTGTACCTAGTTCCTATCTGATCACGTGGCAAATGCGGGGATGACGTAAAGCGGTATGTCGAGGGCTTTTTATCAACTTTGAAGTTATAGCCCTTCCTTTGACCTTCCCTTGACCATAAGAACACTACATAGTCATGGCTTTCCGTCCACAGAGAATTGCACAGCATCTCTCTCGCACAGCATCCCCACGGTCTCTCCCACCACCAACCCAGTCGCTATCAAACACAAGCCAAGATGCATGCCTGCTCTGCCGATATCGCCAGGGAGCGCGAGGACTAACAACCCTCCCAACACGTCGAGCTCCCATAAACCAGGCATTCATGATACACCGCCGCTCTTCCTCAACAGAAGCCTCCAAGCCAACAGAAGCCAACAAAATATCTCTCGCCGGCGCGCCAGACATAACCAACCACTACACGATCTTCCCTCAAACGCTACCGGCAGGCCCGCCACCAGGCTCGGCATTCGCAATCTCAACCAGCGATCTCCGCCGCGAATTCCTGCAACTGCAAGGCCTTGTCCACCCTGACAAATACCCGAACGGAGCGGAGAAGCAGCTCGCCGAGGGCCTCTCAGCACGGATCAACGAAGCGTACCGGACACTCCTGGACCCGCTGCAGCGGGCACAGTACATTCTACGGGAATGGCATGGGATCGACGTGACGGCGGAAGACGCGTCGACTAAGCATGCGCTTGATGCGGAGACGCTGATGGAGGTTATGGAGGTGCAGGAGACTATTGAGGAGGTTGGGGATTCTGCTGAGGCGGAGGCGCAGATCAACGAGCTTAAGAAGGAGAATGAGGGGAGGGTTGTTGAGTGTGTGAATAGGCTTGGAGAGGCATTTGAGAAGGGGGATTTGGAGGCTGCGAGGAAGGAGTGTATCCGGTTGCGGTTTTGGTATAGTGTTGGGGAAGGGTTGAGGGAGTGGGAGCCTGGGAACACGCAGATTCGGTTGATGCATAGTAGTTAATAGGCCTATTTGGTTTATTTTGTATATTATTGGATTTGTTCTGGATATATCTAGATAGACTACCCTACTCTTTTATATAGAATATTGGACGTATGAACTGTGATTCGTTGTATATATCCTAAAGTGGCAATTATATTGGATTTGCTGCTTCTCTTCGATAGGACAGCGGAATAAGCTTGTTTCAAGGAAAAGAGGGGCGAGGAATATATTCAACCTGTAGTAGAAAAGTACTAGGGTTGTCATGCCTATTTTCGTAAATATCTGTCAATATATTTGGTAAATGTCACTGCTAATCCAACCTCGGTATAATTAGGTACCTTTTTAGGGCTCCGTTGTACAACTGTTGACCGCTACATCCAACATATCCAAAATCTCCAAAATATCTCAAACATCCAAGACAAATCAAAATAAAAAATATGTGAAGCTTCAAATTCCAAGCCCCGATGGAGCCCTCAGGAACAAATCAACCAGTGAGGCCACAGATTGGGTTCTCTCGAGGCTGGGGATTGGGCACAAACCTGCTGACACCAACATCGCCCGACAATTGGACAGTCGAGGATCCAGTCAACACCGACAGTTCTGTATGGCTGCTCTGTATGGTTGTTCTGCATTGTTATTTTGTCTCGGTGATAGCGGCATCGAATTCAAATGGTTCATTTGGACGAGTGAATGGTGATTGGCATTGGGGGGACACCAAACCATAGGATATCGAGAGGACAGTGTAGGGCGAGCATATACCACGACATCAAATCTCTTTTTGGCCCCATTTCGCATATCTCATATGGTATTTCGGTCTAGCGTTAGTGCAATGGGTCTTGGGAACTGTTCTTTCCCCATCACAGCTGCACACGTTGCATACTACTATCTTCGCCCAAGATCGCTTCCGGCGCCTTGGGAATTCGAGCTAAAATATTTAATGGCACTATCCTGCATGTTAGAACGTAGATTAATTTCATCTCATCCCTTCTGAAGCGGAAGGTCAACCGTCTCTCATGGAGTCTGTTCCCAATTTTAGCAGGTATGGAGAGCATCGCATCAGCCTATGACATAGGTATACACTATTAGCAGACCGCTAATCCAACATCTTCAGTATCATACACTCACCGTCATTCACCTTCCTCGTTGGCCCGCGACATACGAAGCTGACAATCCAGTCGGGGCTCGCTCAACATGTCTCCAAACCACTCCATAATCTCATGAACGGTCCGACGAGGGAATCAAAACACCGAATCGCTGTTCTGGAAGAAGATGATGTCGAGACCTTCGTAGCTTTCTGCGAGTATGCATACACCGGCGATTATAACGTGCCTCGTCGCGAGCAAGAGGTCCTGGAAGACCACAGGCTTGGAGTAGTCGAGAGCTCGCCGAGTACCGCCACCTGGAGAGAGAATTACCGGTCTGGTTCGATATCGTCGACTGTGCCACCCCCGGCTCCGTCGCCGCCCCCGCAGTTTCGCCATCGGGGACAAGGAGCGTACCATCAGCCTGCGCCTGAGCCCGAGCCGCCAGTGGCTCAACCTGTATCTGAGCCTGCGCCCGAGGCCAAGGAACCAGTGACTCCAACTCATGCGCCAGAGCCTGAGGCCGAGGCGGTTCCAGAGCCCGAGGCTCCAGTCGATGCAGCAGCACCAGAGCCAGAGCCAGAGCCGGAGACATACCACGAAGCGGAGACTGCACCAGAGCCACCGGCCGAGGATGTGCATCCTGTGGATGACGAATGGGCAGTTCCGACCGAAGAACCTGTGTCATGGGAGCCAGAAGAACCCAAGGGCAACAAAAAGAAGAGCAAGAAAGGGAAGAAGGGCAAAAAGCAAGCAGGGCTTGTCGAAGAAGAACCTCCCGCACCAGTTGAGCCTGTCAGCCTTACGCCGCCATCAACACCACCCCCAGAAGTCGCTGCCGAGCCCATCCCCGAGCCAGAAGCAGAGCCCGTTGAAGAACGGACTCCAGCAGACCCTGGCCCAGAACCAGAACCAGAATCAACAGAGCACTGGGAGCAGCCAGCTGAACAGCCTGCACCTGAACCTGAACGTACACCCGCAACTGAAGAGCCTGCGCCTGCAGAAGAACAGCCTGCGCCTGCGGCGGAATCGATGGAAAATTCCTGGACCCAAGATAGAAACCCAGGCACCAGCATTAGCCAAACACAGCCGCAAAGACCAATGCTCGACATGTCCTTCGCGCAACAGCAAGCCACCTCGCCCTGCGAGCCTGGCCTCAGTCTATGGGACGAGTTCACCTCGCTACAATACGATGACCCACCGACGTCGGAGCCCGCCCCAATCGAGACGCCGAGCACCGAGCTGCCCTACATCACCTTCCACGCGAAACTCTATGTCTTCGCCACACGGTACCTAATTCCCGCTCTCGCCCAGCTATGTCTCCGAAAGTTGCATCGCGATCTGCTCCTCCTGTCATCGACACACTTCGAAACTGCCGATCTAGGTGACTCCCAAGTTCTAGATGGCTTGGCAGCAACCAAGGCGCAGATGGTGCTGGAGCTGGTGCACTACGCATACACAAAGACGTCCCGACTGGAGCCGATCTCGCCAACATCCGCGACCCAACTTCGTGAGAACCAGCTGCGCCGATTGGTGGTGCATTATGCGGCGTGCAACGTGAAGGAATTGGCACGGTATCATTCGGCAGAGGATTCAGTTTCGGCGACGCCGTCTTTGCGGCCCGTGGATGCCAAGACGGATCGGGATGAGACTTCCATTTCCAATTCTCCGAAGAGTCTTCGTGCGTTGTTGGATTTGACGACGGAGCTGGCCTCTGATCTTGTTTACCGAATGATGTGAGTAGATGTTGTGATGTGATTGGGCTTGGGGATGCATATGCCCAAACTTTGTGTTTCTGGATTCTGCAGAAACTTCGACGTTGAACATGATTTCATGCATTGCTGCCCTGAAGACGTTTCGAAGGACCCGCTGGCGTTCTGTTGCATAGTTTGAATTTGTCATTTTTCTGAGTTCGAGGTGCATTGCATTATATTGCGTTTGTTTTGCGTCAGTTTGAACCTTCATTTTTTTCCTTGTTTGATCTTCTCTGAATGAAGTGATTTATACGGTATCCATGGATGTATCTTCCAAGGCTGTATGTAGGGTTGCGGGTGATCCCGTGAAGTTGACAGTAAGTCTCCATAGACTCCATCGACTCCATCGACTCCGTAGACTCCATAAGAGCCAGACACTTGAGTGAAGAAAAGTGGATTTCTGATGACATTGTAAGTTTCATCAACATACATGCGTTTCATCGCATAATGTTCCATGTTGTATATCGCTTTCAAACAGGGTCTGGGCATCTTGGCAAAATGATGAAAGATAAGCCAATCAATCCACCAATAAAAGCCAGAGACCCCTTGAAAAATGATCGACCGATCGACAGAATCCGTGTCCGAAAGGTCTCTTGGCGAGAATCCCAATGCCAATAGTGTTGATTGGGGGGGGCTGTGAAGATAAGAGAGAACCTTGCGAAGTTCAGGGGAAAATGCCAAGAAATTCCGACTACGTCAACGTTCCGACTCCACCTGAGATTTTGTCGACTTTCCAATTTCTCAACTTCTCAACTTCTCAACTTTCTCTATTGCGTGTGTGTTGCAGGGTATCTTCTATTGAATCTGTTCTACGTTGTGCATACACGCAATGGTGTTACCGAAGTTATTCGGCATCTCCACCAGTCCCATCTCTTCAACAAAACTAAAGCTTGGCAGCGGTCCGTCAATATACTGTCGATCACTTTGTTCTTGGCATTTGGTGTCCAGTCACGTTGGGCGCGCATAAGAATCCCTGTTTAGACTTTCCGTTTATACATCCTCAACCTCCTATCGGAAGGTTTCGGCGAAAAACAAAGGATATCACATTCGGCCCGAATTATCTCGGGATCCAAGGGTTTGAGATTCATCATCTGAGTAACTTTGTCTCTGATTCATGGTGTGTACTCCGTACTGACATATTGTATAGATTCTCAATCAGCCTTGTATGTTGTACTCTCCACTCAAGGACCAGGTCAATCATTGCGGCGCAGGAAAAGCGCTATGCGCCAATAAGTTTTCTACATGTTCTTGGCAGAGTCCCCTAGGCATCGAAATTCCTTTTTTATTTGTACGGAGTGCCGAGTGTATACGGAATACGGAGTACGATTGTATACGTCTAACCTGATGTCCAGATCCGCAGTGGATCGCTATGCTTCCGGAACTCCCCCCTAGGGACACTAACCGCCACCCCCCCTGATGCATGTGGTGATGAATCGTCCGAGCCTAACATCCTGGAACGATCTATTCTTATATAATTTTCCTTAGTTCGATGAAATTATGGGTCCTACGTGCCCATTGAGGCCGCTGGTAGGTTCGTTACAAGGGTTTCATTGCCTTGACTACCCCCGTGCCTTGAATAGAGTCCCCTTTCTGGTTTTTGATCTTTTTTTCACTCTGAAAAAGTAGAGTCTTGGAATTTCTTGGCTGATCTTCGGTGAATTATGGAATTATGGAATTGATATGCCTGGACGTTTTGTATGTTGCTGCCCATCCTGGCCATCCTGGTATATTAACTATCTCCCTTTTCGCTCCTTCTCCCAGGTCGTTCACTACGAATCACTACAATCATTTCCATTCTTCAAAGCCTTGTCTTTGCTTTTTCCCATTCTATGATTTGGTTTATAGTTCTATCTTCAATATATTCACTATATCCACTCTATACTTCTTTTTTTATGTTCCAAGCTTAGGGCTTCATCTATACCTCATTGCATCAACTCTATATACCCACAATGTCCGCTCCAATTCTACTACAGGCTTTGCCTAAACATAGCCAGGAGCTTCATCCTCCATCCGCGCCAATGTCCTCTCAATCAGACACACCTTTCATACTCGACTCAGAGAAGTCCCAGAAGTGCTTGCCACTGAGCTTCCGCGATCGTCTTCGTCATTTCACATGGGCATGGTACACCCTCACCATGAGCGCAGGAGGTCTAGCCCTCCTCATCGCAAACCAGCCGAACCGATTCAAAGGCTGCCGTGAGATTGGCCTAGCCATCTACCTCATCAACCTCGTCCTCTTCTCCCTCGTCTGCTCTCTCATGGCAGCACGGTTCACAATCCATGGCGGAATGCTCAACTCTTTCCGCCATGAACGCGAAGGCCTCTTCTTCCCAACCTTTTGGCTCTCCATCGCAACAATGATAACCGGTCTGGACAAGTACTTCGGCGAGAACCCCACCCCGGCGTTCACAACAACCCTCGAAGTCCTCTTCTGGCTATACTGCTTCTGCACCTTCACTCTCGCCGTGGTACAATACTCCTTCGTCTTCACCTCGCACACCTACCGCCTCCAAACAATGATGCCATCCTGGGTCCTGCCCGCGTTCCCAGTAATGCTAAGCGGGACCATTGCGTCCGTCATCTCCGCAAGCCAGCCCGAGCGCGCAGCAATCCCAATCATCACTGCCGGAATAACCTTCCAAGGGCTGGGCTTCTGTATCTCGTTCATGATGTACTCGCACTACATTGGGCGACTGATGGAGAGTGGACTTCCGTGCCGCGAACACAGACCAGCGATGTTCATCTGCGTCGGACCGCCAGCTTTCACGGCACTTGCTCTCGTGGGTATGGCGCAGGGACTGCCTGAGACGTTCCGGGTGATGGGGAGTGAAGACACTGCTGCTGATGGACGCATGCTGGAGATTTTGGCGTTGGCGACGGGCGCATTCCTGTGGGCGCTGAGCTTCTGGTTCTTCTGTGTCGCTGCTATTGCGGTTATTCGGTCGCCGCCGAGGAGCTTCCATCTTAGCTGGTGGGCGATGGTTTTCCCTGATACGGGGTTCACCATTGCTACTATTACGCTTGGAAATGCTTTTGATAGCGCCGGGATTAAGGGTGTTGGCTCTGCGATGACGATCTGCATTGTCTGCATGTTCCTCTTCGTCTTTGTCAACCATGGTCTTGCGGTCTATCGCCAGGATATTATGTATCCTGGTAAGGATGAGGATACTTCGGACTGAGATGCTCTCCCGACCGAGTGATTCTTGTGTCTCATGCTGTTTTTGGTTTGCTTCTTGTCACTTTTGGCATTTCTTGACTTCTTGCACAATCCTTTTTGATATTCTTTGGCCTTCTCCCATTGCACATACTACTGTTTGTCTCGTTGACATTTTTCTTGATCTTGTTGATTTTCCCATTGCCCTTTCATCTCAAAAGCGTTCAAGCACTCTGTTTTCTTTGTTTTTGTCCTGTGAGTACCCCTTTTGCATGCTAGCGTCTCATGTCTTGTCTGGTCTTCTATCTCCTTAGCGTCTACTACATTTGAATAGAATTAGAACGAGAATATTTTCATTGCAACCATTCCATGACTACCGCGCAGAAAGGAAAACTAAAAACACACAGTAAAGACCCAAAAGACCAATCCTTTCACTGCAGAGAACACTGCAGAGGGAAAAAGACACCAAAGCCCAACAGGGGAAAAAAAAAGAAAAAAAAAGGAGAAGAAGAAGAGGCTCGTCTTGGCTTCATCCCAAAGGATTACTGGACCCCAGCACCACGATGAGGTGCGAGCCATCGCTGGGGGGTAAATGGCCAAACATATGGCAAGATAAATGGCAGAGGACATTGAGAAGACATTGCAAAGCAAACATGGTGACGACGTCCCTCTCTTCACTTCCCAGTCGGCACCAGGTTTCCCCAGGACCGGTGGGCAGAAGGCGGGGGATAAATGGCAGACAGCAAAACCTCAAGATGAAGACGAATAAATGGCAGAGGACGTTGCAAAGCAGACATGGTGACGAAGTCCCTCTCTTCACTTCCCAATCGGCACCAGGTTGCCCCGGGACCGGTGAGCAGAAGGCGGGGGATAAATGGTAAACAAACAAAACCCGAAGAAGTGAATAAATGGCAGGGCTCGTCTTGGCTTCACCCCGAAGGGCTACTGGACCCCAGCACCACGATGAGGTGCGAGCCATCGCTGGGGGATAAATGGCCAAACATATGGCAAGATAAATGGCAGAAGACATTGCAAAACAAACATGGTGACGAAGTCCCTCTCTTCACTTCCCAGTCGGCACCAGGTTTCCCCGGGACCGGTGAGCAGAAGGCGGGGGATAGATGATGAACAAGAAACCCGAAAGATGTATGATGAAAGATGCAAGATGCAAGATGGATAAATGGTAGAGGACGTTGCAGGCAGACATGGTGACGAAGTCCCTCTCTTCACTTCCCAGTCGGCACCAGGTTGCCCCGGGACCGGTGAGCAGAAGGCGGGGGATAAATGGTAAACAAACAAAACCCGAAGATGATGAATAAATGGCAGGGCTCGTCTTGGCTTCACCCCGAAGGGCTACTGGACCCCAGCACCACGGTGATGTGCGAGCCGTCGCTGGGGAAAATGGGGAGAGGGTGTAAACAAAGGACAGTGACAAGGGAAGGGGGAGAAGAAGAAAAGGAAGACGATGATGGATGAATGAATGAATGGATGGATGGATGGATGATTGGGTGATGAAGATGAAGATGAAGGACGGGAGATGGGGGATGGGGAATGGGAATTGGGAGAAAAGGAGAGAGATGGGGAGATGAAGAAGAGAAGAGGAAAAGGGGAGGGAGAGGGATATTTATAAAAAAAAGAGTCGATGGCCTCAGGATACAACTGGTCACCCGGGCGATAGACTATGTATGTCACCATTATGTCAATGTGTATAGGAGTAGAAGAGAATATAATGATATTGAATCCTATGTAAGAGATTGTCACCTTGCTCTGGCAAGTTTCGTATGGGTATCATGATGACAGGAAAAAGCAGTCTTTTGCCGCACATGGCTTCGTCGCTGTGGAGCGACAGGTCGAGTTCATGCTCGACAAGTTCATGCTCGACAAGTCAAGCCTTGAAAACGTCTGAGCTTCTTGGAGCACGCTGGCGTGCACAGGACAGACGGCCAGAAGCCCTCGACGCCAACAGCATCTGATGGACTACCACGTGGCCCTGTTTTTTTGGGGAAGGAGTGAACTGCTGAGGTGAGACTTCCCGGATTGTTTGGCAAAGACGGCCCTCAGAGTGGTGGAAGACTTGGGATGAAGTGCGAAAGCCGTCCACGGCAGCTTAAGCAACCTTTCTGCCGACGTTACCAATTCCACGGCCGACAACGCTGACAATCACATCTCCATCTCCATTGTCAGGTGCGTCTCGGATACCCCAGCCAGGGGCACCGAACTTGGACAGGTCTCGAGCGAGCTGGACCACGTTGGGATCAGCGATCACATCTCGGCCAACCTGCAGCCGACCAACGTCCTCTGAGCCCATGGTCATGAGAATGAACATGGTTGTCACAGCCGCAGGAGCCACACAACCTCCCTTGGCAACCGTTTCTAGAAGCTGGAATGCACACTGCTTTCCGATTTCCTCGGGGGCTTGACCACCCGATGGCGGAGAGGCCACATCAGCCGAGAAGAGGCAGCCTGTGGAAGACTCCGCTACCAAGGACAAACCAAACCCAAGGCCGATCTTCTTCTTTGCCTGGGGGTTGGTCTTATCCGGAGCGGGTACCAAAGGCGCAGACGCAACGTCGGAGAAGATATAAGTATCAGGACTGAGTGGGTTGAGGATACCACGGGCGGTCTCAATCATGCGAGCGTTGTTTGAGCCAGACACACCAACCGAGTATACAACACCACGGATGCGCTTGATGCGGCCTGCGTTCATCAAGTGCAGAGTCTTCGGCAGACGGACCTGGTGGCCAAACACGAGCTGGACTTCACCACCACCACCCCTGCCAGTGGGACCAGTGTTTGATCGTCTCAAGATTCGGAGTTCGATGTTGTTGAAGATACCGAATTGATTGTACAAGGGAAGGATCGCAGTACGAACGCTGTCGACGGACATATCTCCAGTCGGTGTCGACGAGGTGATCACACCGGGTCCCGTGAAGAGCACCTTCATGGGTGCTTTGGCAAAGGGGGCCAGTAGACAGAGAGGAATCAGGAAATAACTGAGACCGCGGTTACAGTTTGAAGGAAGCTCGTAGGTGATCATGCCGCCGCTGGCTCCAGTACCGGCCGTGCTGCCAGTGATCAAACCCGGTTTGTAAACAAGCACGGTACCTGTGTAAGAGATCTCCATTTGAGAGCCATTGGTGATTGCATCTAGGAGGCGGAGGAAAGAAATCTCATGAGGCGCAAGACCCGGATTCGTGGGCGACGACGAACGAATTTGCGAGATGTGGACCGTGCGGCCGGTGAGGGTGGACAAGACTAGGCGATATACCAGATTGTGATGGGATGTAAACCGAAGAGGGGGTTGAGAGGTCGCCATTTTGTGTGGTTGGTCAAAACTCTCGCCGTTGAACACTGTAGTCCGGCTGTTGGATTCGAGATATGAAAAAGAAAAATTAGCGGATGGAAGTTGATCCGGGCCGAAGGTTAAGTCCGGGGTGGAGCTGATATCTCCGAGGATCAGATCGTCGGTTTTTTGATTTCTAAGAGTTCCGACCTCATGCGACATTTGCGAAAAAGAAGCTACCTAGGTACAAAGTAGACTCTGACAAAAACAGATGTTGATATATTCTCACAATGCTTCTTCCAGCACTAAACATCCCCAAATGGTAAGTCCAACACTTCACATATCTTACAATACATATGTACCTCCCCCGCTTTGCATATGATATATGTACCATGCTTCATCACGCGACCAATAAGCAAGCTATCCGAAAAGCCAATTGCTAACGACATCTATCCAGGCTCGAAGAAAACTCCCATCTCCTACAACCACCAGTCAATAACTACTGCGTCTACCATCCCTCAACTCCAGCCACAGCCGGCTACACAGTAATGATAGTGGGCGGGCCCAATGCCCGAACCGACTTCCACATCAACACAACACCAGAGTTCTTCTACCAATACCGAGGGTCAATGCTCCTCAAAACAGTCGACAACTCAACCACACCTCCTAGTTTCCAAGATATCCCCATCCACGAAGGCTCGATCTTCCTACTTCCTGCAAACACCCCGCATTGTCCCGTGCGCTTCAAGGACACTGTCGGTGTCGTGATGGAGCAGCCGCGGGCTGAGGATGCAGTCGACGCTATGAGATGGTATTGCAAGAACTGCAAGGGGATTGTCTGGGAGAAGAAATTCGTGTGTGTCGACCTAGGGACGCAGGTTAAGGCTGTGGTTGAGGAGTTTGCGGCCGACGAGGAAAAGCGCAAGTGTAAGGCTTGTGGAGAGATTGCGGCGTCGAAGTATCAAGATGGTGAAATTGTGCAGCCGCCGACTCATCCTGAATAGTAGATATGGATACATATGTACTGATCAGATGTATCGGAGGGTGAGCTTGGTGAGGCTGTAACTGTACTCTTCGGTCATGAATGGTTATGTGTCATGAATTGAACCTTCTTTGATGAGTTATGAATGCATATGTAGAAATAGGGACAGAATTAAATGAGATGGACACCTCTCGGCATATCAAAGGGTCAAAGGGCGATTCAAGTCGAGATCAACCCGAGATACGGAACATGGAAAGCTGTTGTATACACCAACAACATCTTATTATGACCAGAGGTATGGTATTTATTAAAAGCACACAGCCTTCGCCGTGCTGAAACTCGTCTGCTTTCCTCCACCCCAAAAAGCAAACACCCATTTATTAACCGGGGTAACCGACCCAACAATCATGTACTAGAAAAACACCCCATAGATACATGTAGCAGAGAGCTGTGATCTTGCGTGGTGCACCGAACCAATGCATATCCAGAACATTATTCATCAAATGGGCAGTCGATGCTCTCATGACCATCTCGCTCACAGAGAGCACACCACTTAGACTCATCGATGACTCCCGATGACTTACCGGCAATGGGAGCCATGGATGAGCCCAGCCCGCTGATGCCCTTCAGTCCTTCCATGACCACATCCCGACCTGTCTTGAGTGCGGGGGGAGTATCGGTATGGATAGATGAGGCTTTGGTCTGGAGGGGTTCGGTCTTCTCAACTGGGTGTTCATCGGGAAGTTCATCGGCAGCATCATGTGTGGGTTTCTTCTGTCCAGCAGACTTCTGGCCAGAGCCAAACATGCTGGTGCAGTTTAGGATATCGTGGCCGCCTGTCTCGCAGATCTCGCACCACATGGTATCCTCGTCGGAAGAGCGCTCGGATTCATGCATAGTCTCCAGTCGCGACTGAGAAGTGTTGGAGATACCGCGCTGATGGCGGGGCTCTGAGGGAGCATCGTGCCAGTCGGTCGGGACCACTGTACGGTCAGAAAGACGGTTCGGGTTGGAGTTGTTTGAGTGATTAGAGATATTGCTCGCAGTCTGGGATGGCCTGTGTTGCTTTGGTGAAAGAGTGACAGTAGAGCTGCGGCGACGGCCAGACTGCAGGTGCATTTCTTGAAGTTCACGCTCGAGCTCTTCGATCCGACTATTTTTGCGGTTTGCGGTTTCTTCCACCTCTTGCAGTCGAGTCTCCAGCTGAGTAATGTGCTCCGGATTATGGTCATCGGCCGAGCCGTTCTGTCCCAAGGCTGCGGCACTGGGGTTTCCGCGGCTCAATGAATGTATAATGGCCTTGAGCCCCCGGATCTCATCATCCTTCTGGTCCAATTCACTACTGCTTCGGGGTCCATCTGCAGCGGCGTGTGCATCCTTCAGGGCAGCGGCCGAGTGATCACGCTCTTTCTTCAGCTCCAACTTGGTGCGCTCAACTTCACCGCGGAGGAACTCGACTTCAGCCCTAGCCTCGGCCTCTCCACGCCGGGCGTCCTCGAGGCCTTCCTCTAACTCCGAGACTAGCTCTTCTAACTGCTTGAGCTGCTGCGCAACAACCTCAACATCTTCGCCGCGGTCCTGCAACTCCTTGTTCTGCTGTATAAGCTCGTCAAGACGCTGCTCGTAGACGCGTTCTGTTTCGGAGGCTGCGATCTCCAATGTGTCGAGTGTGCTTCTGAAGTCTGCACGGTGACCGTCGAATTCGGCCGTTAATTGGTTAATCCTCTCGTTGCGTTCACGTAGCTGCGTACGGATGGAATGACCCTCCGACCCCTCCATCTCCTCCAAGGTCTTCTGGAACTCGCTCAATGTCCCAGACTGCTCTTCGAGCTGCCTATCTCGGTCCAGAAGCTGCTTCTCTAGACTCTTGATCTGATCTTTCAAGTCTTGAGTCTCCGACGAAAAGCGGACGGCGGAAGTCCGATGGCCGTCCATACGAGGAAGCATCATCATCCACACTAAGTCGCGACGAGGGTCTATCAGACAGCCGAGATGGTGCCTTGACGGGGCTACGCATGGCACTGTTCACCCCGCCGGTTTTCGATGCTGCCGACGGTGTACGCAAGCCGGCCAGGCTAAGTTTCGGAGGGGGGACGGGGACGCGCGGGGATTCGGGTCGAGGGAGAGAGGGTCGTCGGACTCGAGGGCGGGGGGTAGTAAGAGCTGCACCGACAGATTTGCTGAAGTTGACGGGTCCCCCCACGTGCAGGAGTGGTCGGTGTAGAGATATTCGAGGATCGCCTTGTGACATACTTGCTGTTGTTCATGGGAACGAATATACCAGAACCCGGGATCGAGGTTACGAAGTACTTCCGGCCGTCGACATCGCCGCTGTTTTTTCCTCTTTGCGCGTGTTCGGCGCTCAGTTCGACTCCTGCGAATCGTCCAGCCTTCCCCGCTACCGGTCCCAAGTATTTGATCGTCCCATGCATGCCACCGGGGACATTCACCACGTCACCGACCCGTACATCATCGGGGTGCGCCATTGGGGAGGGATTTGGGCGATATGAATATGGGAATTAAGAAAAAAGAAAAGAAAAGGTGGGATGAGTCTTTTAAATAAGAGGCCCCAATATCAATAGCCCCTGGAAGGGTTCAGAAGTCAAGGGTGTAGAGGGAGCGTTAGGAGAATGCAAGGATATTAGGTTGACGGCCCAACTTCCATGGTGATTGGGAAGGGGAAAAAGAGAGAGAGAAAGAAATGAAAACGACAGACCCAACCAGTTTCAGTTTAACCAGTTAGAATACAACATAAGAGAAAAAGAGAGTGAGAAGGTCCAATTTCAATATAAAAGAGAAAGGGGGAGGGAAAGACAAATAAATGAACTCCACTCCCACGTAATGCCAATCATTGACACCTTCATCTTCCACCTCTTCCATATTACAATCCTTACCTCTCTCTCCAAGACACACATGTCTACGACGATCTTCTCCATTCTGTAACTTCTGCGTATCTACCTACCGTCCCGGACGTCACCGGGCCCTCTACCTCCTGTCATCGCATTATATACACCATGGCGCAATACTTCTTCGACCTCCTGTACAACTTCACGGATTGCATGTGTTGCTTTCCAAGCTCCCCACAGCTAAAGATCAATAACCGGAGTTTCAAGCTTCTACGTTTGTTGGGCGAGGTAAAGATACCCGATAATAAGCTGCAAGCTGGCCTGAAACTGACAACGCAACAGGGCGGATTTTCTTACGTCTACCTAGTCCAAGATAAGACGACCTCCGAATTATTCGCGCTGAAAAAGATCCGCTGTCCATTCGGTCAGGAATCCGTGTCGCAAGCTCTGAAAGAAGTCGAAGCCTACAACCTCTTCAACTCCCAATCCAACATCATCCACTCAATCGACCACTGCGTTTCCACAGAATCCGGCTCGAAATTCAGATCCGATGGCGGAGATCCAGGCTCGAAAACGGTCTATATCTTACTTCCATACTACCAGCGCGGTAATCTCCAGGATGCCATCAATGCCAATCTGGTCAACCATACCAAGTTCCCGGAGAAGCGGCTGATGGTCCTGATACTCGGTGTTGCCGATGCGCTTCGCTCGATGCATCAGTATCGGGTGAAGAGCGGGGCGGCGTCTACGCGAAAGGCGAAGGGTGTTCGGAGAGAAGGCGAGCAGGCAGACGAGGAACGGGGCATGCAGATGAAACCGAAACGGAGGGCTGGCCATCGCATGGCTGAGGGTGAGGAGGATGAGGAGAATGAGCCCCTGATGGATGACGAGGTCACCCGGAGTCAGGAAGGTGTCGAGGATGGGGACCTGCGCCCCTATGCGCACCGAGATGTCAAGCCTGGTGAGTTAGCATTTTGGTCGCAGATGCGGAACCTCCGGCTCGAGCTAATGGTCAATATAGGAAACATCATGATCGATGACAGCGGCCAATCACCCATCCTGATGGATCTGGGTTCCCTGGCGCCCAGCCCCATTGCCATTACGTCGCGCTCCCTCGCCTTGGCGGTGCAGGATACCGCAGCAGAACACAGCACGATGCCATATCGCGCACCGGAGCTCTTCGATGTCAAGACAGGGTCGATGATTGATACCAAGGTCGATATCTGGTCGCTTGGCTGCACACTCTACGCCTGTCTGGTAGGCAAGAGCCCCTTCGAGGCGCGCAGTGAAGAGACCGGTGGGAGCTTGAGCATGTGCGTTCTCGGTGGTGACTGGCGATTCCCTGATGAGAAGTCTGGCGCTTCCAAGGGTAAAGGCAAGTCGGGAGAAAGCGAGGAAGCATCCAAAAGCGATGGCCCTGCGATAAGTGCACCCGTCAAGGATATTGTTCGCAAGTGTCTCACTGTTGAACCCTCGGAACGGCCTGACATTGATGAGCTCATTGAGCTCATGAAGGGTGTTATTGAACAAATGCCTGAAGATGACGCGGGCCCGTTCCCAATAAGATCCACTGGATCTTGCATTCCTATTTTTGTCTTCTCCTTTGACCGGCAGGCTCCGTATGCGCGCGATTTCTTTAGCTGTACATTATGAATGCGAATTTGATTTTCCTGATCCCATCGCTGATCTACTTTTTGCTGGTCGAAGTTACTCAGTTTATAAATTGCAAGCTATAATTCCATTTGATTTTCATCGCCCTATTGCTCTGTCACGGGGATCGAATGTACACTCCGCGATGGCTTCATGATGACGAAATGCCGGGCTTGTCCACGAATGCAAACCAGGACATCTCCCAACCCATCAACCTAAACCAGATAGAATCCAGCACAATGGACAGTACCTTCAATGACCAGACACAGGGGACGGACGTGACGAAAACGTTCCCAGACCGGGTGAAGCAAAAAACATGTACCACACCCCCAACGACCCCATATTATCAAACTAACCATCTTGCCACAACAGTCCTAATATCCGGCCTCAAACGAGGCGATCTCGCTGCAGCAACTGCTGACGCCCTTGCGCACGGCGGGGCAGGAACCATAATCTACACGGGCCGTTCACAGTCCGAGCTCCAGCCTGTGGTCGACCATATCAACCGGAAATACAAAACGGTCAAGATGATCTTTGTGACGGCTGACCCTGGCAGCCTGGCTTCCTTCCACAAGGCAGCGCATACTATTAAAGAGTTGGGCGTGTCCATTGATGGTTTCGTTGGATTTCCCGAGGTCATGGCTGTACCGTGGGAGCTCACGGAGGACGGGCTCGAGTCTCATTTCCAGAAGAACTACCTGTGTTATTTCCTGCTGCTGAATCTGCTGTGTGATATTATGAAGCCAGGGTCGAGGGTTGTTCTGGTTACGTCTAGTTTGCGGAATGAGGCGCCTGCGCCGTCGTGGGATGATTTGGGGTTTGAGGTGAGTGTATTCTGTTGTTGGTGTTATATGTTATATGTTATACGATTGCTGGTGGCAGATGCTGATTTGAATAGAATGGAGAAAATTACCATTCTCTCGATGGATATTCGCAGTCGATGCTCGCGATCGTCTTGTTTATCAAGTCTATAGCGAAGAAGTACAGCGGATCTATCGTTGCCTTTTCTGCAAATCCAGGAAGTGAGTTCATTGGTGAATGTGTGTTTTGGTTCTTCGTTCTCATTCGCTTCAGATACCAAAACCAACGTCCAGACGTACGTTTCATTTGATGAGATCAAATCCTGGCTGCAGCGGAAGAAAGAAGGTATGTCCTGATAGCGAATAGCGGGGAAGACCATTTGATTTGACAGGATTTCCTTTAGCCGGCGAAGACATACCGGTCCTTTTACAACAAGCACCGAAATCTCTTGGTCAGGGTAGCGCCACGGTGCTGCGCGGATTGCTCGATCCGGAGCTTGAAGGTAAGATACCGCGATAAACATGATAGATTCATCCATAGATGTATATGAGATGTACTGATTGGATGTGAGTATATCAGTCCAATCTGGAGCCTTTCTCGACCATTGCCAGACACCCAAGTTACCGCATCTCGACTTTCCAGCGGGCGAAGAAAGTGCAGAGGCGTTATGGAAACGAAGCCATGAATTGATTGAATCGTTTCTTTCCTGAAAGGGGAGAGATCGTTCCGAAATAGGAAGGCAATCTATTTGTCTGGAGTGACAGGGCCAGTCCTATTTATTTTGATAAGCATCTCGGACTAAACACCGAAGTTCTCCATATTCTCAATTTGGAGATATTAGAGAGAAAGAGATTGGCTTAAAGAGAAGAGAAAGAGACCAACCGAATTTTGCGGGGAAGATCGTCTGATAGTCCAACTTCTTATCTTTTTTTTTCCTCTTTTCCCTCTTTTTTTCCTTCCGAGGTCACGTCTCTTCATTGAGTCAATATGTCGATCTTCCCATTTAATACGTCTCCCGTCTATCCTTCCTTTTCCTCAATTCCTTCTCCCTGATTTAAGGAATTTCTTGCTTCTCTCTTCCTGCTACGTACGAGAAATAACGCTCTCATACTTAACCTTTTGTTCTTTCTCCGAATTAACCGCATCTATACATTGCATAGGAAAGAACATTTCATCATGGCGCCAGTCATTGACAGCACAGTCGTCCCTGGCACCGTGACTTTGGTGGACGTGGATCATGTCATGGAGACCCGGCACTTGGACCGCGGAGATCGTGACATTGTATTGATCCCTACCCCATCAAATGACCCAGATGACCCCCCTCAATTGGAGTCCGAGACGGAAGCTTTTGTCAACTGCCTGCGTGAGCATGTGAGTGCAGACAGACTTTGAGGCATCCTGTATCATGTGATTAGGTGTTGATGCTTCATGTTTCTAGCTATACGATGTTCTCAGGAATTGCCTGCTCGGTCGTTTACTCAGTGATTAAGCCACTTCATGAACAAACAGGCTTGCCCGTGAGTACCCTGAACGAGGGAAGTGGGTACATGTTCCTGTTAGCTGGCTGGGGCTTGCTGTTCTGGCAGCCATTCGCTATGCAGTATGGCAAGCGGCCGACGTACATGTTATCGTTGATAGGAATTTTGGTATGCTATCCTTTAGTTTCTTGGATATCAAGTGAGGACCATAGCTAACCAATCCAGGGTATGACGATGTGGGGGTAAGAGAATTATACCGCACTTGGTTGTGCACAATAAGACAAGACTAACACCGGTAGACCATACGCAAACACCAAGGGTCAATGGCTTGCACGAAACATCCTCTTAGGTTTTTTCACGGCACCTGTAGAAGCGCTTCCTCAAATCTCCGTCACGGACGTGGTAAGTTGAATCCTTAAAAAAGAAACCCAGCTACGCTCACACAGCAACAGTACTTTACCCACGAGCGAGGAACATACATGGGTCTTTATGCATTCTTCCTGGCAGGAAGTAATTACCTCGCCCCGGTCATCTGCGGCTTTATCGCCCAGTACCAGGGCTGGCGGTGGGTATTCTACTACCCGAGTATCTTCGTCGGCTGTGCGATTATCTTCCTCTTCTTTTTCTGCGAGGAAACAAACTATGTTCGAGTGCTCTCCGACGAGCCTAGCACTGGAATATCCACGAAATCTCCAAAATCCAGCTCGGATGGTGAAAAGGATAAATCCGCGGCGGTTGACATGGAAGCTGCCACTAGGGGTAGTATAAGGTCGGGCTACACCAAGAAGTCATATGTGAAGAAATTGGCGCTCTGGGGGCCGAGCCAGGAGCAGAATACCTTGTTCCGGCGATTCTGGCAGTGTCTTTACTACCTGTCGTGGCCGGTTATTTTCTATGCTGGGTATGGATGCAACGTTTCCGGGTGATATACATTTTGACTAACATGCAGGCTAGCTTCTCTTACGGATCCTACCTGGTTTACTTCAACATCATGAATGGAACGGCCTCTATCATCCTTGGCGGGGAGCCATACAACTTCGGGTTGGTCTACTTATTACTCGGGCAATGAACGGTGCGAGCTAATGTATCCACGTATCCTAGATCTTCCATGGTCGGTCTGAGTTATCTGGCTCCCATCACCGGTGTGGTCATGGGGTAGGATCTCCACCTTAGTCCGATACTGCAACTACAGCTGACAAAAATAGATCCATTTTCACTGGCCGATTCAGCGACTGGCTCACTGTCAAACTCGCCCGCCGGAACAACGGCGTCATGGAGGCAGAGCACCGTCTCTGGCCCTTCCTCGCTTGTTTGGTCCTTGTGCCTTCTTCTCTTATTCTATGGGGTGTTGGTGCTGCTCATGAGATCCACTGGTTTGGATTAATTGTTGGAATGTGCATTCTGGCCTTCACAAATGCCTGTGGCATCGCGCTTAGTGTCAACTACTTCATTGACAGCTACCGAGAGCTGAGTGGCATTGCAATGGCTAGTGTGATTCTGGTCCGGAATACCATGTCTTTTGCAATTGGCTATGGGTATGTTTTTCTTGACTCCTAGGAAGACAAGCACTAACTTCATTTAGTATCACACCCTGGGTCGAGAACCTGGGATACCAGAACTGTTTTATCTCAGCAGCCTTTGTTGGCATGGCATGCGCTTCAGTCTTTCTCTTTATGATCAAATTTGGAAAGACATTCCGTGAACGATCTCGCGAGAAGTACTGGGAGCTGGTCCAGGAGAACTGGGAGAAGGGCATGGGCAATTAGAATAGATGTACAGTTACATTCCACTTGTACAGCTTCGCACAAACTATTCCAGACAATCTATATACTATCTATTGCACAGGATCCTGGGCCTCTGCGAGATGAATAGCACCTTCATCATCATAAACAATCTCCCTAACCTTCACGGACCTCAAATGATCAACTCCCTGGGAAAGCTCACAGTCATGGTAGAACAAGTACCACTTCCCCTGGAACTCAACGATCGAATGATGCGTCGTCCACCCAAGCACGGGATCCAAAATGCGTCCACGATAGGTAAACGGACCCCAAGGCGAGTCACCCGTGGCATAAGCCAAGAAATGCGTATCACCCGTCGAGTAAGAGAAGTAATACGTTCCGTTATAGCGATGCACCCAAGCAGCCTCAAAGAACCTCCTCTCATGATCATCCGCCAGCAAAGGCTCGCCGGTCTCCGGCGCAAGAATCACAACCTCCTTAACCGACGACGCAAGCGAAAGCATATCATCCGACAACATCGCAACACGTGGACAAAGCGCCCGAACGCCCTCGCCAGCAGGCTCCTGGGGTCCAGACATACTCTCATCGAAGACAAGCCTCTTCTTCCGTCCGTCAACACCACCCTCATCCCCATCGACCCACTCCCCATCCTTCTCCCCATCCTCTTCCTCCCCTTCAACCCAGCACTGCAACTGTCCACCCCAGATCCCGCCAACGTAGAGATAAGCCTCGCCGCCCGCTTCTTCGTCGACGAAGACAGCAGGGTCGATACTGTATGTACCCTGGATGTAATTATCCTGCGGGATGAAGGGCCCTTCCGGGGATGCGGAGACGGCCACGCCGATGCGGAAGATGCCCTTGTGGTCGCGGGCAGGGAAGAAGAGGTAGAATTTCCCGTTTTTTGTTGCGGCGTCTGGTGCCCAGAGTTGCTTCGAGACCCAGGGGACGTCTTGGTCGCGAAGGACGACGCCGTGGTCGGTTACGGGGCTGGTGATTGTGTCCATGGAGAGGACGTGGTAGTCGGCCATGTCGTATTGGTCGCCATTGTCGTTGAAGGCGATTGTTGTTTCGCGGTCATGACTGGGGTAGATGTAGAGTTTGTTGTTGAAGACGTGGGCGGAGGGGTCTGCGGTGTAGATGTGGGAGACGAGAGGGTTGGACATGGTGGTGGTATAGATAGGGCTGTATAGATGAGATGTATAGAGAGATGTGTAGAACTGGAGGGATTGAAGGCTATTAATATTTTGATTCTCAGCTATTTTGCCATTCTACTATTACCCTCATTACCCTTGTTACCCTCATTATCCTCTATTATCCCCCGTTATTCCCCTCATTCTGCTTATTAGCCTGGTCTCTTCTTTACCCGACGGCTAAATCAACGCGGCGCAAAGTCCGCGTCTTAGAAGGGGAATTGGGATATTATAGTATTGTCGAGATAATTCATGTCTTCTATTTCTATTTCATCAAATCCAAATGCAAATCACTTCAAATTCCACCGATGCGACTCTTCAGAATACGCCCTCTGCAATGCCTGCTGCCATTCCAACTCCATCTGCCGTAACACCTCGGCTTCACTCTCACTGATACTCTCCCCATTGCCATTTCCATTCTCATTTCCATTCCCTTGTTCAACATCCTCCATATCCACATCCTCCTCACACCCCCTCAGCCCAAAAAACTGCCCCAACCTCCGTACCCGCGTGGGGAGATCAATAGTCTTCTCCTCCTCCGTGCCAATCCACGGTTTAATACAAACAGGATAATTAAATGTAGCCGGGACAGGCGGGTAGACCTGATCGAAATGGCGGGCGAGGTTATCGACCTGCTCCGAGGTCAGAAGGTTGTAGGCCAGCATGTTTGGTGGGAAGTCCGGGTGCTCGAGGCCTGTTTCGCTGTTGACGAGGGGCCAGAGTTGGGAGGAGAGGTGGCGTAGGAGGGGCAGGAAATGGGGGTGGAAGTTGGGACTTTCGCGGAATGTGGGGGATTCGATTGGGAAGGGTGATTCAGTGTCTAGAGGTGTTATGCTGGAGGAGATGCTCATTGGACTGAGTGTGTCTGTCAAGGTTGTGCTTGAGTTGGTGGAAACTGAGAGGGTTCGTTCGGAGATCCAGCTGATGCTGTGAGGGGATTTGGGGGTTGTTGGATCGTCCATTTTGAATAGTGTTGAGTTGATAGAAGACTCAAGTGAATAATGCTGATCAATAGAGTATGCTATGCAGTAAACTAGAATGCAAATCGAGGAATCTAAGGACACTTATATATAAAAATGTATGCGATTGTCGAAACCCTCAAAGAAACCATCGACAATGAGATGAAACGTCCCGAAACAGCCTCTTCTTTATAACACAAAGACATCGTTCTGAACTCGCCAATCAAGGCGAGTTTCATACAGAACCTCCTTTGTTTTCCAAGAAAAGAACAATAACCATGTTCATAAATATCTATCATATACGTTTCATCTTCAAGCTTAGCCCCATTCATTGGCCCAAACGACCAACTCAAAGAGACCTATTGTTATCACAGCGACAGACTGCCCACTCCGCGTGCCAGATCGGATTCCTCTGACACAGCCGGGAGACCCACGTACTTGTTGATCCAGTTCAAAACGGTCCGATGCCACATGAGCGAGTTTTCAGGGTTCAGAACCCAATGATTCTCGTCAGGGAACGTCAGGAACGCACTGTCAATGCCGCGCATCTGAAGCACATTAAACGCAGCCAGACCCTCAGCGATGGTCAGACGGTAATCCAACTCGTTGTGAATGATCAGATGAGGCGTTTGCCAGTGTTCCGTGAACCGCGACGGGTCCCACTTCGCCCAGTTCTCGGGCACCTTCCAGATCGGCCCCTTCAGATCATGCAGAGGGAAGTATTGCTCTTCACTAGCTATCTGGGAGGTCATGCTAAACACTCCGTCGTGAGTAACTAACGCCTTGAACTTGCGCCCGAGCAAATTGCCCTGCATCCAGTTCATCATGTAGCCGCCATACGAGGCGCCCAGGGCAACCGCGCGCGTAATGTCGACGTAATCTAGGTGGTGCTCGATATAGTCGAATCCCCTGACCAGGTCCTCGTACGGCCGACCACCCCACTGTCCCTGGATTCCGTCGGTGAAGGGCTGACCGTAGCCAGTACTGCCTGTTGGGTTGGGGCAAATCACAACGTAACCCTGTTCGGCGAAAACAGCCGGGTTCCAGCGCGTACTCCACTGATCGTTCCAAGCACCCTGGGGTCCACCGTGAATCAAATAAGCAAGCGGATACTTGCTCCCGGGTTTGAAGTCAGACGGCTTCACGACCCACGCGTGGACAGGGTGATCTTCGGCTCCCGTGAACCAGATCTCATCGACCTGGGACGGCGACAAGCCGAATGCGCTGCCGCCCCGCCCGTTTGAGGATACCAGTTGGACAGTATCTGGGTGGGCTGGGTCGACGATGGTCCACAGGCTGTTATCGACCAGGCTGCTGCTAGAAACGAACAGCTTGGGGGATTTGGCTGCTGCGGGAACGGCGTCGTTGACGTATCCAGATCTAGTCAGTCTCTTTAGAGAGTCCGGTTTGATTGTGTTCACATTCTCTAACGGCAGCTGGTAAAGAACTCCGCGGCCAACCTCCTCGACATGAAGCAACAGCGATTTGTCATCATAAGCAAACGACACGGCCGAGGGACTGAGATCCCAGAGCCCTTCACCATCGTCCGACTGGAAAATTTCGATCATATCTCCATTCCAAGGGTTAGGAACATACAGGATACGGTTCTTATCAGACTCATAGCCATCCTCACGCATCGCCAGAACGGCAATAGAGCTACCATCTGAGCTAAGAACAGGAGACGACATCGCTCCCTGAAGACCGGTAACCTTGCAAATCTTCGGTTCAGACTCACTCATGCTAGTCCACGAGAACATGGGAGCATAGTAGCAAGAGCAAGAGGTGTGAGTCGCGGGGTTCAGGTTAGGATCTTTCGCAACAAACACAATGGCGGACGGGCTAATATCAAAGTCCCCAGTACCACCAAAAGGCGGAATCGGCGACTCGACACCCGCCAGCCCCGAGACCGCGATCAAGTTCGTGAGGCCTGAGATCGAGTACTTCCCAGCCTGTCGACGGGCCGGTGACAGAGGAGCCTGTTCCAGCAAGCCATAGAAGATCGCGTTCTTCTGGGGTTCAACGTACGAGTCCCAGTGTCTAAACAAAGAGGGATGTGTACAGTTTGCCGGTTGTATGGGGCTTCTTCGCATCGTGGGGATTGTACAGCGATCCGTCTGTATTAGCCTTGCCTGTCACAGCGAAGCCGACCTTTCCTGGCTCCAGACTGACCACCTTCAGGTCCGATATGGGGCCTGGGACAGTGCCTGCGGTGTATGTTTCATCGGCCTGGCGGGCATCGCCGATGACGAAGCTTGTGTTGCCGTTGCCCTTGGTCTTTAGCCAGACAAGTTTGTCGCTGTCGGCCACCCACTGTGGGTTACTGGCGCCAGGGTCGTTCGTGATAAGGGCAGAGCGGCCGGAGCTGGTATCGAAAATGCGGATTTCGTTGGTCTTGGAATGTGACTCGAAGGAGTAGGACGTCTGCGTGTAGACTGCTAGAGTGCCCGCCGCGTTGGGGACAGCTGAGGACCGTCTGGGTGCTCCGAGCAGGACCCTGGAGGGGTCGGTGTCAGTCCAAGTGCCCTCAAATACACTCAATGAAGGTTGATGTTCAATTGGCAACTATATCAGCACTACTTACTCGGGAGTGAACTTCATGTTCCGAATTGCCATATCAGATCGTATGGGAGATAAGATAGGAAGAAGCTCGGAGCTTCCTCGGATTGAGCTTAAATGAGTATCAACAGTGTCGTAGGATAAACAAACGGAAAACACAACTATATTGATGATATCAAAGAGGGGAATTAAGAAGAGGAGAGTTGGAGAAGAAGGAGGTTGGGGAGCAACGGGGAGCAACGTGATCATGCGGGGGTTTTGGCCCTGATCGGGTTAAGCGCCATGGACCTTGCAGGCATTGCCATATATATACAGTGTTACATCGAAGAAAAGCAAAGGAATGAAAGTAATATAGAACACATTTTGTATCTTTGTATCAGGCTTCGGAAAACATAACTATTATTACAAATTGTAAAACCAGATCATGACATTTACTCTTCTTCTTCCTCGCTCTCATCCTCGTCCATTCCCTCGGCCGCATTGATACTGAAAGTAGGAGCCTGATCCACGCCAACATAGCTGTCGCTCATAAGGTAGAGCGTCAACTCATGATCTCCAGGAGTAGGCACCACATATTCCAGGCGCAGCTCGAGTTTGCGACCGATAGTAACACGCTTGATAGCCAACAGGCTCTTGGTCTTCTCGTCGCCAACAACCAACCACCAGTTCTCCATCTTCTGGCTGGGGTAGAATGGTGCGTGGACGGTAGCGTCGGGCTCCTCGTCTTCTTCGATGTCCCGCTCGATCTTGACCTTGAGGTATGCGGGTTCGCCCGAAGTGATGCTCTCGGGATCCTCAACTTGGAAGTCAAGCTCGATGTTGGGGTACTTCTCATTGGTGAAAGCCGCAGCTTGAGCCAACTGCTTGTTGTCGAGGCCGAGACGCTTGACCAAAGTAGCGTAGTCCTTGTTCTCCGATGGGTCCATGGCCTCCATGAATTCGAAGATATCATTGATCCTGTACAAAGAGAGATTAGCAAAGGCGTCTGGAGGGTTTTCTGATGATACATACTTGTACTCATTGGCCACCTTAATCACATCAGGAGAGAAGTGAGGAATCTGCTTCAGAGGGCTGTCACGATCCCACATGGCCTGAACCACCATTTGGGACAATTCCATTGCGTTCATCGCGTTGAGATGACCCTCGGATGAGAGGACGTCCACACAAGCGCTGAGCAGGTTGAGAACCTTGCGAACAATATCTTCCTGATCCTTGGCAAGATCAAGAGGGAGCTGCATGCGGGAGAAGTGGGCCTGGAGGAGGACGAAGGCCTTGAAATGAGGAGAGTCGAAGGAAACCTCTGACATCTTGACCGGTACGCGGTCATACACGCGGCGGAGAATGTGATTCTCATGGCGACGCATCTGGATAGATTCGAACTCAGTGGCTGAGGTGACAATCTCCAGGATGCCCTTGAGCTTGGTCCGCGATGAGAGCGACAACAAGAACGTTTGCATTGTGATAAACGAGATGTTGTAGTAAGCACCGATCATGGCAGCGTTCAAAGGCGAAACGCTGTCATCTTCTTCATCAACGTCGATGATCTTGGCCTCTGACAACTCCTTCAATGTGTTCTCCACCAGCTCTGACAGGAAGGTGCTGAGTCCCTCGTGGCTCACGTCGCTGAGACCATAGAAACTGGGGTTGGCAAGGAGACGGCGATAGAAATAGGTGTATGTCATCCAATCAACCGCATCCTGGGTGGAGGAGATGGTCCTGGTGCTGGCTTCAGTCACAAAGGCATCGTGGAGGTAGACCTGCAGGTGACTCTCGACAGGTAAGGCCTCGTTCAAGAACTTCTTGTAGTAGTCGCGCTTCACTGCTGGCACCATAAGAACACCACGGCCAAGCTTGTCCTGGCCGGGGCGGGAGGCCTTGCCGAACATTTGCAAGATATCGCTGATGGGGTAGTCGATGTAGCGATGCTCACGACCTTCGAAGAATTGAGTGTTCATAACGATGACCAAGTGAGCCGTGATATCCAGTTCCCAGCACACATCTCTCGAAGCCAACAGCACCTGGATCGCACCGATGCTGAAGAGGTGCAAGACAATGCGCTTGTCAGTGGCATTGAGAGCTTCGTGGTAGTAGCCAATACCGTGAGAAAGCGATGTGGCAAGGGTCTGCTCGTGGATACGCCCAAGCAAAGGAGCAAGCTCATTGACATCGGCGTTCAGGAAACGATCTTCGTCGTTATCGATGGCACACGCCGAGAGGAGATCCGCAGCGGTCGCACGGACCTGCTTGCGGCTCGGAACAAAGACCAGAGCAGGCTTATCTGGGGAGAGCTGCAAAATCGATTGATAAGCCGGGCGGGCCATCGCAAGCATGGCAGACGGGAAGTGGGGGATGGAGAATGATTGAAGGTGAAGCTCCAGGGGCACAGGACGGGCATGCGGGCTGAAGTTGTAGATCGTGTGCTTGTTGGCACCAATCCACTCCCCGATGTCCCGAGCATTGGAAAGAGGCACACTTAGACCAACAATGCGCATTTCGTTTTCAGTCTGGAGAGCGATGTAGTGCATGCGCGACACGATCACTTCATACACGTATCCAGCGTAGCCGCCGAGCAAGTGAAGCTCGTCGGGGATGAACAGTTGCACTGTCTGAATGTTCTTACGTCGCTGCCACTGGCGAGACAACACATCCCACTGAGTGGGAGTGGCAAGCACGAGATCAGCCTGTTCGAGAAGCTTCAAATCGGCTGTGGTTTCGCCCGTAAGCTTGACAATCGTCTTGCCTCCATCCAGTCCACCAAGGCGCTTCTGCCAGTCAGCTAGCCGTTGGTCGACAAGCTCTTGGAAGGGCGCAATGTAGACTGCACGACCGCTATCCTGTTTCGACCAGTGACGAAGCAAGGCCAACTCAGCGCAAACAGTCTTCCCACTTCCTGTGGGAGCGCCGATGAAGATGTTGTCATCGGTGTCGAATACTGACTTGAAGACCTGAGACTGGATCTTGTTGAAATGCTGCCAGTTGGGGTACAACGCTTGGTAGTCCTCACGCTTCAGTGCCTTGACAGGTGCGCGCTGCATGTCGAGGAGAGGTGTATGGGGAGGGAAGCGCTCCGGCAGAATCAGCTTCTGGAAGGAGACGGCAATCTTCGTCTCAGAATGCATCCATCGGTCAGAGACAAGCGAGATGAAGTAGTTGGGAGGCATCGGCTCAGTGACAGGGACGGTGAACTCGACAAGATGCTCATTCATCTCGGACTTGGCAAATTCACCACGAAGCAAGAATCGATCGTGGAATAAGATCTCTTCTCCATCACAGTCCTCAACCAAAATCCAGAAGTCTTGAGCATTGCCATGGATTTCGTCATCCCAGACAAAGTTAGGGGAAATGGTCAGCTCTACACGCAGCATGGATCGCGTGATGGGCTGGACTTGAGCTTGAACATCGAGTCGAGGGAACTTGGACACCAAGTCGCACACAACACGTCCAGCCTTGGGCATGCTCAGAAGCTCACCCATGCGGGGAGGATCCAAATCGAAATAACTGCCCCAAGGCACGTCAATGCGCTCCGCCTTCTGCAACACATCTCGTGGGCAGTGGGGGAATTGACGAAGGGGGGACATCGTCGGCCACATGCGCTTCTCGGCCATTTTGCACAGATCAAGCGCAGTCTTGGCCACCGAGGCCCATCCCTTCTTCAGGCAAATCTCGAAAATCGCGCGGATGATACGTCCAGCAGATTGAGTGACATAAACCATGTCTGCCATCAGCGCAAGCCCCTCGAGTTTGAGTCTGGAGATATAAGCCTGCAAAAGAACATTGATCTTGGCATGGGGCTCATCAATGGTCTCCTTAACAGGGACGGGCACACGGCCTAGCAGTTTTCCAAGCTCAAGCTTCTCATCCTGGCGGACTGGGATGTACTTGAACTCGTCACTCAGAGCAAAGATTCGGAACAACTCAATGGTCGTAATGGAGGGTTGGAGGTGTTGGGAGTAGGTGAGCATTGAGTTGTGACCAATGTAGTAGTGCGAAGAGATACGTCCAAGCTCAGTCGACTGCAGACGTCCAGTCTTCTTTTCATACTTGACGAGACCGGCCTTCTCAAGGACCGCAGCAGCGGAGTGAATAAGATCAACTCGCTTTTGCTCCAGGGCATCATCGTCCTGGTAATCAGCGCCAACACTGTACAGACCAGGTGATCGGAGCATCCGAACGTAAAGGTACGTGTAGCCTAGCCAATCCACACCTTCATCGCGGGTGCGAACATTACCAAGTACAATCTCAGCATTCAGATTGTCAACTAACTTGCTCATCAGCTGCGACTCAATTGGAAGCTGTTGGTTCAAGAGCGAGAGATAGTATTGAATCTCTGCTTGCGATGTGATAATGATACCCTCACCGAAGGTATCATATTGGGGTCGACCAGCTCGTCCCAACATTTGCAGAACATCTTGCGGGCTCAACTCGACCCAGGCACCCTTCTCAGGCGAGTAGACCTGGGTTCCCTTGATGATAACAGTGTGGGCGGGAAGGTTGACACCCCAGGCCAGTGTCGCTGTACAAACGAGGACCTGGATGCTTCCGTCCGCGAAAAGTGCTTGGACTGAATCACGGTCGGCAAGACTCAGGCCAGCATGGTGAATACCGAGACCGTACGGCATGAGATCCTTGAGACTAGCATCATCCACAGAGTCTGCCTCTTCGGAGAGAATGGCACGACTAGCAGCGTCACTGCGCAGAATCTGACCAATTGTTTCATTTTCAAGGGCCTTGTCTCTGATGTACTTGGCGGTCTTGGCGGTCTCCTTTCGAGAGTGGACGAAGATAAGCATTTGGTTTCGGTGTTGCCCGACCTGCTCCATGACCTTGGTATAACAAATGTCGTTCATAGTCTTTAACTGCTTGATGGCCTTCTTTTCGGTGACACCGATGAATTCCTGCTTAAGGGGGCAAGGACGGTAGCTGCCGTCGAAATGGAACATGCCCTTGACAGGATCTGCGCGCAGGAAGCTTCCCACATCACGGTAGTTGGGAAGGGTAGCACTGAGACCCACGATTCGCACCGGCTCTCCAGTCTGCTCGGTTTTGCGAATGGTTCGGCTGACAATGCTCTCAAGGACGGGACCACGTTCATCGTGGAGAAGGTGAATCTCGTCGATGACAACGAGGCGAACAAGGTTGGTGTAGCTAGTCTCGGTTGCCTTTCTGGTGATAACGTCGTACTTTTCAGGGGTGGTGACGATGATCTGGGTATCGGCAATTTGCTGCTTGGTGAGCTGACGATCACCCGTAAGCTCGGACACTCGGATACCGTAAGGCTCCAGGCGCTTGCCAAGATTGCCAACTTGTTCTTGGACCAAAGCCTTTAGGGGAGAGATGTATACAATTTTGAAGTCATCCAGCATAATCTCTCCCGTTTCAGGGTTGCGATTCTTCCCGATTTCTCGAAGAATTGTGAGCATAGCAACGTTGGTCTTTCCGGAACCTGTGGGGGGCACAGACAAGCATGTTTCCATCGTCATGGAACGCTGAAGGATAGCACCTTGTTTGCACACGGTTGAGTTCCTTTGAGGTTCCAAATCCAACACGGGCCCATTCCGGTAGCTCGGTGGTCGGGATATTCTTCTCTCCAGCCTCCTTCTTGGCCTTGGGTGGTGGCACATGGATCTCTTCGTATCCCTTGAATGCTCGCTTGGTTGAGCCCTGGGGAAGTTTAACATTGGGGTTGGTCATAAGATGGTTGCCTTGATGGAAGACTAAGTTTTCCAAATTGATCGTTCTCTTGGGCTGAGGAATGCCACCCTCGCCAACTTCGGCAGGTTTTTGGTCGGTAGGTGGGGCTGAAGGAACATCGACATCCATCAAGTCAAACTTCATCTTCTTACCAGGCGGTGCGCCGAGATCCTCGCCAACTTCTTTGCCACGGATTTCATCGAGGATGGCGCGTTGACCGGCTTCGACCATCTCAATCTCTACGAGATTGCGAGCATCGGGATCCTCTGCGACTCTTCTCCAGCGGGTAACCCAGACGGTCTTGTCGCGGTTGGTGACCAGTTTAGCAACAAGATCGGGATGGTCATAGTCGAAAAGTTCCATGAGGTCGTTCTCAACGTCGCGCAGAGGTTTTAATGTTCCATCCTCCTCCTTTCCGCCGAGGATCTGAAGGGCCTCATCGGTTTTTTCATGCTGGGTGTGAGGATCTGTGTATATGGCACCGATTTGACGCTGCAGCCAGTAAGCATCGATTTCACGAGCGGAGACCTTCAACCCGGCCTTTTCTGCGGCTTTATCAGTCCGGCCAAAACCTCCATCGATGACCATTTCATCTCCGTCTTCGTCTTGGGCTGCTGCTGCATCTTCGGTTGCGAGTTGTTCTTGTTCATCCTCTTCTTCTTCGTCGGTAAGGTCGTCCTCGTCTCGAACTTCGTCCACGGTTCCCATGCGCTCATCATCTTCATCTTCGTCGAAGACAACAGCCACACCCTGGCGTTCGTCAAGTTCGCCACCTTCTTCATCGAGGCCACCTTCCATCTCTTCTTCTTCGTCCTGAGCATCATAGTCTGTAATTTTTTTGCCCAGGTTCACAAGCTCGTTGAACTCCTTGGGGTTCATTGAGGTTCCCAGAAGATCATCGATCTCCTTCTTTTTATCGAAATCTTTCATATCTTCGTCCTTCAGTAGTTCCAATACAGCATCGGCGGCACTTCGAATGACTTCGTGGGGGACATCACCGAGCTGGCTTCCGGTGATTGTGAGAATAAGGTCGTACGTGGCTCGTGTGGCGGGCGTGCGAGGACGATATTTCAATCCTTCAACGAAGGCATCGGCTGCTGAAAGGATTCCCTGACCCCGTAGTTGTGCTGGTTGGCCGCGGTGCCGTTTTTTCTGTTCGCGTAAAAGCACATCTTCGCCCTCACCGATTGCGCCCCGCTCGAGAGCTGCCGGAGCTGTCTTTTTAGATTTGGGCGCGTCCTCACGCGCAACTCGTGCACCCATCTCGCGGATCCCAATGCGACCCGCGAGGGACTCCGGGTCTCCAGAGGGTTCGTCATGGGTGCGACTGATAAAACGACGGTCCGCCTGGAGAACCAGGTTGGACATCGCCGAGTACTTGTACTGCGAAATATTTTGGTCCGCCATCTTGGTGGTTGTCTGGCTGGATCAAGAGAAAAAAACGATGAAAGAAAAGAGTGAGTTGCGACAAGAATCTGCCTGCGGATGGTCAAGATTCAGGCCGCGCCGAGACAAGACGATGTCGGCGATTGATCAAATTCAAATGGTCTCACAAACCTGGCTCATCCTCCTGCCGCAAGTAATGTCACTGGTAAGGGAGAAATATCACCCAAGGTTGTAGATAGATGAAGTCAAGGAGAGTTGCAGCTCGGGAAGATTTCGGTGGCGAAGGCGGAAGGAGGGGAGCTTGGATGGTTCTGCCACCCCAAACGGTTTGGAGCGCGTCGCAACAATGCGCCCTGGTCTGTCGATTTCTCATTTAATGCCAGTTTATATGAGGCCCCTGACGACCTTGATACGTTCATCTCATTGCTGCCACATACACCGGACCATCTGTCACCATGCGCGTCGACCCTCCAGCTCACGCGTGTCCACCGCCGCACCAAAAGTATACATACGAGGCGCAAAAACTAAAGCGACAGTAAAGTTGAAAGACCTTCCTCAGGGAGCTTTAAAACTGGAGGCATACGATGACCGGGTGGATGAGGCTCCTCGTTACCCTACTGTGGTACAGGGGCACCGAAACAATATGCAGACGTTCAAGAATTGTGTTGTCTTGACCCGAGTCGGGGGGTTCTATGAGGTACGATAATAGGCACTACATGGCTAGAGAACTCCATGCTAAGATTATATTCTGTAGCTCTATTTTGAACAAGCAGAGGAACTCGCACCATTGCTTAATCTCAAGCTCGCGACCAAAAAGACCAACGGCGGGCCAGTTCCGATGGCTGGCTTCCCCTTCTTCCAGCTCGATCGTTTCCTCAAAACTCTCGTCGGAGACCTCAACAAATATGTGGCTATTAGCGAAGAGTTCGCCGTCAATGCAGAAGACAAGACACGCGCAGGAGGCCTTATGTTTGATCGGAAGGTTGCTAGAATCATCACACCTGGCACCCTGATTGACGAGAAGTTCATTGATCCTTCTGAGCATAATTTCTTGTTGGCCGTATATCTGGATGTCCCATCTTTGCAATCGCAGTTGAAGCAACATGCTGACAATGATTCCCAATCATCGCATCAGCATATATTGTCCTCTGTGCCCCAACAAGTAGGATTGTCATGGCTTGACCTCTCAACTGGCGATTTCTTCACTCAGCTCACAACGACCCAAATGCTTCCATCTGCGATTGCACGGATTGGAGCTCGTGAGATTCTGGTCGATCAGAACGTACAAGACATTATTGGACATGAATTGCAAATGCTTGTCGGACACGATCATCGTCTTGTCACATTCTTCCAATACCCAGGAGCATTCAAACCAGTATCTGAATGGGGTGCAATGTTAGAGTCTCCGATTCCTGAAGATGCTCACGCCTCATTCACGCCGGAGGAAGTAGCAGCTGGATACAGTCTGCTTCAGTACATTCGCGTGCAGTTGCAAGGATCAAATCTTAAGCTCCAGCCTCCAATTCGGAGACATTTGAATGAATCGATGAGCATTGACCGTAACAGTCTGAGTGGTCTCGAGATTCTAGAAACAGCGAGAGACGGTTTTGGGAAAGGAAGTCTTCTGCATGCTGTGCGAAGGACTTGTACAAAAAGTGGTGCACGGCTTTTACGAGACCGGCTGAGTATGTCCAACCAAAATTTTGAACGTTGTTGTGGCTTTTACTAATGCATTACATGTAGCCTCTCCATCTACATCCTTACAAGTCATTAATGAGCGTCTGGACCTTGTCTCGGTTTTTATAGAACATGTGGAGCTCCGTGACCGTGTCATCCAACTTTTGAAGCGCAGCCATGATTCTCAACGCCTCGTTCAGAAATTCACTTTTGGGAAAGGTGACCCAGACGACTTGATTTGTCTTTCCCGTGCCATTGAGGCCTCTAAGGAAGTAAGGCAGGTTCTTCTAGATCACAATAGACTTTCGGTGTCATCCAGCACTTCAGATCTGAATCACAGTCTCACTATCATGATCTCACGGCTTTTCCTCGATGGTCCCATCGCGCTAGCGGACCAAATCCTCGCTGCTATTGACGAAGAAGGCTTGCTACAAAAGCAACGCATCGAGGATAGTACCGCAGCAGAGGCAGCCAATCTAGCCGAAAAAGTTGCTATGGATGAAGCCACATCCAGCGAGCTCGAAGCACTGCCGAAAAAGGTCAGAGCGAAGAAGGGCGAGCGAACAGTTGTGGCTGATACAGACTCCGGCCCCCTCGATACCTGGATTATGAGGCGTGACGCAAGTAAGACTTTGAATGATCTCCACGCGGAACTAGAACGGTTGGGCGATGAAAAGACTTCATTGACTCAACGTCTCCGTGATTCGGTTGATTCGTCAGCTTTGAGCCTTAAATGGACACCAGGGTTGGGCCACATCTGCCACGTCAAAGGGGCAAAGATATCCCAAAAATCCCTGGAAGACTTGGGGGTCACTCGAAATGTCTCATCGACCAAATCTACCCGGTCGTTCTATCTACCAGCCTGGACAGAGCTAGGAGTTAGAATGGACCACGTGAAGATTAGGATCCGCCAAGAGGAACAGACGATCTTTGATCGTCTGCGCCGTGAGGTGATACTGAACCTTGTCAAAATTCGCCGGAATGCAGCAGTCATGGATGAGTTGGACGTGGCGTGTTCATTTGCAACTCTCGCCCAGGAACAACAAATGGTACGGCCGATCCTCAACGACGGTACCTGTCATAAGATCGTCGGTGGAAGACATCCCACGGTCAAGCTGGGTCTAGAGGAACAAGGACGATCGTTTGTCAGCAATGATTGCTTCCTGGGTGATTCCGAGCGGATCTGGCTCATTACTGGTCCCAACATGGCAGGCAAAAGCACCTTCTTGCGCCAAAATGCTTTAATCACAATCCTCGCACAAGTCGGATCTTTCGTACCCGCGGCTTATGCCGAGATCGGTATCGTCGATCAGATCTTCAGCCGAATTGGTGCAGCGGACGACCTCTTCCGAGACCAGTCGACGTTCATGGTGGAGATGTTGGAAACAGCTACTATTCTCAAACAAGCCACACCCAAGTCGTTTGTGATTATGGATGAAGTGGGCCGGGGCACAACCCCCGAAGATGGCACGGCTGTTAGCTTTGCGTGTCTGCATCATTTACACAATCACACCCAGTCCCGAGTGCTTTTTGCTACTCATTTCCATGCCCTTGCGGACATGACAGAGGACTTTGAGAAATTGGCGAGATACTGCACGGACGTGAAAGACATGGCTTCAGGTGCCTTCTCTTTCGTCCACCGGCTACGGAAAGGTGTCAATCGCCAGTCTCATGCTCTGAAGGTTGCTCAACTGGCTGGTTTGCCCAAAGAGACCCTCGAGCTGGCTACGCGGGTCCGCCAGGAAATGAGGGATGCACTTCCAGTACCTCGGGTTGCTGATGAAGATCAACCTTAGCCTCAGCGTCCTTGAAGGTGAATGTTGTGGTTAATATATACTTCAAGGTACTATGTATGATATTTATGTACAGTATTTCGGCTTCTCTTGTTAAAGATACCACCAAATCACAAAGCAAGGTTGGCAAATGCCTCCTCGCATCTATTTTCAATGCCAACTGTCGGAGTCTTCGGTCTCGACCTCAGAACCCAGCACTTTCGAGTGTTTCGTAGATATGCATCTACAGGTCAGAGCTTAGCCGACCACAGCCTTGGACCCTTCTCAACCCGACCAAGTTGACCCTTCCGACCAAGATCAACAACCACACCCTCGCCAAACGCAGCCTCCTGACAATCCTCATCCCCAACCCCATTAACAAACTGCACAACAACAAAATCAACCCTCCTACGGCCCAAAACCACCATAGGCGCATGCCACGTTCCAACACCGTAAGTAACAGCCTGACCACCACGCGCCACAAACGCCTTAATATTATTCAGATCCGGCGGGTCACGAATAGTGACCGTCTCACCCGCCTCATTCTTCGCGGTAGCAGTCTTTCCCTTCAAAGTGGGCGCAACAACGACTAAGAACAGCGGCTCTTCCTCACCATCCCCGACTTTCGAATGAGCCGACAGATCAACGGGAATGAAAGTCTGATTCGTAAATGGATGGCGCTCAAGGATCCGCACGTCAAAGACCTCCCTATCAGACAGCTGGGGGCCGGTGCTGACAGTGCGCAGATTGCGCGGGAAGCAGCAGAACATGGTCATGCGTGCCTCGGAGGGCTGCCCACTTGGACAGACATTGGTGTAGCGATCGATGAGCGGGGAGATGGGACTGTACTTGAGAGCGGAGTTTTGGTTCGCCAGGACCGGGATTGGGTCGTGTGGCGGTAGGGATGATGGTTGAGGGGCGATGTTTAATTCTCTTGGTAACGGGGATACCACTGCTGTACCGAATTGTGCAAAGTTCTCCGGCGTAAGCGGCACCGGGGTGAGCGTGACTGTCGGGTTGGTTGAGAGGATCGGCGCCATGGTGAGCTTTTAGTTGTCTCGCGGTGTGTGTGGACGTGTGTGCTGGTCAATCGCTTGGTGTCCGCCACGTATTTGGCGTGCCGCTCTACCGCTCTATGAGAGAGGAAGAAAAAAAGAAGAGAAATTGGATTGGATGTGGTTTATGAAGCTAATGCGGAGATGTCGGCGTCCTCCGGTGATAAGATAAGCGGCCGGGACCGGGGAAGTATAGGATTTGTTCATTTTTATATTCATTTTTATACAGAATGTTACCCGGAGAACTACATAAAGGCTGCTTGGATTACTCTTACGGTGCGTTTGTGCTCATGTCAACCAAGTCATAAGCTCTTCAGGGTGTTGCCGCTTAGCTCTGCGTCCAAGCTTGGAGAATACGCCAGTTGCTGACGACAAAATTAAAACTGGTCCATGCACAAAACGGGAACGGGAACTGTTCCCAAGTTGGTTCCAATATCCTGGCACTGAAGTCCGTGCTGAGGACCTTTGGGATAGTACAATAATGAGTTGGTACCCAGATAGACATAGTACGTGGGATGTAACATAGTGCGGGGAAAATCAATATTGTCTTATAGATGTTTCTTTCACCGTTCATATACATACATTTAGCCATGGGGATGACATTGATTCGCTCTTGAATCTAGCAATGTCGGTCTGGGAGATATAAATGCGTTGTATATGTACATGTACTCTGCAACCCTGGAGTGACCAGCGAGCACGGGTAGATCTAAAAGATCTGAGACAGCCAATCTATAGAACAGGATCTTTACATATGGTTCGCACGCTAGCCGCAAGGCAACCACTGCGTGGTAGTTAGTTTTATAAACTTGACCGTGTTTGCTCCTCAATGAGGCTCTCGGGACTGCGAAATAATACACTGGGCCGACATTACCTGCAACATACTTAACACTGGCCAATGATTTACACATTCGATCCCTCCTCAATGACATCCGCGAAATGCCGTTAATAGCTATTGGTCCATTGGGTCCGTTCCTCCGGGACTGATACCTAATCCAGTGCAATATAGAATTCGATGATCACACACCGGTGTTTGAATTCCAACACGGTGACATTGAACTCTTTGTCTTGCTTAATGCTATATGAAAGACTTGGACATAAATCAACTGTTATTTCCTCTCCAGAGCTCAACGCACTTTACCCTCCTTCTGATACTTGAAACAACTTACTCGTTTTAGCTGTGCTTGGAATACCGTGAGCCTATTCCAAGTGCTAGAGTAACTATATCAATTCTAGCAACAATGGATTCTTCGAATCAGTCTTCCCAACAAGCCTCTACACAAACTTCTACGCCCAACACGGGCACTTCAAATGCTGCCGTTGCAAGCTCATCCACTCCTCTAACAAGCTCTAAGTATACTTACTCCGAACAGAAATTAAGGTAAGACCAATATTTGATATCTGACCTATTCCAAATTGAGAATAACCAGCTAACACAAACACGATAACTCAAATAGTGACGACGAGGAATTCAAACGAAATACCAACTACATGGGCAGTTGGATCAAAAACCTCAACCACCCAGATCAATTTTCATTGCCCAAGTCCTGAGTGAACAATCAAGTCCACCCAGTGTTGGACCAAGGGGCATAGCAACAATGCGGCTATTTGAGGGGTGTGAGAAGGATACGTGCAGGGAATAGTGAGCTGGTTCGTGTTTAGGATGCATTTGCTTGTCCATGAACCCAATCATGCATCTGAACTCCGAGCATTCCCGAGATTGACAGTTTCATTCTGCCTATGACGCCTATTTGGAGGAAGGATGCACTAATGCATGTATACTTGGAGTTGGGAGGCCTAGCGGGGGTCAGGACAGAACTGGGACCGATGGTACGAATATACGACATGGCTTTTATTTTATTTTCTTACTTTTTTGGTCTTTTTCTTTTGTCATTACTCTGGACGAAAGACATGTGATAGGAAGAAAATTGAGGGGGAGATTGACTAGGGTATGCAGCCATTACTCGTGCATGATATGCCAGCAGAACGGCAGATGGCAACATTTCCCGGAGATCCGACGCCATGGGAATGGAAGTCAAGGCCAAGAAGGGAATTTGATGGTTTAGCCGACTGACTATGTGTTGTCGATGTCAACTTGGTACGACCGATGCGGCGCTTTTCCCCTCTTTTCTTACCTCGGACATTTAGCCTCCGTGTCTGCTGTCAAAATGTTAATATCATGCGTTATGGTGGTGCAGGTCACCAACTTATTTGACTGGACTTGAATCGTTAAACATGCATGTACATGTAACATCAAGTCGCATCCTTAATGCAGTCGTGCCCAAACTGGAATGACGCGTATGCGCAAGATTACGGGATTTAACATCATAACGGAGTCAGATACAGCAAGGATGACACGGCCAAGAACTGCTAGTTAGCTCGTGGCTCACTCTAGTAGGCCTGGGAAGCCCTTGGCACATATGACGCTCTATACCCGATGCCACTTTACGCGTAATGGATAATCATTCATCCCCAGAATATTTTAGTAAATAGACGTCTCTCCAGAGAGATTGTATCACTACTTACATGGCCCCATGAGAAAATAGGCTATCTACTTGCAGTGGATCTTTGGTATGAGATTGTAGTAGAGGCAATGCTTGGGAATGGTACAATCCAAATGGGAAATAATGTAAAAAAGGCAATGAGTAGACCAAAACTCGAAACTTCAAGAGACTACACATTTGGTTCCATGGGGCGATTTGCATAAGGCGAGTAGCGACATATTAACAGAAGTTGATAGATTTAGTCGATTAATAGATGAAACTGTTGAGCGTAGGTATCTAAGCATTTGAGAGGGGGAAGAAAAGTAGGATTGATTTGCGACAAAGGTGGCCCACGGCACCAGGTGTCCAACGAATGTGATGTGGAGCGCGATGCTTCCTGTGTGATTTATGCCCTGATTGAGATCTCGTAACGCCGCCTGTACAGCCCTGAAAGTGGTCACAGGCTTTATCCTTTCAGGCATCGTTAACTGAGAACTGATGGTGGTGATGGTGTGGTGGTATTTGACTTGAATACACTGGGCTATTGTTTGCACCACACTTTGCAGACCACTCCTACAGGGAGTATCCGGGGCCTTGTCCCTGTATTTGGACTGTCTCTGCCATTCCGAGGATGTCACGGTACTTTGACTATCCGATCAGCATCCATTGTTTAGTCTCTCGCGAGAGTAAGGTTGAAAATAGGGTGTTTAATGGCTTGTACCCACATCTCGGCAGCCATCTCTGCGACCTCATGACACTGGACGAAATCGGTGACCATAGCGATGTCACTAAACCTCTGTGGGGACAATACCCGGGAAACACCTCGCAGACCACGTATCAGCCGTGACACTATAGTACATCTGGCTTGCAGATAGTACCGGGAAGGTCGACAGACCCATTCCTAAAATTTATGTCCTTTAGGCCAGCGACTTTGTAGTATCGTCTTAAATCAGGCAAAGCTAGCTTGTGGTGTTTAGAGGAGACCTGGAACCGATCAGTGGACCCCAACGCAGCCTATGGTCTTGCTGATAAGAACAGCACTTGGCGTATGGAGAATGATATCTCCATCTGGATCACATGGATCGGGACAAGCTGGTTGCCTTAGGCCAACCGAACTGGGGACATAACCCTAGGATGAGGCTATGGGTGGGATTGGAATGCTGGTGGTAGAGCCAGGCCGATGTACCTGTGATAGGGATATAAGAGATATGTGATGAAAATGGGATCCTTCCGCTTATAATTCCAATTTTCTTCTGTGGTTAGTTATACCTCATCTATCTACATCTTGAAATACCAAGATGTCAAAGACCTTGGGGAGGTGTAGCATCTAGAAGTTGATCCATATAATGATTTTGATTCACCTCTCCAGCTTCTCTATATTTTCCTATGATGCTCATCCTTCATCCACTTTGAGACCTACACCTATATTGCTTGTTTTCGAATCAGTCGTCTCCCTCACTTCTGATATCCTTTGAAAGGTAGGATAATCGTCACTCTACAGTGAATTCGGAATCAAAAGTTGACTCCGTAAATGATCTACCGGTCCCTCGGCTTTGTTTACACCTTCCCAAGACATAATCTTGACTCTATTCACAGATCTCTGCTTCTCCCTCTGCATTCTCTTTGCTCTATCTGACTTTAGGGTGTCGACACCGTCTACATCTAACGGCTTCGGACCAGGACCAGGACCATAAACCCACGTCGACTAAATTGACAGAAATGCATACCCACCAAGTTGATCCAGATGGAGATATCATTCTCTTCACACCGGCAACCTCAGAAGCTCCCTCAGTTGACGTCATCGAAGGCAATGTGCCTGGAGAGCACACTCGCTTTCAAGTCTCATCGAAGCACCTCACACTTGCTTCAGATTATTTCAAGCGGATGCTAAAAGCGTGCTGGGCTGAAGGGGTTGCTCTTTCGGCATACGGGTCCGTAGAGATTCCCGTCAATGACTGCAAACCTGAAATTCTTCTGATCATTTTGAACATTATTCATGGACATTCACGACAAGTCCCTCGAAAGTTGTCTCTACCGCAATTGACCGATATCGCCGTGGCCACCGACTTCTTTCAATGCCACGAGGCACTCGAGGTGTTTGCTGGTACTTGGATTCAAGACCTTAAGCCGCCTATTTTGTCCTCGTTCTCAGAAGATACAAAAAAGTGGATGATGATCGCCTGGGTCTTCAAGGCCAATGATATTCTTCGAGACACAGAAACAATTGCCATGCAGCAAGGAACAGGTCCATTTCAGGCAAGCAGTCTACCGATTTCAAAAAGCATTAAAGGTGCGTTGGTGAAAACCAATGTTTGATTGGTCTTGAGATCTAACTACGTGGTTCTAGACAAAATCGATCAATCCAGACAAAATTACATAGAATTGCTCCAGGAAAAGATTGGAGAACGGATCGAAACCCTGTTGAACAGCCCAGCCGCGAAGAAAAAGTCTTGTTGTGCCCCGGGCTGTGATGCAAAACACCTCGGTCTTGTCCTTCGCAAACTGAACGAAAAGAAGATATCTTACTCATACAAGCCTTGCTCCCCCTTTTTCACAGTCGGTCTTGAAAATGTCAGTCCTATTACCATCTGCCTTATGGTCGCATATGGGAGATCGGACGGCCGGGCCTATTGTGCTCCCCGTAAGCGTTGTGAAAACTACCGCTACCTTTTCGGAGATGATGCTGCACGCGAAGCACGGAAACTTCCAACTTCGCGATAGGAATCCGAGATTTCTTCCATGTCATTTATCGACCGCGGTCAATCTATTAACATCAAATTATCTCTATTTCTCTGTTACACCCATAGACATCCAACCCCGTACAACCAGTTTTCAAGTCTGTTGAAGTCTGGATGCTTGAGCTGTGCTTCTACTTGCGAAGGAAAGGGGTGGGTGATGAGCGTCTCACCAGTTCAATAGTAAGTTGCCCCAGCTGAGTGTCTTAGAACCACAAGCCTAAATAAGCTCTTGCTGCAGGACATTGCGCCATTTGTAGGCTGTTTTATTGATAGCCCAATAACAAAGATGTTGCATTATATATCTATTTCTACCCATTCATGAACAGTAGATTCGCTAAAATGGAAAGTCAACAAGCATTAGCGTACCCAAGGACTAGATGAATTCTCTTGTGCCTATATACGAAGTTCAGTCTGCAAATATGTCTATCGAGGGCGCGGTTCAAGGCCAAAATAAGATCCCAGGTACGGTTTCTATATGTTAGCATAAGACCTCGGGATGGAGTTGACTATGAACGACAGTTATTCTAAAGCCTACATAGTTATCTGTGTAGGTAAACTTCGAATCATACTCATTGAAACAGAGGGCTTTCTATAGAGATTACAAACAACTCAAAAGTATGTGCATTGATGACCTGGTAGGGGATACTGAAATCCATCCATATAACCCATTCCATATAACCCATTCCAGCTATCCATGGATGGTATACTTGGATATTGTAGACAAGTCCCGGGAGCTACCATAGCAACGGCACCATCGTAATGACGACTATGTTTCACGTTGAAAGTGAAGCACAACAGTAATCAATACACCGGTTCAGGAATATTCTCAAGAGACGACAGAATATCTCCGAGTAACATATTGTTTTGCTCTTCAGCGGCGCGTGCATCGCCATGGTATATTGGGGAGCGTTTGCAGTCACAGCGGTTGCTCAAAAGTCTGGGAGTGTTTCGACAATCTCGGCTCACCACTTGACACTCGCTGATAGTAGACCAGAATATATTAATATCACTGGATTCTGCCGGTTGCTGAGGAACGGACTCCCTCGGTATGAAAATTTAAAGATGCCGTAGCAAGTTCAGATCAAGTAGCATTCTCCCCTTTTGCGTCAAACCGTGCTTTCTTGGCTCGTCTTTTGATTTCTCGCTTAGACAAAGGCTTGTCAGCGTCCTCGGGGACAGGCTCGGAACTAATAGAAGCCTTCCTCTTGAGATTGTCCGCTCCAGTTTCTGGCTGCGCGGGTTCTTTGGTTTTTGGTGCAACCTTTTGCTTTGGCGCGGGTCCTTCAGGCTTAGCTTTCTCCCCGCCGTGGACGATATCCACTATGCCTCGCCAACTGGTTCGTCTCAATTTGGCCAAAGCGGTCACCTTCCGTGACTCTTCGCAGACTGCTTCCTTTCCACGCTCTTGTGATAAACCCCAGACACAGGCAAGATTGATCACGTCCCACGGGGCTCGTAGACTCAAAGCTCTTCTTGCTTCGCTAGACACAATGATCCCTCGACCGCGTGTCGCGCGGATCAAGGATGTTGCATTCCCAATGAGGTTTCTTCGCGCATCAAGTCCACTCCCCGTGATCCCTGGCCCATAGCATATTTCTATACGGACTCCACGTGAGATTGCCGCGGACAGCATCTTGAATTTGAAGTGGTATGGAAGTCGCACCGAGAGATCCACAGAGATCACGTCGCATTCCAAGTTGGTGCACGCATTTAGAAGTGACTTTTCATTTGTGGGACGGAGAGCAACAAGGTCGTACGCTTGACTCAGGGCGGCTAGGCGCTGATTCTGCGCGGGGTCGGCCAGAGTCAGGTTCAACCGGGTCAGCAGTTGGAGGGATTTCGGCGCGTTTGTTGGAAGAGGAGGTGCAGCGAGAGTTGGGGGAAGCTTCCCGTTGATCGTTTGAGACAGGGCAACGGTAGTGTAACCAACTAAAAAGTCAGGTCAGTCCCTCATGTGCTCTTAACTGCCGGATCTTGTGCCGCAGAGCGGAATGAATGACTTACGTTCGGCGAGGAAATTCAGAGTGTGGGGCACCTCCGGGTCATCGGGGCTGTAAGGCACATTCAGGTCGTAAAACATGGTGGGTTTAAAAGAAGGCCAGCCCTGCCCGTGGGGATTGTTGTTTGACTTTCTCAGCGCTCTTGGTCACATCGAACTGTCCCAAAAAGGCAACCAGAAAATCTACCGGATTAACAGAGGATCCGTCACTCTTCGCACTAACTGTTTCGGGTCGGTGCCCCACAAAACCTCTCTGATCCCGTGATCTCAGGTGGAACGGTTCTCATTCTACTGATCATATCACGACAATATCTCACTTCGTCCATCCCATTGCTCAAGGCCTCTTGCGAGCACTGCGTTTGGGCTGAATAGTCGCTGGGCCTGTTGCTACCTGTATCATCCGCCAACCTAATCCCCGGCCCCTCTCTCCGTCACACGGCCGCGCCCCTCGTGACCCCGCCGCACATCTCTCAATTGTGGGCGCGCTCGGAAACCGCCTGTCATCGTCAAGATGGCGCGTGTCTATGCCGATGTCAACGAGCATATGCCTCGGTCCTACTGGGATTATGACAGTGTTAACATCTCTTGGGGTGTCCTTGAAAATTATGAAATCGTTCGCAAGATAGGTGAGAAATGATCAAATCCTGTCCTTTTTGCGGGATGTCGGAGATAGTTGCCGCAAGCTGTGAACTGCAGGTAGGATTTGAGAACAAACTTTCTGACTATCTACTTTAGGTCGGGGAAAGTACTCCGAGGTTTTCGAGGGCATCAATGTCGTCAACTACCAGAAATGCGTTATCAAGGTCCTCAAGCCTGTCAAGAAGAAGAAGATCAAGCGTGAGATCAAGATTCTGCAGAACCTCGCGGGTGGGCCCAATGTCGTGGCTTTGCTGGACGTTGTTCGCGACAACCAGAGCAAAACTCCTAGTCTGGTCTTCGAGGCTATCAACAACACCGACTTCCGCACACTGTACCCCCGCTTTTCCGATTACGATGTTCGCTTCTACGTTTTCGAGCTGCTTAAGGCGCTGGACTTCTGTCACAGCAAGGGCATCATGCATCGGGATGTGAAGCCCCACAATGTCATGATTGATCATGAGAAGCGCAAGGTTAGTGGACTTTATCAATTGGTTGTGGTGGGAAATTATGGTTCTAACATATTATAGCTTCGTCTGATCGATTGGGGTCTGGCTGAGTTCTACCACAAGGGCACGGAATACAACGTCCGCGTTGCATCTCGCTATTTCAAGGGCCCCGAGCTGCTGGTTGATTTCCAGGAATACGACTATTCTCTGGATATGTGGTCCCTGGGTGCTATGTTCGCATCCATGATCTTCCGTAAGGAGCCTTTCTTCCACGGAGGTAGCAACACGGACCAGTTGGTCAAGATCGCCAAGGTTCTTGGCACCGAGGAGCTCTTTGAGTACTTGGACAAGTACGACATTGAACTGGACCCGCAATACGACGACATCCTCTCCCGTTTCCCCCGGAAGCCGTGGCACTCATTTGTGAACGCTGAGAACCAGCGTTTCATCAGTGACGAGGCCATTGACTTCCTTGACAAGCTTCTGCGCTACGACCATGCCGTAAGTTGTTCTAACATCTGTATAAGTTGCCCATACTGACCCTATCTTGAAGGACCGTTTGACTGCTCAGGAGGCCATGGCACACGCATACTTTGACCCAGTGCGTGCCGATGCAGCGGCCCTTAGCCACAACAATGTGACACTGCCCTGAATCCCTCCCGCATGAACTGTCGATGATCATGGCTCTGATCTCCTTGCTGCGATGCACGGTTTCCAAGTTCTCCGCATGCTGCTGTCAAGATTGCGTCGGGCCTCACGACAATTACGTACCTTTTGCATTTGAAATATTCCGATATGAACGGCACAACGACGATCGAAAAACATGAAATGGCCTTGGTCTTCGTACTCCCTGCTCCTCTTTCTCACCCGCCTTTCGAATGATGGGCTGCGGCAAACGATCAAATCCTGAATGAAGACGACTTTGATGACAAGACATCATGACATTTAATTTGCTGGGTCCCTCCAAGCCTCTTATCGCCTAGGTCGTTTGGCATGTCAATGAGCGTGATAAACCAACGTCTTAGATGGGGAAATCACTCTTCTTTTTCATCTTTTCCTATTTGTATAGCGCTGCTCATGGGTTTCCTTAATTGATCTCTCCCTTGTTAATTGAATTGGTGTTTTGGCCTTTCTGCTGGGTGCTTCGTTCTCAAGGGATGCTTTTTCCTAAGACAACCCATTGCATTTTCTTAACGCTTCCATATTTATGAATGAAACATTGGATGAAATTCTCAAAAAAAAAAGGATGAAGAACCCCTAGAATTATATGGATTGATTGAACATCGTAGGTAGGGTTCTATATATGAGATTCTATACATGACCCGTACAATATGAGTCAACCCATCTACGGAATGGTATGATATACATAGACTCGGGACCGGGCTAGCAAAAACTGATACCAAGTATAAATAACCCAAGTAAATAATCCCATTCATCCTATCGTGCTCTTGTAGATGTAGCCTCAGATCACCCGTTGGCTCCGGCGTATCACGTGAGGATTATCGCAATGTCTTTCTGGCCGAACAAATAAAAGAAGAGATGAATTGCAAGCAAAGAACATCCGAAAGAAAGGAACATAGATACCTAATAATACCTAATACCCCAATGAGTGTTGACTGCCATATAAACGCGCTTCATTGAGCCCGCCGACTCCACCGAACCTCCCACCAAGCCCCGCGCTCTCATTCGTTCATCCAGCGTGGGAAATTTAATTGCCCGCATTTCGCACAACCACCCCTCCTTATACCTCTCCATCTCTCAAGATACTTATCCGGCGATTCGTGGCGCGATCGGCGCCTTGGAGATTTACTCCTCAATATCGTGCATTCTCAAGGATGGCTCAAAACTCTGCCTCCCAAACCCCCCAGTGAGTTCCATGACTCATTCTCGGATGTCGCAGAAGCTTATAGTGAACAGCGGGTGAGCCTACGGCTCCTGTGACCAGCGCACCTCCCCAGACCGCCGATACCACCGCAAAGGATCCCCAGGGTCAGCAGGACGGACCTGCCGGAGCTCCCAAGGTGAAGACCGAGAAGGAGTGTATGTTGCCACCAAAATCTATACGGGGAACCTTTCTCGGAAATCATTGTTATATAATGAGCATTTGCTGATACTTTTGGTGATTTCTAGTGGAAAGGGAGCGCAAGAAGGCCGAAAAGAACAAGAAGTTCGAAGAGAAGCAGGCGGCCAAGGCCAAGGCTGCCGCCAGCAAGGCCGCAGCTCCCAAGGTCGAGAAGAAGGCGAAACCCGAGAAGGATAAGACCGCCGATGCCTACGACCCCGTTGCCATTGAGACTGGTCGTCTCGAATGGTGGGAGGAGCGTGATCTCTTCAAGCCCGAGTTCGGACCTGATGGCAAGGTCAAGCCGGAAGGCTCCTTCGTTATCCCCATTCCCCCTCCCAATGTTACCGGTTCTCTTCACATGGGCCATGCCCTCACCAACGCTCTCCAGGATACTATGATTCGGTGGCAAAGAATGAAGGGCAAGACTACCCTGTGGCTTCCTGGAATGGACCACGCCGGTATCTCGACCCAGAGTGTCGTCGAGAAGATGTTGTGGAAGAAGGAGAAGAAGTCTCGCCACGACATTGGCCGAGAGGCCATGGTCAACTTGATCTGGGATTGGAAGGATGAATACCACAAGAACATCAAGAATGCCCTGCGCAGACTTGGTGGTTCGTTCGACTGGAGCCGTGAGGCCTTCACCATGGACCCCAATCTGTCAGCTGCTGTGACCGAGACCTTCGTTCGCCTCCACGAGGAGGGTATCATCTACCGTGCCAACCGCCTGGTCAACTGGTGTGTGGCTCTGAACACCTCCTTGTCCAACCTCGAGGTCGAGAACAAGGAGATCGAGGGCCGGACGCTTCTCGATGTGCCTGGCTACGACAAGAAGGTCGAGTTCGGTGTCCTGACTCACTTCTGCTACGAGATTGACGGAACCACCGAGCGCATCGAAATTGCTACCACTCGTCCCGAGACCATGGTTGGTGATACTGGTATTGCCGTCCACCCCGACGACAAGCGCTACCAGCACCTGATCGGCAAGAGCGCTCGCCATCCGTTCTTGGACCGTCTGCTCCCTATCGTTGCTGACCCCGAAGTCGAGCCCGAATTCGGTACTGGTGCCGTCAAGATCACTCCTGCCCACGACTTCAACGATTTCAACCGCGGTAAGGCCCACAACCTGGAGTTCATCTCTGTCATGAACGACGATGGTACCTTCAACAAGCACGCTGGTCCCTTCGCTGGCATGAAGCGCTTCGATGCCCGTTACAAGGTCATCGAGGACCTTAAGGAGAAGGGTCTGTACGTGAAGTGGGAGCACAACCCCATGAAGGTGCCTCGTTGCGCCAAGTCCAACGATGTCATTGAGCCTATCATGAAGCCGCAATGGTGGATGAAGATGGAAAGCCTGGTTCAGCCTGCCATTGATGCAGTTGAAAAGGGCGATATCGTTATCCGCCCCGAGTCCGCCGAGAAGAGCTACTTCCGCTGGATGCGCAACCTGAATGACTGGTGTCTTTCCCGTCAGCTCTGGTGGGGACACCAGGCTCCTGCTTACTTCGTCAAGATTGAAGGCGAGGATGGCGATGACAGTGACGGCAACCTCTGGGTCACTGGCCGTACTGAGGAAGATGCTCGCAAGAAGGCCGAGGAAAAGTTCCCCGGTAAGAAGTTCTCTCTGGTCCGTGATCCCGATGTTCTCGACACTTGGTTCTCTTCTGGCCTGTGGCCCTTCTCTACTCTGGGCTGGCCCCGCAAGACTCACGACTTCGAGAACCTGTACCCTACCTCCGTTCTGGAGACCGGTTGGGATATCCTCTTCTTCTGGGTTGCCCGTATGATCATGCTTGGTCTCAAGATGACTGGTCAGGTTCCTTTCCGCGAGGTCTACTGCCACTCACTCATCAGAGATTCTGATGGCCGCAAGATGTCCAAGTCTCTGGGCAACGTCATCGATCCTATCGATGTTATGGAGGGTATTCAGCTGCAGAGTCTTCACGACAAGCTGCAGTTGGGTAACATCGCCGATAAGGAGATTGCTGCTGCTACCAGGTACCAGAAGAAGGCCTTCCCCAAGGGTATCCCCAAGTGTGGTGCCGACGCTCTCCGCTTCGCCCTTGTCTCTTACACCACTGGTGGTAGGTTTCGTCTCATGTCCCCATTTGATTCTATTTTGCTAATAATGATTTGCAGGAGGTGATATCGCTTTCGATATCCAGGTCATTCACGGCTACCGTAAGTTCTGTAACAAGATCTACCAGGCCACCAAGTTCGTCCTCGGCAAGCTGGGCGATGACTTCAAACCCCAGGCTGGTGTTAAGAAGACTGGCAATGAATCTCTTTCCGAGCGCTGGATTCTGCACAAGTTCAACACCGCCGCTAAGGAGATGAACGAGGTTCTTGAGCAGCGTGATTTCTCCAACTCTGCCCAGATCTCCTACCAGTACTGGTACGCCCAGCTGTGTGATGTGTTCCTCGAGAACTCCAAGTACCTGCTGGCGGACGATGCTTCGGCCGAAACCAAGGAGTCTGCCAAGCAGACCCTCTACACTGCTCTCGAGGGTGCCCTGACCCTGATCCACCCCATCATGCCGTTCGTCACCGAGCACCTGTGGCAACGTCTGCCCCGCCGCGCGGGCGACGAGACCATTTCGATCATGAAGGCCAAGTACCCCGAGTACGTCGCCGAATTCGACGACCCCGCCGCCGCCAAGGCCTACGAGCTCATCCTCAACACCTCCAAGGCCATCCGCTCGATCCTGTCCCAGTACGACGTCAAGACCCAGGGCGACATCATCATCCAGACCTACGACGCTACCAGCCAAAAGACCGTCTCCGAGGAGATGACCACCATCAAGTCTCTGGGTGGTAAGACCCTCGGCGAGCTGTCCCACCTCGGCCCGGAGAACAAGACCCCTCCCTCTGGCTGCGTGGTGGCTGCTGTCGGTGCCGAGGCCGCTGTCTACCTCCGCGTCTCCAAGGAAGTTGCCTTGGAGCAGGAGGAGAAGGCCAAGGCTAGCCTTAACAAGGCCCGCGAGACTGTTCGCAGGTCCCAGGGTATCATCAACGGCCCTGGCTGGAAGGAGAAGGTCAAGGCTGAGGTCCGTGAGCAGGAGGAGAAGCGTCTGCGTGATGCTGAGGGCGAGGCTGCCCGTCTCGAGGAGCAGATTAAGGAGTTTGAGAAGCTGCGCTTGGAGTAAATTGTCTGTTGGATAGATTTAAACAAAATATATCAATTGATTCCCTTTTTTTCAAATTGTGGTTTTCAGTGTAGACTCATCCCTAGATAAATATATTTTTTCCCCTACATCCATGCAGCTATATATATTAGACGGCATAACAGCGTTAATATATACAGCTAGGACATACAATCCTATTTTCTGGGTAGCACAAATGTTGAAAATCCCAGTTAATTCTCATTAATACTGGCCTTTTTCGTGATGCAACGCTAACCCTAACTCGGCATCAAGAATGCAGATCCCATACACGAAGGATCTGCTCTCAGGCTCCTGCCTGAAGAAGCCTGGCTCCCCCGGCTATATGCAGTTTGATCATGACATTGCTGTCCTCAGTGTACAGGTCGTTATCTCACTGCATCAGCGCTTCGGTATTCCAATTGAGCCTGCTTTCAGTCAGTTTTTGCTTCTTCTTGTTGTTGTTGTTTCTCACCGAGTCCTGTTTTCTCACCGAGTCCTTTCTATTCTACCATAATGGGGGTATACGAAAAAGGAGCATAAATAGATGCTCCTTTCCATGTATGAAGAAGATAGACAAATCAATATTACTTTTCACAGTACATTGGAATTTCCATATTCATAGTGTTTTTCATATACTATCTTTGATCTCAACATACATGCTATACAGATCGTGTTTCTGTATTCAACAACAAATACCCCTGTATCTGCTGATAGTTTGTTTGCTTAGAGAAAGAGCGAAAGAAAAGAAATTCCATGTTAGATATAAAAGCGAATAAAAAGAAGTACCTTTGCTAACATTTACCTAGCAAAAATACCAAAAATAGTTTCCCTGGGAATCGAACCCAGAACCTTTCCGGAACATCTGCTAATCGCATTTGTTAACGGAAAATCATAACCGCTAGACCAGGAAACTGTTCGATGGAAGGGATAGCTGCTATTGACATTATAAAGCTAAATCACTTGAGATTCTGTTAAAGTGTCTATATGACCTCTCGCTATGTTCCCCACTTAATTAATCAACTTTGGGAACTTGCAACCAAAATGAACAGTCTATCCACCAACTATATGAATATGTAAACGCAAAAATATATAGAAAGCAACACAGTCTATCTGTCTTATATGTCAAAAGGCTTTGCCACTCGAATTCCCCCAAAGATTCAACGACTGTCAAGCTAAGCCAGTCAATATAGAATTTCAACGTATTCCCTCGCAGGCAACTCGTCAAGTATCGGCATCCTTCTCAGCATCCTGCGATGTCCCATTCACCGGGTGGGAATTGCGCCTTCTCACCTGTTCCTTGCGAGTCCATAGATACACGCTGACAGTAATGATCGCCAAGATGATTGTAGCAACAACATAGATCCAGAATTGCTTAGATATTCTGAATTCCTCGGTTGTCCCATCGTCAAACTTGAACAAGTTCATCCCGAAGATAGACTATTAAAGGGTGAGAACAAATTTCATTCTGGGGGTCTCGGGATACTTACCGATACAAGGCTTGCAGGCAAGTATATAAGCGTCAAGATAGTGACCACCTTGACCGTTGCATTGTCATCAAAGCTTTTAGTTCCAAGTTCGAGCAGCTGTTGATTTGCGTTGAGCATGCGGTTGTTTAATTCAACCATTCGGTTGTTGAGGTCGAGCATCTGGTTGGTCATCCTGAAATCCAGCCCTAATGTAGTCTGCATGCGTGTCAGCCAAGGGCGTAGCTGCTATGTTCTGGCAGTTGTTGCTTACCATGTTCAAGATATCCTTGACCTTCTCCTTTAGGACTTCTACCCCAACAACAAACCCCTCGACACGATCTTTGTGGTATGCCGCACATGTGGCAAGTTTCCGGAAGCCATTGTCTGCACCGGTATGATGTGAGCCCAGAATACTGCTCAAATGACCTAGTTTCGTGAGAGTTTCTAATATAACCCTCAATCTGTATGAAGTGGGCAAGAGAAGGTCGCGTGTGTTGTGAATGGCCGTTAAGTTGCTGTCACCTCCGGCGGTCAAAATGTGGTCGATATTCCTCAAGATAAAGCCCAGAGATCTGTCACTCTAAAATGCAAGTCAGCCAAGCCGAGGGACAAATATTGCGGACACGGATACTGACATGTCTATCCACGTCATAGCCTAGACGGTTAACGTAGGAGCGCCAATTATGCAGACAAGACGAGAACGCAGAAGAATGAAGCGCAAGCCACGCATGATCTGAGCGCAGCCCCTGCTGAGACAGTGCAGCATATTGCTCAATTTCTTTCTGCATGGGTGTATCACGGCCGACATGGAAGAAGATCCAGAGATTTTCAAGGTCATTAGGATCATGGTGGTGGAAAACACCGATATGGCGCATAGTCCACTCCTCAACTCCCACCGGCGTCGGGTATGTGAGTCTGTAAGAAATATCTAAAGTATTGCTTAGGTCCTGTGAGTATATGGAGGGATCTGGAGAACAGCCTACCTTGGATACCATTCTCACCACTTTGTACTTTCATTGCCCCTTCACCTACAGCTGCACTCATGGGTTTGTCTCCGAATGTCGAAGTCAAGTCCCATAATTCATCGCCAATCTTATATGCATCCTTGAGCACCTGGAGAACATCCTTTGAGATCTGAAGTGGCGTGATTGATGACTTGGAGCGTATTGAGCTGGATCCCACGGAAATCAGAGTAAGCCAAGCTGGAGGAATCTATAAATTAATATAAGAATCTTACACGATGCGTAATTTTGGAAGTGGCGCTGTTGAAATATGTTCTTGGAACAAGCCGTTGTCGTTGAAAACAGTAGCAATGAGTCTCTCTGGTGTATCAACTATAAGGTGCAAACGTCAGCACCGGTTCAGCTTTTTCAAATAATGCCAGACTGACCATGACTCTGGTAAAGAGAAATGCTGACCGGAGCATCGTGGAGACAAAATGTAGGATACGCTGAACTGGTAACCATCTCCAATCTGGGCACTGCAGAGAATTATCCCTTGGATTCAAGTAGATTTTGAGGAAAGAGTTGAAGAATTATCGCTATGCGAGGTTACTTATATTTAAATATGAGCTCCAAGTTGTCAAAACTGCCTTGTAAAGGAAAAACAAATTTAAAAAAAAGACGCCTTACCCTGTCATGCTTATGGTTCATTGGTGTAGCATAGGAAATCAGGCAATACATAGAGACGGTTCACGCCCGACTCATGACAAGCTCACACCCCTGAAATATACACTACCCGGGCTGCATTAAGCACTAGTGGGAGGCTATGGATAAGATGTAATTTGCATAAGGTGTGTTCTTTTCCTATTACGCCCACGCTGAAAATGGGGTCGTGAGGGCCGAGGTAGGGCACAGCCCCTTGGATCCTCGTGGCGAAATTTACGATTACAGCTAAGCCGCAAGGCAGATTTTGACATAGTTTCATGTTAAAGAACATAATTTGACTGAAAATGAGTTCTAGAACCCTGGCATAGACCTTCTTCAGTTCCAATTGACCCGTTCATCTTCGCAGAGGTCCCTGTTCAAGTCAAATATCAGCAACCATCCAGACGGCTTTGAGAAATCTACGTACGCAATCTCATGCTAGAGTTAAAGAAATCACCGTTAGCAACAGGCAATCAATATTATCTTCAGACAGAAGGCTTACCTCTTTAACTTCTCGTTTTGCTTGGAAAGTAATTAGGCCGCAAAAGTACTGGGAGATATGGTTGATTTAGCCTTCACACTGAGCTTGTATGGGGGATATCATCGTAATGCTCACTACAACTTCGATTTTCCGCCCGAATATGTCATAAAGCCTATTCTCAAGCTTTGCACGGCTAATATAACCGCTTATTCCTTCTCTGAGCGTGGTGGAAACCAATTCAGTTTGTGGGTAGCTTGAAGACATTTTGAGGCTATGTTGACTGGGAATTCGAGGCCAAGTCCGGAGTACATAGTGTGGATTAGGACCTAAGACCAGAAGTGGAAGATTTAATAGGATCAATGAGGATAGTGAGCACATTGACAGCAACACCACATTCGGGGTTTCCCGAAGAGCCCCTTCGTATAGCCCTAAGATGATGCCAAGGACCTACCGTATTTTTAATTTAATTGACAGATGTCACCCGACGCCTGGCATGGGGTTAATTTCAATCAAGACCAACTAACACCAACTGTGGCTGTGATGCTCCATCTCAGCCAATTATTATCTTTCCAGCCTGTCCCCTTATGCAAGCTCTGCCATAGCGCAGTCGATGCATGTTTGCTTTCTACGCGGCATACGCCCATAGGTGCATATTGTCTTTGTTCATTTCGCTCATGCTCGTGAGGGGTAAATAGAAGCAAAATCACCGGATCTCGGGGATATACTGACATGTGGTATGGTTTACTCCTCACGTCTAGCATTAACATGTGGGCAAGCCATATTTCGGCTTGAAAGTCTCCGTAGAGTAAGATATCCCGAGTAAACATGGGGTAATCCCGGGGAAATCGACTATCAAAGACTAACATCCCAACCTTTTCTTCCGCAGCTACCCGTAATTCAGCTTCTATATTCTCGAAGTTCGTCCTAGGGCGAGCTTAGCGCAATTTATCATAGAGGGCTTTTGAAGTTCGGAAGATGTCAGATCAACTGTCGAATCCACTGCGCCTTAGTGCTAAAATTATCAAAATCCATAGAGGGTATTTGCCCAGGTGAAAATTAGGAGGCTCTTATAAAAACCCCTCAAACGTGTATTGACTCAGCAAGAGGATTTCTCACCTAGGCCCAGGATTCGTGCTTCGACTTATCTTCTCACCAATTATTTCCTCTTGCTTTGTTGTACATTTTCTTTTCTAAGCCCTCCCAAACGTGCTGATTGGCAAGGCGGGCAAGATGAGTGAAGAAGCGCAGCCTTCGATTCCCCCAACGTAACACATGACCCTCCTAAGCCCTGTTCCTGGAAGCAACTTCTAATGACTTTTGGTCAATCAGAATAGACAACCCACTCGCCAACCAAGAACCCGCCCAATTAGAGGCCGAGGTCGAGGAATTTCATAAGCGTGTTAATCTCAACGGCGTCGTCGATTTGGAAATACTTATCAGGGGCGCAAGGATAGCACAACAGCGATGGGGCGATACTCCGCCCGGGTTCACCCCTGCGGAGTTCGAGGCTATAAAGAACGAGAATTCGAAGAGTTATCTGTCATTCTTGCAAACTAGGGGTCTTCTTGTGACTGTTATGGCCACGGCTTGTGCGGCAATCACACAGTATGTCTATTCTGTTAGCCAATCGGGAGAATCTTTTGACAATTATAATAGGGGATGGCAACAATCAACAATCAATGCCAGCTCTCTTTTTTTAAACTGGGAGGTTGATTTTGGCCTCGATAAGAAGCTTGTGATTGGAGTCATCAATGCAGCTCCTTGGCTTTCGGGAAGTTTGATGTATGTGTATCTCAACATCTTACCGTTCATACTCTAACACCTACAGAGGGACATGGTTGAGTGATCCGCTGCAAGAAAGGTTTGGAAGACGCCCAGCGCTCTTCGTTTCTGCTGTTTTCTGTGTCGCTCTTGTGATAGGTAGTATTTGACCCTAAACCTTCCTTGACGATTGATTCCAATATTGAACACAGGAACGGCTCGTTGCACTACTTGGAAGACACTACTCGTCTGCCGAGTACTTCTTGGTGTGGGGGTATGTTTCTTATTCCCATCCCGTTTCTCGTTCTTAGTATCTGACACCTTCTGATAGATCGGATCAAAAGCTTCCATAGCTCCTATATTTGCCGCTGAGGCAGCACCTGGTCGACATCGAGGTAAAGTCTTGATGATGTGGCAACTTTTCGATGCACTGTACGTCCGAACTCTCTTCACAGGCCATTATCTAACCGTCATCTAGTGGAATATTTCTCGGTTTCTTATGCGCCCTAATTGTAATGGACAGTTGGAGAGTACTGCTGGCGACCGCGATAATCCCCGCCATTGTCCTTTTATTTTTGGTGTTTATGTGTCCCGAGTCGCCCCGATTTCTGATACAAAGGAATCGATATCCCGAGGCATACAAAAGCCTCCTTGAGCTCCGAGGAACACCCATTCAAGCTGCCCGGGATCTTTACTACATCCATGCACAGCTTCAGACCGAAGCTGTGACAGTGTGGGACCGTCACGGGGGGGAACTCATGGTGGTCAGAGGGAGAACAGATCTATGCCTACCAAAAATGGATCAACAAAGGCAATTTTTTCAAGCGGATGATGTATCTCGCCACCGATAAACGAACTCGAAGAGCATGCACAGTTGCTTCGATCGTGATGGCGTCACAACAACTATGTGGTGTAAGCTCTCTACGCGTCTGGAATATTGTATGGTTGCACTTGACTGACGCCTGGTCTCCTCTAAACCGACAGATCAACGTTTTAACATTCTATTCCTCCTCGATTTTGCATCCCGAGCATGTTGACGCGGGGGAACCGAGTGAAGGCTTGTTTCCCAACGCCACGGCCGTCAAATGGTACAATTTCGGTACGTGATTATGAAAAAGATATCTTGACAAGGAATCCAACTAATTCGCAACAAAAAGCCTTTGGCCTAGCCAATTTTCTGTTTACTTTCCCTGCATACATATACATTGACTTGCGTGGACGCCGACCTCTGCTACTTGTCTCATTTATTGGGATGTTTTTCAGTCTGGTCGCAGTTAGCGGCTTCTTCGAAATTGTACACCATCAGACTCGGTTAATGCTGGTCTCAGTATTTACCAGTGTATTCTTTGTGTTTTTCTACTCAATTGGTGCTGGACCTATTCCTTTCACACTGAGTGCTGAGGTGTTTCCTCTATGCGTGCGCGGTATGTTGATCCTCTTCTTCACTTTGCTACTTTGCTACTTTGCTATCACAGACTAACGAATGCCAGAGGTGGGAATGAGCTTTAGTGTCATGATCAATTTCCTTGGTCTTGGGCTCTTAGTACTTTTTGTGCCTGAGTTGACCAACGCATTTGGGCGCGAGGCACATCTTCTCTTCTTCTTCTCGTGAGATTACCATTTCCAATGTCTCATCCGCTTATATACTGACTATCAATATAGAAGCATGAACGTATTGGCACTCATCCTGATTTTCCTGCTGGTTAGTCTCTGTTTCTTCTATTCTACGCGTCATGCTAATATTTCAGGTCCCCAAAACGAAGGACGTGTCACTAGAAAACATGAACTCCATATGTAAGGTTTCATGCTCACTCCAGCTGAACTGTGCTGATAATACCATAGTCAACCGCGCAACAAAAGAACAGGTTCTGATTCATGCTCCGTTCTTGGAGCCCCTATACCCGAAGACACCATGCCAGGAAGACAGGGAAAGTACAACTCTGGGAAATACATATGTATGATAAGAAGAGAATATATTTGAGAATGTGAATATGCAGATGGTGTCTTTTGTCAATATCAATGAAAAGAAAATGTGCATTCGCAGTCGAATCCTTCAAAATCGAACGATATCGCTGGGGGGATATAAAACCGGAGGTAACGTATAAACGAGAAATGAAAAATTGTACCATCGAAAAGTCAATGCCCCGGAACTGGATGTTCTCTCTTAACATTTTTGAGCAATTTTTTGATGTGCTTAAAGGTTCCATGCGGTACGGAGTAGCCCACTGGAAGGGTTGCACCCGCACCGACAAGCGCCCTGACAACCAGGAGGTTGTTTTGCATCACAGCAATTTCTAAAGGACTCGTCTCCAAAGGGGTTCCTGCACCGTACGTCCTTTTTGCACTCGCTCCTCCATCTAAAAGTGCCTTGAACTTCCTTCCCCACAAAGAGTCTGGCTCCAAAGATGTACATGAACCGTCCAGCGCGAGGCGGATGTGCATCAACATCGGCGTCACATATGCTACCGGTTTTGGTGGATTCCCTCCACTGTCGAGCGGTATATTGGGCGGAAGCTGATCGAAGATCATCTTGTACTTGAAAGCCCCGATGACATCTTCTTTAGCGTGATTACCAAATTTCACCGCATAATGTAGGCAGTTCAGCTTTTGTTGTTGCACGCAGATTCTGTGGTCTGCACCCCGTTCCAGAAGCAATGAGATCACACCGGTGTGACCAAGGAAGGCAGCTTGCATGAGCGGAGTCTTATCACCGCACAGTTCGCTCAACAAAGTATTGGTGTCGGCGTTTGAATCAGGACCAATATTAGCATCGATCACAGCTTCCACAGTATCGACGTCGCCCTTGCAAATTGCAAGATAGAGCGGCGTTTTCCCTTTAGACGAAGGGGCGCGCACGTTCAAATTTCGATTGTGGAATTTCCGCTGATATTCGGAAAGTGCTTTGATCTTAGCAGGGCTTGTCACTTCAATAGCATGGATCAAAGGCCTTTCACCCTGGTCGCACTGTTCCACGTCAACATTGCCTCGCAGAGCTTGGCGGACATTGTCGATGGTCCCGGACTTTATGACAGTAACAAGAACACCCACTCCTTCCACTGGTGCGGACGGGTGAGGTGGGTCGATACCATGATCGGTTCCCTGGTAGGTCTCAGTACTGGCTGGGGAATGGATTGACATCCTTGATGATCCGCTTGAATGAAGTGCATGTAAATCGCTTCGAACTTCATGTGCCGATGAGCGTTGATGGTAATCTATCTGAAGCATTGAGCGAAGAAGCTTCTGCATTTTCTCAAGGAAACCAAGGTTATGAGTAGTGTGATATTGGGCTGGTAAACTCTGAAGCCAAGATTCGATGCTCGGATGCAGAGCAGGAGGATCCTTTTGATAGAAAGAATCGTCGAGGACGCGGCCGACCAGTGGCTTTCTTCGACTTTCGTCAAGTTCTGCCAAACTCGCAGGATCAAGACCCAAGGCGAAAACGCGCACTAGTATGCACCCGAACGACCAGACGTCGCTCCTTCGTTGGGTACGGGGCTCTGGTGCCTGGTATGCGCCACCTTTTGGAGAATGATCATTCAAACTAGTCGTGTATCCTGAGCCTCGCCTCCTAGTTTCCGACAGAGCACGCCTTGCTACTCGTGAGACACCGAAATCGGAAATTCGCCAAACTCCCGTAGAAGAGCCCTCGCGCTTGAAGACCAATACATTTCGGGGCTTGAGATCCGCATGACAAATTGCTAGCTGGCGAAACTCCTCCCATTCGCTTTCGAGTTGGAGATTTTCGTGCAGGAAATGAATGGCAGAGGCAACCTTTCTGGACTCCGCGATTAGATCGTCCAGGAGAGGTGCAGGTGGAGTAGATTGCATTTCTCTGTAACCTCCGGCCAAGAAATCTTCCAAATCTATGTCCGCCCATGGCATGATGATGTTCCATTCATTTCTAATTTTAAATATCGCAAGATTAGAAACGATTTGCTTGTGACTGGACAGGCTTGATCGGAGAAGTTTCAATAGTCTCACTTCAAGGTCAGAATTTGCCCTGGGGAAGAAGCGCTTTCGGGCGACGATGAGTTTGACCTGCCCGAAAAGGAGACCTGTGAGCGACCAGCCGTATTAAGTCATGTACTATGGAACTTACTGGATGAGGTGCCTTTGGTATACCAATGTCATCGCTCAAATGGCCCAGGATGATATGGTTCGGAGGTATGATCTCCTTGGTCACTTCTCCGTAGCCACCCTGTCGAAGCACATGGTCCTCCCGGAAGAGCGGTAACCGGTAGTTCTCTCCATAAGAGTCTTCCTCATCTTCCCCATCTGCCTCATTGTCGTTCAAAACAACTGGAAAGTAACTCCACCTATGAGTCACGAAGTGGCCCGCCAGGTTGGTATCCCGAAGGAAGGAGTCGCGCTCAAGTTCCTCTCTGGTGAAGTCGAGGATGTTTTTGTCGCGGCGACGATCGGCGACATCATCATCTGGCGGGAAGAAAATTTGTCGGAACCTTGACCATCCCGACCAATCTCGAGGAACGACACCGGTGAGTATGGATATCGTACGCAATAAGCCCTCTCGAGCTACAGCTATGTCTGATCTACCCAGACTTGGATCTTGGGTCTTCAGAAACTGTTCGAGCCGATCCCCGACCCATATCTTTTGGACACTTTCATACGGAATGAATGCCTCTGGTGTGTTGTAATGGTATGTCTCTTTCTTGAGATCGCTCTGGATATCCTCGAAGCTCATTTGACTGGCGACCAACAAAAAGACGAGCAAAGGCAGCGTACGAGTAAACTTGATGGGCGTAGTTCGACTATGTTGATTTTCGCTTGTTCGAGGAAAAGGGTGTGGTGTGGAGATGTGGAAGCTAGAGCGATTGAGAGAGATAAACATCAGCAGGGACAACTGCAAGGTGCTTTCATTTTATAGCAAGCTCAGCCTCTATTTCCGATGATTGTCTGCCAAGGTTCTGGTTGCGGCGCAGTATCGAGGCATCGCGTGGTCACCGCCAGCTCAAGTAGGTGAGTTTCTTTTGTCTGGTTGCCTCGTTGCCTCTTCACCTTCAAGTCAATAAAATAACAAGTTGGGAAAACAAGTCGACATTTCAGCCTCGAGAATTGGGAGAGTGCGGGGAAGTTCCAAATTGCGGAGTAAGACCGGGGTATTTCATATTTAGCTAACGCAGCACACATTATCGGTATAAACTAAAAGTACTATTTATTCAGATCTATGCGAACTGTGAAAACGCAGTCTCAAAAGCCACCAGAAGAGGAGCGATATGAGCTTCTTCGAAGATCAGCATAGGGCCCAACCGAACAGTTTGGACACCGCAGCTGCCGATATTGATGCCCAACTCGCGCATCTTCTTCAACAGATTGCTTGAGTCAGGCGTGTCAAAGGCAATATATGTGCCATTATTCTTGTCACGGAAATTCTGGATCCAGTTGGGGTACTTGGCTGCCAAAGTAGCGAGACTGTCGTAGAGGACTACACCAACTTGAGCCTGTTGAGGAAAGGATAGTGTTAGATATAACAGGCCTTCATCGGACAATAAGGGCGAGGCTTACCGTCTTTTCGACCAGCTTCTTGCTAAGAATCTCGTTCTCGTCAATGACGGCATTGCAGATAATGATTCGGGCGCATCTCCCATCCATCTGGTTACCGTGGTCAGCTTATCTTATTCTTCACAAGTATCATGGTATTCCCCTTACCAGTTCCCAATGCCCTTGTCATAATCAATGACCATCTGCACAGTGCGGACATTGATGACAGCATCTAAATCCTCTTTGGTTCTGTGCGTCGCAGGTCCATGGACTGCTGTGCGCGTTGAGGGCGTGGCGGGTTCAGATACAACAGATATGATGAAAATGAAAAGGAAAGAAGAGAAGTAAACACAAAGAGATAACAAAGATCTGTTATCGATATTGTCTGGAAAGAAAAACCCCTAGGGCAGTGACTTGGTGCGTTTATATGCGCGTTGATGCACATAGCCAACCGAGCGGACTGGGTAGACAACCTGAAAGCCGGGGGAAACAAGAGAAGAAGAAACCTAAGGATTTACACAGATTAAGGAATAATATTGCTTGTAAATGAGTGCAACCTGCCGATCTATATTCTAAATATTGTCCACATACAGATGGCCGGGTGAGTGTACCCGGGAGATTTATTCATGTTGATACCCGAACATATTGTCTTTTCAGCTTAATAACACCAGTTATTACGTGTTCTTTGAATTTATTTCTCTTCTTTACTGTTAATATCATCCAAAGGCTCGGGTTCTGTTGGTGTTTCTATTATATCATATGGTGCACCAAGAATGTGCCAGGTACTGGACCCTCACTGTGTGAGATCGTAGGCCAAGGGCTCACCACTGCTCATACAGTGTTTGTCCAATTCCATACTAGTTGTCTTCCACTTTAGCTTTATTTGCTCCAAGCATATGTTTCTATACAGGGTAGCGAAGCGCATTAGAAACACGCATTTGTATAGGGATAAGAGTGGACAAGGCGATACTAATGCGCGTAAGTCGCCAAGTCGTCCAGGTGCTGTAGGATGAGGTCATTCCAACGCCACAGTAGTCGAGACCTTTTGCGTACTGGCGTATTGCGAAATAAAGGGAATGCATCCGAAGCTGCCCTGATGGCTCTCTCGGTGTCTTTTGTGTTGAATTGTGGTCATGTTCCGATGACCTTGTTGGTGGCTGGATCTGATTATCGGTTGTCAAAACCTTAGCTACATGGGCTGTTTACAATTTCACTTACCAGTAACCTCCAAAAGGTCTTGCCCGATTGGGCCTCAACCCTTTCACCGTTGATGTGGCATTTTCCAATGAACAGAGACTTGTCTCGCAACTGAAGCAATAGGTCAGCATTGGAACCTCCGCTCAGAGTGATATTAAAAAAAGGAAAAAAAAAGATTCCTTGACTTACTTGTGGCACGGTATGAGTAATGGCGAAGGCGAAGTGAAAACCGCGGAAGGTTAAGGCCGACGAGACGCATGCAGTATCTACATAGGTAGAAATGTGTGAGATGCCTTATATCTGAAAAAAGAGGAAGATGCATGTTTGTTTATATTTATAATTTACATTAGACATCTCTTGACGCTACATGCTACCAGGGAGATGGAGGAGGAAGAAACTCTTCGTATGCAAACTAGCAAAGCAGGGCCTTTAGTCCTGGACTCGGGTACATGTACCCGGCGAGTATGAGTGGCGATGTCACCGGCAGAACACCACGCGGATCATTGTCGGTAACTGTCAAATATTCGCACTTATTTGGACAGATTAAATTTCTTTTTGCACACTAAGGTACCTTTCTGTTTCAATTTGAAATCGACAATTCCCGTGCAGGAGATTACAATGAGGTTTCGAGCCCATAAGAATATTAGCAGAATGCGGACAGCTATTTGGGATACATTATGATGTAAAGGTAGAGTAGTACAAGCAATCCACTCAGTGGGCGAAGAATTTGAGCGGGTGAAAGTCTAAGCAGCTAGAGACATCACTTCGTACATCAATATCTATTGTCCGGCCTCATATGCCTTGGCCATGTCGCCCATAGTGTCGAACCGCCAATCGTAAATATTATCCGACAGATTTCCCATCGTGGCACCGGGTCGCTCAATCCAGGCGGACTTAATTCCAATCTTGCTGGCAGGATGATGATCGTGGAACTGACTCTGGGCGGTTTGCAGGACCTGCGAGGGTTCAATGTCGAATGTCGATTTCACAGTTCTCAACATGTATTCGAAATTGCGAATATCGGGCTTATAAGAGCCCACATCTTGAGCAGTGATAACTAAATCGAAGGGGAAGCCCTCTAGACTGCCAGCGTTGGTTTTGGCGAACGATGCACGATCAACATTTGATAGAACAACCAACTTGAAATGCTTGGAGAGACGCTTGAGAGCATCGACAGTATCTGGGAACGCGGGCCAACTGCCGACTGACTCCCCAAATCGGTTGTTTTCCTCCTGAGAGGGGACATCCAGACCGAGACGCTCGGCGAACTTGGGGTGAATAGTGGTCAACAACTGATGGTACGGCATGTCGGGAGTCTTGCTCTGTTGCTCGCGTTCTAGCTCGTGGTAGACGGTGAGAAGATGCTCGCGTGAGAATTCAGCTTTAGTCTTGTCTAAAGTGGGCTGGAATGCAGCGAGAATGCCTCCCTCCCAATCGACCAGGGTGCCGTAGACATCGAAGGAAAGCACGCGGTAGTCAGAAAGTCGAGTCATTGTAGAGATGGGGTTGTAATTGTAATGAAATTAGTGACAAGATAAATGGACAGGTTGAAACTCGCAGAAAGATGGACGTTGCCTTTTAATTTGGCCATTCCGGGTACTGAGACCCGAGGCACTGACATAATAGCGACGGTGAAGCTTGTCGGGATAAACGATAACCTCTGATTGTTCTAGAAAAGAGAATTGTACCGAACTATTTCCTATTTATCTCTTTATTGAGATTATGAGGCTACACATAGAAGACTTACTGTCTACCTTCCTCTTTTTCATCGTGCCACACGAACTTGTAGATTCAAACAGTCTCCACTTATTGTTCTATTATGTATACTGGCGTAATCGAACAGGTCGAGCTATATTTTCATATGAATCGTCGCTTTTGGTTCATTCATTTATAAACAAAGCATGTCTTTTTATACGATGTGGTAAGAACCTACCAAAACTAGAGACTGGATGCTTGAGAACTATATATTCGCATCAACCATTGGATTCCGAGAACAAAATGGTATTCCTAATATCCATTCGATAATCCTACGCAGACAGTGTTAATCTTTCTATCTCGCCCTTGAGAGCCCTTTTGACCCCTTCGATCATGTCGGCTTCTACAGCCCCTTCTTGCCAGGTGAAGCCCAGCACCAATCTTCCATCCCGCCCTGTCACAGCACTGATCTTGATCGCGGCGCTGCAAGCACTAGAGCTCTGGCTGAATAACATACCCTGAATTTGGAAGTTTGATGCTCCCCGCGAAGCAAAACTTGACCCAACGTTGGATAATTCAAATGCACTCCTTCTTTTCCGGCCAAGCTTTTGTAGCATCCAGTGATGCTGGTTTTGAATGAATGCCAAATATCCAACCGGCATGTCACCCCCTTTCCGTGCCATAGCATCCTCGATAGTCACCTTGGTACGGCGAGCCTCATCCCAATTGAAAGATGGCTTTCTGTGGTACGTTGTGGATGTTGATCCGACATAGCAACCCAAAGTGCTCGCGGTGACCGGCTCTGGAAGAAGCTTTCGTAGTGATACTGCACAGTCACCCTGTAGTGTATGATACCTTGACGGAAGAACAGAAAAGATGCAGGTCGCGATGAGCGCTTGAAGTGCCGCCGTGACGGAGGTCCGTTCTTTCTTGCTCAGTGCAATGAGGGCTTCTGTGTCAACGCCAGATAGCCATAAAGAAGAAAAGCGAGTCTTTACAGGCCTGAACTGAGCAGCACCCGTCCAGCTATCGGGAGATGGCTCGGTATAGTTCTCTTGGGATTGGAAGAATTCCTGCGACACAGGGAGTCTATACAAGCCTTCTAGGGGAGGGATAAGGGCAAGAGAAGGACTATAAACCGTATCACTTGTCTCAAGACCGGAATATTGAGCCATATACCCTTCCAGTTCGTCGTGGAACGACAGAGCGCTCCTGGTATCCATAAGTGAATGGTGAAAGATGAACACAAGGCCAAAGCTGTCAGGGCAATTGCTGCTCTCCAGTACGCAAAATCTCCAGAATGGAAGTGTCTTGCTTGGCTGGACCTCGAAGGGGCAATTGTGTTGCTCCTCAAGGACCTTGTCGAGGACCTCTATCCAATCCGAGTTCGGCAAATTCACATCGTCTTTTATGAAGGTCACAATCTCGCTTAGTGTAATCCTAGGAAGACGGACGAAATACGGATTTGGTGTATCAATAGCAAACGGAATGGCCGAAAGTATAGGGTGCTTCGAGATGAGCATCGAGAGAGCGTGAAAGAGGGCCGGTCTGACGGGGACCCCGTTTGGTCGCTTATAGAGAGCTGTCAGGCCCACGTTGAGATACAATCCCAAGTAGCTCCGCGTAGTTGAATATTTTTCCGCATGTCCTAATGACTATCAGCAGTTGAAGATTTAAGGAAGCAGGTATCATTACCCAGCGGCCGGAGTGGCGTAAAGTCAGCTTCGTGAAACACTTGCTCCATAGCGATATATAAAGAAAAGAGCTAAGTATGAAGCTGTGACCAAGTCTGTTGCGATAGTCCTCAAGCAAGAGTCATGCTATTATTTTGCAATGCTGGGGTATTTGGACCTTTTCAGACTCCCGGCCCGGGTACACGTACCCGCGTTCGCCCAAAGCGGCACTTCACATAGCATTTGGCCTCCCCGACTCAAAAACATTGGAAGGTTGTCCGTGTTTTAAAGCAAGTCCGTCGATAAATAGAGATATATTGATCTTGCACATAATGATGGGCAAGATCTGGCTTGGACGTTCCAACTTCTACCAGTAGTCTCTCAAATGTATAAAAAGCAAACACCAAATAATAATTGCAGCCTCCTTCTCGCGAAGGAGATAATTGACCGATGAAACTCGATTTCGATGTATCAAAGTCGCTTACGTCATTTATGCCTAAGGCCAACATTTTAACAATCAACACCACGATGATAGCCGTTGTTCCCCACCAGCTTGGTTTGACGTGCCCGAAACATCGTGGTTCTTGCCCTGTGTTGCAATGACTGGGCCAAGCACCAAGGTACTCAAGGGCAGGCAAAGGCGACCCCGTGTACCTGAATCACTGCGAAAGAGGGCGGCACAAGCGTAAGGACATGCCATTTATTGATCAAGACAATGTTCCAAGAAGGCTAACTGTCGGCACCTCAGATGCTTACCTTGTCGCCAGCATAAAGAAAAGTGTATGGGCCTGTGACCAACTTCCAATTGCACAGTGAGTGACTAATACAGCTGAAAAGGTGGAGGCGGCAATCCTTGTGCTCGATGTCAACAGCATCAAAGGACATGCCGGTTTGAGAGTACCAGGCACCGGCAACTACCGGCAGTCCAGAATGGCCCGTCTGGGTGAGCCTCTATCAAGAACATTGCTCCATCTAGAATCAATAACTGACATTCGTGAAAGTGATGGGCAGCCGTCAGAACGGCATGCCAACGAACTTCAAATGAAGCGAATCATCACTCACTTCTTAGGTGACGTCTCCTTCGAGACCAGCAACCTCCAGAAAATTGCAGACACCCTAGATCAAGGTCGGGATCAGGAGCAGTCGGATGATGATTCAGTTGGTTCAAACGATGCTACCACAACAAATGACTACTCTATAGATCCCCTTTCAACTAGCACAATGCGTATGTCGCTATCCTGAGTTTGATTGTTACCTAGTTGACATGGCTCCAAAGATTATTCGGGGGAGCTGTCCCATTGGAACTTCTCCAGAATGCTCGGACGACGACTGCAAAGTATCGGGGAAAGGACAGGGCAAAGCAAGGTACGCCCAGTCACCCCCGTCATAACTTGATAGCAAGAATTTTGTTGAAATTTGTGGTATACGATGCTAATGAAGAGAATTAAGAGCGTTGATCAGGCAGAAGGTTTCTTTCGGGCCACTGCTCTCCAGTCACCTGGCTCTTGTGTTGCCGTTGCAAAAACATACTTTCCCCCAAGACATATCGCGGAATTCTTGACAAGCGCTTTCTTGAAATTCAGCCAAACGAATTATTTTTACTTTCACGAAGCTACTTTCCGCGAGAAACTGGACTTCTACTATGCCACTGAGCACCCACTCTCGATCAATGATGCTGGTTGGATATGCACTCTTCTCATGACTTTTGCAATTGGCACACAGTTTGCCCATATGCAGACCAAATCGATACCTGGTAGTAGTGCCTCTGCTACTGAAACTAGTCCTGATGATCAAATCGGATTGGAACTCTATCGGTTTTCGTGTCGGCTCATTCCGGATCTTGTGACGGTTGCAAGTGTGGAGACTGTTCAGGCATTCTTACTTCTGGGTGTGTATACTTTGCCGATAGATACAGCAGGTTTGGCATACGTTTACTATGGCCTTGCAATTAAGATGGCAATTCAAAATGGCATGCACCGCAAGTTATTGGAAGGCAACGTCGCCCCAGAGATTATTGAGGTGCGAAATCGCCTTTGGTGGTCTGCATACTCGCTGGAAAGGTAAGTATTCTGCAGCTACCCCAGAATCTTGAAAAAATGAAGTCCAAACCGTTCTAACTGCTCGGATAGCCGCATCAGTATTCTACATGGTCGTCCCGTGTCTGTGTCTCCTGCCGAAATCGATACCCCCATGCCTGTCGATCTCCCCTCCCTACGACCAAATGAGCAATTAACCAATCTACCCAGCTTCACCGCTACGATCGTCTTAACAAATCATTTGGCAAAGGCTGCGGAAGCAATGAGGTCTCTCCGGCGTTGCCAGAGAGCCAGAAAGAAGAAGTATATTCGGCAACTTGCCGCAACCCGCGATCAACTATGCTCATGGTGGGAAGGTCTTCCCACCGAAACCCACTGCCGAGATCTCACTCCTGCCGGAACATACTTCCGTTGCAACGTGCACCTTGAAATCTACTACAGGACAACGTTGATCTACATGGGCCGTCCTTTCATTATATCCCAAGCAACATCTGGGTCATTCAACCTAGACTCGGCCTCAACCGTTCATGAGGTTCCAGATATTGTGAACACCCTCCGACGTGACTCACTGCATGCGGCACTTCGAGTGATCGAGCTTTGTCAGCTTTTACAGGACACCGTCGGCCTCGCGCGTGTGTCGTACACCGAATTCAATGGGTGCCGGGTTGCTTTATTAGCGCTCATTGCCCACAGCATCAACGAACCAACTAGCAGGATATCCAGCGTCTTGACTCAAGGCATAGGACTTATCCGTCAGATCTGTCCCGGGCTAGAATCCGCGCGATCTGAGGTGGCTGTGATCGAAGCCCTTGAACGGGCAAGACAACGACTGCATAATCATACCCTCGCGGATCAGAGTGGTGAGACAGATCATACAACAGGCTATGATCAATTCAAAGAATGGGCCAGACTTTGGCGAAGTGATCCGTTGGATGGTAGCGATGTCCTCTCCACAAATTTGGACGTGCCCTATGAACAGCGCTCGCCCAACTCTGTTCCTTCTTTTGATGGATTTTTCTCATCTTTCCCCAATGAGCTCGGTGAATTCGCCGCCATTCCGGGGCTAGATTACGACTTATCACTAGCCCAGGAATGGTTGGGTGGCCCTCAACCTGAAGGATCTGAGTGGATCATGAATCAACCGCTCTGAAGGTTGAGTCCTCCAATACGACGCATAATAAGCCGTTCTTGAAGGCAGATGGACGCATCCTGACAAGGTGCGCATCAGACTTGATGTTGCCCCTTTTGTTGTACAGGATCTTCTGTACTTTCTGTACTTAGACTTTGTCTTCCCAATGCTACGAGAGACAAGTTCTGAGGTTAGCATGAAGCGGTCAATTTACTCCTCTTCTTTTCGAGGAGATAACAACTACAAGACCGTTTGCAAAGTGCCACCTGAGTACACAAGCACGTGCTATGTACATGTATGCATCTTGACCTCAATCGACAAACACGAGGTAAATGGTAAACAACCACATATCCGGAATTAACCCGTCAAGTGTGCAGTTCTATACGTGGAGACATCACTTGCAAAGCACCGGGTATACTCCGTACCGCAGGCTCGCAGGCGTAGTACGAAATAAAAGCTTTTTGTGAAATATTTCTTCGCTTTTCTAATTGAACAAGAAGGGAATTTATCTCACGCAACCAGCATCAAGTCAACCATTCCTGCGGGCATCTCTTCCATTCGACGAAAAATTCACATCCCTACGGCCCTGTAGGCGCGGATACACGACCAACCAGTCATACATTTCGAAGATCCAATCAAATTATCTAGGGACATATTTGCATCATTGGCTTCTCCTAAGACCGTCCCGGCCGTATGTACCATGCGCCTATGCCGCTGGCTAACTTGAATATTGTGTAGGATATGGGCTGGTGAGAATGGATCTTCTGGCAAATCACCCAAGTAAGGGCTAGCTTCTAAAGTGAGGTTGTGTTGTGCGAGAAGATCACGTTTCAGTACTTCCTCTGCCAAAAGTGCGACCCAATTGGAATCGAATGGGCCTTCGCGATGCGGCCAGCAGTGTAGGAGTCTGATAGCGCGCCACCGCACGCGATAATCAATGCAGGCAATGGAGGCATGATAAAGAGGCCCAATGACGCCAATGTCCACGGTGAAGGTGGGACGTGTGGGGAATTTCTTCAAGATCGCTTCCGCGAGGCAGACGACGGCCTCGAGGTCAGACGTGTAATGAACCAGTGCTGCACTGTTCTCTCCAAGGACACAGGTTCGTATGGATGTACTTAAGCTGAGACACTGTAGATAGATGATATCGGCGCTTCGTTGCTCTTTGTGGGTCAAGCATGCATAGAATTCGCGGTAGAAGATCTCGTAGACACGCACGAACTCACTGAACCGAGACCAGACCTGGAATTGCCGCGGGAGGATTACGTTGTAGTTTTGCGCGATCTCTTCATCTTTCATCCCCATGCATGGCGCAATAAAGCCATGTCCAGCACTTAGAATTGGCTCAAAGGCATCTCTTGCCTCTTTCACATTGTTGAACATCGTAATGGGTTTCGGGTTGGCTGGCAGGGCATCGATGCAGAGGAGAGGGCCGCCGACCCCAAAGTGCGCCGAAAGAATATCGAGGTGCGCGAAGGCAGCGACAAGACACCGTTCGATTCTTCTCTCGCGTGGTGTTGGTGCGACGAGTTCTCGGTCGGCCTGGAGTTCTTGGAGAATGCGAAGGCCACTTTGGAGATGGTTAAGCGCGCTGTCGTAATGCCCCCAGAGCAGGTCAGAGAGGACAAATAACAAGCAGCAGAGCAAGGTTACATTGCGTAAGGTTGGGTCATGAGAGGCATGACGGCGCGTGAGAAGGTTGAAAGCGCGTCCCAGTTGGTCTTGTGCAAATAGAAGCAAAGTGTTTTCTGGTTCAAAGGGAATGTCTGCCGCTAATGGCATCCCCTTGGCCTCAGTATCCTGGTGAATTGCACTGAGGGCGACTGCCGCGTGGAATACCGCTGGGTCCGACTGGCTCATCTGCAAGACCAGGTTTTGCCAAAGCGAGGATTCGAAGAATTCCAGGAAAGTGGGCACTGTATGGTGTTGAAAGAAGGAGAAGCAGCGCCGCTCGTCAGATGTCATCACCCAACGAAAGCCGTTTCCCACATGGGCGGAGATGCTTGCTGATACTAGGGCTTTCATAAATGGTTGGCCACCGACCGGCAGTCGATGCACGTAGCCATCGCAAATTCGCCCGGTCGAGTCGCAATTTTGACAGCTCCCTGGGGCTTCATCGCATTTGACATGACGAAGCCTATAATCCGCAGTTAGTGATCGACAGCCTTCTTCCAACATTGACTTCCAAACTCACCGACAGGTGCGACAACCAGTCCTGGATTTCTTTCCGCCGGTTCGACGTCTACGAACTGGGATAGTATTCATTATAAAAGGGTATAATATGAGGACTTGGACTTCGATATGCAGTGATCTTACTCAAGCTCATCATGGATACTGTAGAGGCAAAAAAGTGTGACCGGAGCGGTCACGTCTCAGGGGGCGATGCGGCTGTTGACGCCCCGCATCTCGGACAGATCGCGGCCAACTTTTGATTTGGCACTTCTCTCCACATTCTTAGATCTCGAGTTTTCGGCAATACGGGGCTCCACGCGACGGGATATTGGTCAGGACAGTTCCGAATGTAGTGTGGATTTGGTATAACCCACGTTAGGATTCGGAGACTGTACACACACTCTTATTACCTACATCAAATGAGCCTAAACAGATTCTGGTAAGAAATTCCACACAGGAAAAAGGGGTATCCTGAAAGAGGGCACTATTGTGCTTGTGGGATATTCATGTGGAGATCTCTCAAACTTTGCGCAGTGTCTCTTACGGGAGAACAAGCCCATTCTTCCGTTTGAGTATCTATCTAGTAGCCTCCAAGGTCAAGAGGGGGCGTAAACTTCAAATAGCGAAATCTTCGGCTTGGGTATCCAGCATAAATCGTGTCCACTGGGCCCCAACATATCAGCCGACCGTACACGTAGTGATTGTCTTCCCGAAAATATACTCCGTATGTGGATAGGCAATTGGGATAGCTGCGTGAGCAGATACCTATAGATTCCAGATATGCCAAGCTGACAGTTTAAAGGTGTTAAGGCAAGAATGTTTCCTGATTAGGAAAAAGGTGGGTGCAGGTACTGTCTACCTAGATATATTCAAGTATGCCCCACGAACAATGGGGCAACCTCATGGATATCAACCAACAATTGTGTTAGATACATGGGTAAAAGTAAATAGGTACATATATAAAAACAACAGAGGTCATAACATGGGTCAGCTATTCATTAATCTAGTCCTCACGTTTGACATCCACCGCTGGACCAGAATACTCTTTCCGTCCCTTGATGACATACATGATAAGACTAAGAATGAAAACAGCCCCAAAGATTACGACACTCCAGTTGAAATTTACAGCGGTGACAGGCAGCTCACCTGGCCAGAATGACCAAAACATCGCGAAGACAGAGTAACATAGGCCAATGATATTCACAGCCAACCCCCAGTTCCGCCCCAGATCCCACCGATGAGCAGGCAGGGTATCGGAATGGCAGATCTTTCGCCAGATCACACAAGTGATTGAGATCACGTAGGTGTACATCAAGGCAGCGGTGTTGAGAGAGATGATAGCGTTGAACGCAGTATCAGAGCCAATGTTAATCAGAGAAAGCAGGCAGCTGAAGAGGCAAGTGAGGGCAATAGAATTGACGGGGATCTTGCGCTTAGGATCAATTTTGGAAATCCATCGAGAACAGGGAAGACCCTTGTCACGAGCAAAAGCCCACGTTTGGCGAGAGGTGGAGGCATTGAACATGATGTTGCTGAAAATGACAGGTAACAATATGATGGCCGTTAACCCGTTGACTCCTGCCGTGTTAGTAGCCTGCTTAAACACGTAGAGAAAGGGAAATCCGGTAACGTCGTTAAGGGAATCCACGACGGATGGGGTGGCGAAGAGGTAGGCAACCAACAAGATGGCAGCCATGATTCCATTGATGAAATATCCCCAGGCCATAGCCCGTGGTACGTTCCGGCCGGCGTCTTTAATTTCTTCCGACATATGGGCGCACGCATCAGAACCTAGGGATAGTTAGTCTATTTTCCACAGACTGCTCTCTATAACAATAAGACAAGTGAAACTTACTAAGACAGCCGTAGATAGCTGAGATTTGTCCAACCATCACACTCAGTCCCATTGTAGGTAACCCACCTAGATTCTGCCAGTCCGAGACGAAAACAGCTTCAGCAGATCGGTGAGGAGACATAGCCCACAGGACGATCAAGATCACTGCCCAGGAAAGGACGTGAAGAATCATCAACACGTTACTCAAGATTGGCATCAGCTCTGACGCATAGACATTGAAAACATATGACACTAGAACCATTAAGAACACAAGTAGAGTGCCTTGCCAGCCTTTAGGATCATAATCCGGATTGCGAACACTGATCAATCCCTGGATGATGGTGCCGGTGAGGAAGGATCCAGAAGCTGTTCCGGATTGCCATGCGAGTACGGACATCCAGCCAGTGATGTAGCTGAGAAACTTCTGGTATCGAGGCGAGGAAAACTCCGATACCCAGTGATATTGGCCTCCATCGGTAGGTGCTATCGAAGCCATTTCCGACAACGAGGCAATGATGAATCCGAATCCGATAAATGTCCAAATATATGACCAGAACATGCCTGCTAGGCCTCCATTCTCCAGTCCCTGGTAGTTCGAACTGGAAGGAGTTAATATGTTTGTCCTGTATACCTGTTGGGGAAAGGATGTTTCAAATAGCTCACATGATCAGAAATTCCCAAGTGGCTTGCAATATTGACGCAAAGCTCAATGCCGCAAGAGGTCGCATATTTCTCTAATTGAAGTCGCTAAACATTAGCTGTAAATGTGATAACTGCAAAAGCGAGTGAACGAACCTTGAATTCTTGAATTTTTCCCATGCGATGCATTTCATGGTCGTCCAGTACCGTCCCGCCATGTTGGGAGGCTGCTGGGTTCCTATGATCTATACCCATGTCCAGCGTCTCCAACGCTGTGGCTTTGATTGAGGTTTCCATGATGCAATGAATACCGATCCAGGCAAAAGAGTGTCAGATGGAGTTGGATTCACCAGGATTAAGGGGCTGTAGGAGTAAAGTACCAAATATCTCGATGGAAGGCCGGAATACCCGTGAAAGAATGGATCCCTTACAGCGTACGGAGTACCTCCTTGCCATTCTAAAGCTTCCATTTCGGTTAATCACTAGTCAGTTGGCCGCGTGTTTCGCTTTAAAAGCATAACATAATTTGAACTTTTTATCGGGCCCTAGAGCGGCTTTGTTTCAAAGAAAGCATGTTTTTGCGGCACTAGACCAGGGCTGCATGGACCAATTCCTTCGTGCCTTTACTAAGTGGGGAAATATATGCGATGTAACAATGAGAAGAGATGTACAAAGTACCAAAAGCCAAGACATTCCAAAGTGCTTATGGTGCAATCGAATCTCGGGAAGTTCTCCACAAAGGCATTGGACTGATTGGACTTGATTGGGGCGGGAGCGGGAACGGGACGTCCGAAATATTCTCAACCTTCGTAGATATACCGCCCTCCTAAATTCTGCCAGTTCTGCCAGACTAAAACTCCTAATAAAGTTAGTGTATAGGCACGTGATCTAGCAAGATATAGGTATCCAAGACTGCTAAAAAGACCACTAAAAAGACATATGAAAAGAGTATAGAGAAGACTGCCTGAAAAGATCACTAAGAAGACTACGTATAAGCGGCCAACTATTTATTCTTACAGCAGTATATTTAAAATAAGGCAGGTATTTATGACAGTATATAAAGAGAAGACGGTATATTTGGCGGTACATCTAGCTACAAAGGTTTAGCCCAATCCATGGATATTTCGGGGGTCCCACTGTCCCAATGTAGATAAGCCTTTCCAAGATTTCCAAGATTTCCCACGGGTAACGTCTACTCTCTACTCCGAACGCATCTACTGAATTAAAAAAAATAAAAATTGTTTTGCCATCATGGGTACATAGTTCATAACAAGTGGCACATACCCTTTACAGCCTACTTGGAAGCTGGGAGGAATGGGAGGACGAGTCATTAAAATGAGATTAAATCTTAACTGACGGTCTTTAGTCCTTTTCGCTCCCCCTAGCCTTGATATGGCTCGACAAGGATTGCAAACCCCGAAAGCCCTGCAATACAGTTGGCTCTCTACGTGTACATCCTGATTTTTTTTTCCCATGAGCATCCCGGTCATATTCGGTGCTCCCGTGACGCACTAGGCTCATATCGTCGACTTAATAAATCCTATATTTCTCGCAAATAAGGGTGATCACCGTAAAAGTCTTTTTTGACCGTTCGGCCCCAAGAATATCCCATTTGACGTTATGTGTTGCCCTCCCTATTCAATAATTGAAAATGCCTTGAACCCTCTCATGTTTCAAATGTGAAAAACTTCTGGTCCGAGTTTATTTTTTCCGTATTTACACGGCCGCTAGCTTGTCATGTCGGCCACTCTGACGACATTGAATTCGGGTGTGAGCCCTCCTCTTACGACGGATAATGACCATAACCACAGTGGACTGATTGTGGTCATCACCGCGGTCAATTTGTGTCTAGTTTCGTTTTCTCTCGCAGCGCGCACCTTCTCTTCGTACCATAGGAATAGCCTGCAGCGAGATGATTACACATTTGGGGCTCTCGTGGTACAGTACTATTCACCCCATTATAAACTGACAATCTGGAGCTTCATGTCTCTGGACTAACAACGTGATAGGTTACCGCAATTGTCCAGATTGTACTCGTGCTTTGCCAGGTGCACTATGGGTGGGGAACTCCGATTGATAGCATCGAGACCACAAGTAAAGAGCAAATGCTGAAGGTAAGTCGTGAAGGAATCCAAAATTTCTAGGATAATTAACATTAGAAGATAGTATATGCTGCTGATATCTTGTCCATCATTGTGGTCGGCCTTTCAAAGGTGACAGCCTGCATGTTCTATAAGGGCCTATTCTCCCAGATGCAACGCCCAACTTCCCATGTCGTTCTTCTGGTAATGGTCCCGTGGACAAATACTATCCACGTTTCTGTCGGGAATTCGGTGTTCCTCTACTCCCTGGTCCGAAATCAGTGCCGCTGAATGCACTGGATTGGTATGACTTGCCCCTCCAATGAGTATAACCACTGACCAGGCTACAGCGTCCCCGCTGGGAAGTAATTACGGCCCTTGACATTTCCACCGAGATCTTACTTCTTGTGTATGCGGCACTTGCAATCCACAAAGTCAGGATCTCGACAAAACAAAAAATCATCGTGTTTTGCGCTCTGAAGAGTCGGGTTTTGCAGGTCCCTTCACTAGATTGGTTTGGGATCTCTTTTATTGACATCATAATTTGATAGGCTCATCCCCATCGCGGCAGTGCGTCTGCACTTCACCCAAGCCCAACTCTCCTCGGAAGATCCAAGTCTCCTCGGGTCCTTTGCCACGGTCTCCACGGAGATATACATAGGGCTAAGTGCCATTTGCCTCTTGACGGCCTTTCTCAAGTCCTTTGTTGCAGTCTACGAGGACGATATCGGCATAACATATACGTATCGGAGGCCATCGAAGTCTGATTCGCGGTCGAGAACTGCTGTGCCGAAGGATATGCCGTCTCGCAGGATCTCCCGTAGTGTGAGAATAGAGCGGGGAGTAAAGGGCTGGGAGCGAGAAGAAGACCCGATCATCAAATCATCTGAGGGTATTCAAGGGTTACAAATTATGAAAACTGTACAGTTAAGCGTGCGAGACGAGTCTATAGAGCTATCAGACTGAGGGGGGAATACAGGTGTCTAATAAACTCTTTTTCCGGTCTGTCCAGTTTAATCTGGCATGAAACCCAGAAGCTGAAATGAACATTAACAGCCGAGTGGATGTTAATGCCGCGTTCTTCCAACTCGAGATCTAGCCACAAATTGTGGTAAGCAATACCTACCTAGGTAGTATAATTTCTACAGTGCCAATTCCTACATCCTCTCACTTTCTATTAAAAGAATAGTCAGCCGTTTATATGGCCGTGGTCTTCCTAGGGAGTCCTTTATTGGTCTTTTTACAGACATACTGTCTCCCACTTCTTAGTTTGTTAGGTAGATAGTAGTATTTTGCCAGCCTAACATTCATAGAGTATTTGTGTGTTTATTGACTATAGAAGCTGACAGAGACTAATGGTGTAGAAATCCCTGTAGAATATCGACTAATTTGCAACGCTCATGTCCTAACTTCCACGTCTGCTACATTTGAGAGTGGGAGAAAATAAGATCTGAGTCGGACACAAGATATATTATGGCCTCACTGAAACTCGTACATTACCTACAATATGTACCCTATACTATGAGATGCGGTGTCCTGGAGCAATTGTTTACCAAACAGACGAAGGAGCTGTATGCCAAATGTTGCCCCCTTGAGTATAGCAGGTTGCTGCCTGATAGGGAAAGAAATAGAAATGATAAATTGTCACATTCTAATTGTATGTGTAGTTATATTAGGGCTAGATGGAAACCTGATCCATTAGGCAAACACGTAAACGTGCGGCTCATGATGAGACAACCCTTTTTATCTTTTTCCATCATCTCATCACCTTTTATTCAATTCTCGCACCTATCACATTTCCTTCTTTCAACATTACACATTCCCGATCCTGCCTCTCTATCGAGCATCATCACAGAATCAACGAATCCTCGCACACCTTCATTCCCCCCTTCTACCCACGTCACCAGAAATCTCCTTCACCATCGATCAACGGCGAAGTCTGCACATCATGTCGTCCCATCGTCCGAGAGGCCAGGATTTGGTAACATGGATACTTGCCGAGCTCGTATCCTCTTCCGAATCGACATTCACACAAGCCGATCTTGAACGACTTGAGATTTCAGTCAAGAGCTTTAGGCCCACAGACCCCGAGTTTCTTGATGACAGAAAAAAGTGTCTTTTTAAGCCCGTTCGACAAAGAAAATATTAAAAGATGGGAAGTCCCGGATAGTGAGGCCGAATACGAAGCCGTCCATAAGCGCCTTGACATCCAAGATGTGCCTTCGCACCTTGCTCAGAAGCCAACAGAAGCTGAGATAATGCGAGCTACAAGGAAGGTTATTGGATATCTTCAGACAAACTACACTTTCCGGTGCGAAGGGAGAACTAGGGCAACTAGGCGGCCTTTGTCAGAGGAGCTCGGGTGGGCGGAGATTGAGTAAGTGCCGCTTCTTAAGCTTATAATGGGTAACTAATATTCCATTCAGTTGTGAAGAATTTACCGGCGGAGACGGAGGACTATTGTTCCCTACTCCTGGAAGATATATAGGACAAGACTACCCCGGTTGGAGGTTCCGGTCGCTACAAGAATGGTGGACGAATGTCGATATGCTAGCTGGGCCCTCGACTCAAATAGTCATTTTCACCGATGGAATTGGTAAGGAGGACCGATTACTCCTCAGTGAGCTTGGGGCAATAGTTCAGGTGATCGCATTTCGTCGAACCCGGCCCGTATTCAGCCATTACCACATCTTCCCAGTACGCTGTGGCCTAGATACATATCTATTCGTTAAACTGCTAATTGGGGTAGGTCCTAATGCTATCTTTCTTCGGGCCTCGACATGGAAGGATACTCCAGGCCTGCTACGACTCGCGTTCTCAACAGCTCGAAATCCAGATCTCACCAATCTTCAGTTTTCTCAGAAAGAACGATGAGTCCTTCGATATCTTTTTGCGATTCATGGCAAGCTACCCGCCTGAGACACTGGACAACTCTATATTCTAGCTGTGTTGGATTGCTCGAGAATAACCTCATTTATGTGTCTTGCTGCATAATAACATACCCAGTGATTCCAGTCACACTATTCTTCGCCTGTGTTACAAAGGATAGATAATGGCATCGCTAGCATGCTGGGCTAGGATAGGCCTTTCTATCAAGACACGAGAATGAAATTTATTCCTGAGCTGTCTACTGGTATTTGCGCTCTGTGGCCCTAACAACCTCGAATTATCCTTTATGGGTTTTATCTAGTGAAAAGATGGTACATACGACCATACGGTGTGGAAAATAGGGCTTCCCGTCCGCTCAGCCGTACTCAAGCCACACGCCGGTGAGTTAGTAGTTGGGTGGGTGACCACCAGCGAATCCTCACTGTTGTATGTTTTTGTTTTTTTGTTCATCCATCGGATTCATGAAAACTGGTACGTCTCTCCGTCTAGGCCTAGGTCTACCTATGTACAACAGATACAAAATAACTTCCAAGGTTGATGTCATCATCGCGGGACGGGGCGTGAACTCTAGCGTCAAAGCCTATCTGACCTGACAAGTGACAATTTCAGCCTAGTAGTATCCGTGGACTGCGGATCGGGTTTCTAGAAAATACGGTGTTGTGTCCCGCAACGGATAATTCATTGACTGCCCAGGTGGGAAGTCCCCTAGGTTGGGGTTTGACCTGGCCGAGAATCATTGTTTGTAACAAATGTCAACCTGGAATATGGCCCTCCCTAGGCACTAAACAGGAACCTTGGTTTTTGTGGTGGTCTAGTGGAATAAAGCCGTATTTATTTCCACAACAAAATCTATATATTTCCCGCATCTATGTAGTGTATACTCTAGGGTTTTTGGATGTGGGAGGAGATGAATCGTTGAAGAAGTATGGATATATGGAACTAGGAAATACGGGCTAGAGCAACTCACGAACACACATGGACCGAACGTATTGTGGGTAAGTAGGATTCGGAAAGGGTGTGGTCTTATTCCGACCACTTGAGGCCATGTGTTCCACCCCTCAATCCAGACCGAGTGTTAGATAGAGAATCATCAATTCTCCCCTGGAAGACACCATCCGTAGCATCAAGATAACGCGGTGGGTTTTGGTAGGAACCCAAGAGTACGAGGTTGAATTGTTTCTAGCAGCTCCGCAGCCTCAATCATTCTGTCATCTCGTTGCACGCTCACAGCCCTTCGATACCTCCTCTGTATGACGCTGGGTGCCTCTCGCGCATAGCGCCGGAGTGCTGCGACTGCAGTTCTAAAACCTTGATCGGATGGACTGTCGAACTTGGACATTCGTCGATGATCTGCGGCAATGCCGCATCTTTCGGTGTTGTCGATTATTGGTGCTGCGCTCGTTTCAGTGACGATGTAATCTCTTTTGTATTTGAGATCAGTCTTCTCTTGCTCCCAAAAGAAAAAGACGCGGAAGTTACACATAAGTGGCGCAAATTGGTCGGTGATATTCTGCAGGACTTCAGATTCCTTTTTGAGTGCATTGACTAACCCTGATTCGAGCTCTATGAGGGCTTTGGGGGTCGCGAGGGATGCTATCTTCTGAAGACTACCGAAAATATTCGCTTTGCTGGATCCTTGATGCGGAGTGCCGAAGAAAAGGATAGCAAATGTACAAACGTAAATCGAATAGATATGAGTGAGTCTAGGGCGACTTTCTGCGTATGCCAGGGCCTATTGATGGTTAGCTATTAGAACGATCATAATCCTTTTCAATCCCTTTTGCATAGATTACTGGATTACTTACTCTTTTCACTATTATGCCGCCTAACGAATGACATACAAAAATGATGGGCCTTTCCGCTGCATCGTCGAGCTATAGGTGTTAACAGGGTTCCATTTGGATAGACTTAGACAGTCTCTTACATCCCTATCTGCCTCTAGTTGAGAAACCAATGTCTGCGCATGTTGCAAAATCCTGTCCGAGCTGGGTGCCTTTCCGTCCTGGGACGAGATGCTCGCGTTATAGCCCCATACTAACACTCGGGCACGAGGGATATAACGCGGAAGGAAATATGCGTTGCTCAGCCAACAGATTCCGTGCGGCTTAGATGTCCATGACCCTGTGGCATGACCATTGAGCCCATGGACGGCGACAATGCTAGCTTATTGTCAACAAAATTCAGCATTTTAAGATGGAACACTCACTCCACCTCAACTGGCCCATCAAGTGGTCGGTATAGCTCGTGGATCCCGTAGATTTGCTTCGGAGCTTCTACTCCCTGAGTCATTTCGTTGAACTTCGCAGGCTGAGTGATAATGTCGAGGAATGTTGTGGTTCACAGTTGGTTAAACTGGGGCTGAAGTCCAATTATGGTATTAGTCTGACCCCTCATGCGCGGCCCTGCTAACGCCTTTTATTGGATACCTCACCAATGTGCTTTGGTCTGTGCCTAGTGACCAATACTGCATTAGTGTACACGCTAGTGGAATATGAAATGACTCGCGGAACATCTCACTATGTATGGAGTACATGTCTTGGTACATGATTGTTGAAATGTGTGGCTTCCCGGGCCTTCCCTTGCCAGGATCTGCCTCCTTGCCGGATACATATATCTTTCATGGTCTTCCCAATCCCTCCTCCACTGGCTTTATTTTCAATGACTATTTTTAAGGACTTCCACTTTGCATCCTTCGGCGCTCGAAAGAACTAGTGTTAGTCGCTGTCTTTCGGTTCCGACAGGCTCATTTGGCTCTCCTGCCGGCAACGTAATCTGCGAAAATGTCTGCAACATCCTCACAATCGTATAAGAAATCTCCATTCGAGCAAATTCCTCCCCCAAACATTGACGAGGCCCACGACTGAAAGGAAAGTAGGCCCATCCAATATTGTTAAGTTCGCCGGTTTCCCATCTCTCAGGACGAAATTCATATGCATCAGGGCCATATATGTTCTTCTTCCGTGAATTCACGTACTGTGAATAGACAACTAGTTCACCCTTTCTCACCAAGATAGGCTTGTCACCATCTGGGCCACCCCCTGTTGGTAGAAGAGTAGTTTTCACCGCCTCGCGATTGTTCAGCGGAACAGGAGGATAAAGACGAAGACCTAACGATGCGAGATTAGAGGCCTGCGCCTCAATCACAACAGACCTCTAGATGGCACTCACTTTCTTTGATCACATAATCAAGGTATCGAATTCTTTTTATTTGCTCCCGAGTTGGTATAGACTCGTTTACCATAACGGAAGAGATTTCTTTTCGCAGACGTTCCATTACACCCTCATGGCGGACAAGTAGTCGACTTGGCATTGACAGAGTATAGTCAGCACTGAGCGCGAACCTTCGAGATTTCTCTGCCGGTGTGATACATACAATGTCCAAGACAGGCAGCATGCCGTTGTATCTCGTCCAGCGAGCAAAACATTTAGTAGTTGATCACGTATATTTTCCATCCTTTTAGACCCATCAATGTCGTGATCGTTGGGCCCAAGTCGCTTCGCTTTGTTGTTTTGCGCGGTCTCCAAACACGATTCCTTAGCAATCTGCTTGATGAAGCCATATCGTTTCTCTTCATTGTCATCCACGGCCTCCAAGTCTAGATCCATGATGTATTGCTCAACAAAGCGATGGACCTCATCACAGGCTTTCTGGAAGGCTTTTGGCCTATAGAGATTATGCCAAGGTGCTATACGAAAGCGTTTGGCAAGCCCCTCTTGCGCGATGTTGAAGCTTTCTGCAAATAGTTTGTTTTGCTGATGTTGATCAATACCAGCCCTCAAGGTATAGACCGATCTACCAAAAAGGAGAGCCGTTGCAATGTCCATGGTCAAATCAAAGAATAGAGGCTGGAGATCGACCTTCCCGCTCGAGGGCAGACGATCAATTAGATTGTCAACATGCTCACGGAACTGGTCGAAGTTCTGAGACTGAACATTTTTAAATTGTTTGTGCAGAAGGTCTCTTGAATGCTGCCATTCAGACCCCTCCTGGGTGAAGATGCCATTACCAAGCAGAGGTGCGAAAATTTGAGGCCTGACTCCGAACCCATAATCTGGCGCACAACCAAGTAAGAAAATGAGCTTAGACTAGCCTTTCAACGCAGATCATGGATGGGGATTCACCTTTGAAGTTCTTGGACAAAACAACCTCAAGGTTCTTAGGATGTAACACGTGAAAGGCCCTGGGCCCAAACAGCAGATATTGAGAAAGATTGTTCTGGGGTTCGTAGTCCTCCGCAATTTTGCAAAGATATGCAAGGAGGCGACCTTCTGCGTTCGTTTCCCAGAGATCCTTGATGCGATCAATTCCAAAGGGCCATTTCTTGGGAAGTTCGAGAGGTAACTCGCAGTCCATTTTGGATCCCCAGATAGAATCATCCTGGTAAATTATCATTAATTGAACTCAAAGCGGCGAATTTAGTCTTACCCGATAGCTTTTGAATTTCATAAAAGAGCGATAGCATAGTCGACCAATGATAAACACGATAACAGGCCAGATTAGATATTTCACGATCATGTTTGGTTTTGCAAAATGTTATGTTTGTATAATTGTTCGGGATGAGACTGGGGAAGAGGTTCGGTATATGATACCTCCAATATAGGTAGTAGTTAGCGCCCATCTTATAGGCGAGACGCACACTTGTAAGCGCTAATGCAGGTATATCACACGCCAAGCCCAAAGTGGAGAAAGCGGTAAACCTTTCGTGTCCTGTCCCGTGATAGGCTGACAAATAGCGCCACGTGCAGATCACATCCACATGGGTACCTACATGTGTGTGCCTCCCTGCAATGTTGTAAGTACCTAGGTAGTGCTGTTCTGTGTTCATGTGTCTGAAACTAATTATAATTCTCCAGGATCACTCGACTCCCATACTCGGAGGCCCCATTTTCTTTTAAATCATTATCAACATGTCAATATATGTCTCTCTGTGAGAAGCGATCAGAAATTTAAATTTGCGCAATGCCACTGGGCCTTCATGTGCTTCATTCCCACAATCTCAGTCCTTCAGCGGCAGATTTGGATCAGAATACTGGTGTCGAGTACAAATCCCTAATCGCCTTAACTTGCGCGTGTTGCATTCACTGACGGATTCTTTGATAGTATCGTGGCCGTTCACGGCTTGGGGGAAAACTCGATAGAGACATGGACACATCATGAAACGGGTACTTTATGGCTTAGGGATCTTTTGCCACGAAGTATCCATAACGCCCGAGTTCTCACATTTGATTACGATGCTACTCCTTCCCTTTACACTGGAAAAGACTTCATGGACAGGGTGCAGAGTCAAGCAACTACCCTAGTGGCAGACTTGGAGGGCGAGAGGAGCTTAGAAAACGCTTCTAGGCGACCGGTAATCTTTGTCTGCCACGGTCTCGGAGGCATTATCGTCAAGAGCGCGCTCGTTCATTCAGCAAGTCGAACATCCCATTTCACATCACATCTCAATGCTATATATATCTCGACTTTTGCTATTGTGTTCTTCAGCACCCCCCCATGATCACATCGACGTTGGGAAATGGCTTCCTTCGGGCACATCTTCCTTGACACTTCGACGACCAAAAGAGAAAACTAGTATGCCTGGAGTGCCCATCACTGTGCATACCTTGGAAGTAATCACAAATCAGTTCGCTCCACTCATGAAGAAGGTCCACATGTACCTTTTTTGGGAAGGGGTGAGGACACAACTTGCGAGCGGTGCTGAGTTCATGGTAGACCCGTCCTCTGCTGCTCCACATATATATGACACGGAAAGATGCGGAATTTCGGGCTCGAACCATACAGATATGACGAAATTTCACCAATCCGACTCTGCTTACCGGACAGTTATATCCGCCCTCATGAAGTACTGCTACTCAGCGCCAGCAATTATCGCATACCGATGGAGAGAAGCAATGGAAACGATGATACGTCTGCGAAGAAACGAAGCTTGTGAACTAACGGGCCTATTTCTTGAAATCCCGGACAAGGTCGCGATTACCACGGAAACCGAGACAGATACTATCGATGCCCCTCTCCAGAACGAACATTTCCATCTTCCATGCACAGTTTCTATGGACTTTATAGGCCAAGAAGACATCATGGAAACACTCACAAATGCGTTTGAACCGGAAGGCCCCACGTCGTTGAACAAACAGCAAAAGCGATTTGTTGTTTATGGCATTGGTGGCTCGGGGAAGACACAAATATCTGCAAAATATGCCCAGGACAACCGACAACAGTAAGTATTCAAGCGTCTACATACCCGTGGACCATTTACTTGCTGACACATGTTATGCTCAGCTATTGGGCAATTTTCACCATCGATGCATCTTCCACCCAAACAGCCAAAGAATCATTCTGCAGAATCGGACGGATGGGGGGTCTCGAAGCTACCGAAGATTCTGGCAAACACTTCCTCTCTCAAGCTCGAAGCAACTGGCTGCTAATCATCGATAACGCCGACAAGCCTGATATAAAGTTCGAAAACCTCGTTGTGCCTGGGGATAGAGGTCATATACTCGTGACTACAAGAAATCCCAGTCTTCGAAGGCAAGGTAACGCCGGCAGTGTGGAAGTCAAAGGCCTTAAGCAAAGAGAAGCCCTGCATCTCCTCATGAAAGTGGCAGACATTATTCCCCCGTGGGATTTATCCTCAGAAACAGCAGCGAACGAGATCATCAAGACCTTGGGATACCTAGCCCTCGCAGTCATTCAGGCGGGTAACTCAATTTACAACAAAATGTGCAACTTAAAAGAGTACCTCCGGTTCTACCGACGGTTCTTGGAAAACCGCCAGAGAAGAAAATCGGTTTCAGAGTCTGAAGATCTTGATTGGAGAAAAGCCGAGAATGATGATATCTACTCAGCATTTGATTTTTCGTTTCAGAACATCGTGTCCAGTAATACAACCCCCAGCCAAGATGCAGTGGAGGTCCTCAACATTGTGAGTTTCTACCACTTTGATAATATACGAGTGGACATCTTCGAAAGAGGCATGGGCCTTGAGCGAAGCCAGTTACGGCAATCTCGAACCAGATCCCTTCGGGCAGGATTTGTACAAGCTATTGTCAGTCGCTTCAAACCACCTCGGGCCCTTCCCCGAATACTCAGGCAAAGTGCGGATGATATGCATCCATTGTGCATCAGGGAGGCTCTTAGCGAGTTGTACGCATCTTCATTGATAACATATGGAAATGACGAACAGAGTTTCTCATTACATCCTCTGGTTCATGCTTGGGCAAGAGACCGCATACCTCCCAAGGAAAGGAGCCTCTGGGCAATGATTTCCTTTAATACGCTCATGGCCTCCATACCGCTCCCTCCGATGGAAACGGGGGAGTCGCACGTTAGTTTCCGGAGAAGTTTGATTCCTCACCTTAATGAATGCCTGGAGGCATGTCCTATTGAGTTTAGAGAGTTCTCTGGCCTCGGCATGGGAAAACATCGCCGGTTTACCTTGGTCTTCCAGCCAAGCCTAGTGTTCACAATTCGAGAAATGATTCAAAATGCTGCGAAGTGCGGGGTTTTGCATGCTGAAACAGGTGATTTTTCAAAATCCGCATATTACCTTTTCCTGGCAAAGGAGTCGTTGGTCAAGCTTTTGGGCCCGAATGACGAAAAAACAATAGCGACGATGCTGGGTTTGGCCAGTATACTTTGGGGTCTCGGGCGCCTAAAAGAAGCCATAGCCTTGCAAGAACAGGTTGTCAAGTCGCGGAAAGAGGCCTTAGGACCGGACCACCGTGAAACCTTATTGGCCATGGACTCTCTTGGTCAATCTTTCTGGCTCAATGGACAATATCGCGAAGCTCTTGAGCTTCAGCAACAGACCGCACAGAAAATGCAGACGCACCTTGGCGAAGGGGATGACGACACGCTAAAAGCGCTTGACCACTTGGGTGTGACATTAAACGCTTGGCACCGGTTCATTGAGAGCAGAGACATGCATCGGAAGGTTTTGCAAATTCGAATGCAAAATCTGGATCAGAGTGACTTGAGGGTCCTCGAAACGAAGAATAATCTTGCAATGGCCCTGTTTGACCTGAGAGAGCTTGATGACGCGATATCTCTGATGGAAGAAGTCTATAACGGACGCAAGGCCCGAATGGGAAAGGAACATCCCTACACGCTCTGGGCGCTATGCTACCTGGCGAAGATATATACGGAAGCGGGAGAATTACAAAAGGCTGAAGATATTCTCATCGAGGGAATCGCCGCTGGTAAACGAAGCCTTGGCGCAGATCACCTTGGGGTGTTGATGGGCTGCGGAGAACTTGCTCGAACTTATTCTCGTCAGGGTCGCCTAGACGAAGCTGTGACACTGCTTATGTCGACCATCGACAAGATCAAGATTTCTCGAGGCAGCGAGCACATTGATTACGCTACCGGAATGTGGAGTTTAGGTCTGTTATGGGAGAAAAAGCAGGAGCAAAGCAAGGCGATGGATGCCTATCAAGTCGCGCTCGAAGCTACAGAGAAGAGGTTAACAGCAGAGCATCCTCTCTACAAGATTATCTCGGATCGCATGATACTCCTAACAGAGAGCCGTCACGGAAACGACTCCAAAGAGAGTATAGAAAATGACTCGGTCACAAATGGCGTTGAGGACATGCAAATAAAACCTCTGCATGCTACGCAGACCTGGTAGAAAGGCCATGCTTAACTCGTCCCTTTGATGTGCTATTATTGATGAACTTGATGTTTTACTAAAGGAAATACCATTAATATCGTTTGTTTGGACATCTACTGTTCAACTACGTATTACAATATGTTTCTCGTAGACATCTTTGACACAATTAGTGTGATTCCGGGATTCTAGATTCCTTGCTATATACCCGAGGACCTTTTACGATATTAGTGTCAGACACACTACAGAAAACCTCGTAAGTGCATATTACTCTCTGCCAGCGTGTCCTAGTTGTCGATTTCATGTTGTTTAGTTGGAGAGCCCGAACCTGTCTGATACCCGTACAATATGGACCCTAATACGTATTCCCATACCTAGCGATAGGCGGAAAATAGATAAAGTCACATTTCTTATAAATTGTCAATAAACCTGAAGGTGTAACATGTGCAATGAAAAGTCGCGAGACAGGTAACAATTTAGAGATCCCAGATCACTGACGGAATTTCTCCATCCAGCTTCTTTTCTGCAAGAAGGGTTCCGGGAGCCCCGGAACGTTTATCCCACTGAGCCACGGCAACACTTTGGCTGCTTTCCAATGCCACCGCAACCATAGTCTTGGTACTTGCGATGCTGAAGTGGCGAGGGGAGGAGCCATAGGCTGGATACAACCCGAGGAAAGAAACCTTCTCAGCCTCTTTTCCACTAGGGTCAGCGCACATGAATACGGCGAAGGAGTCTTCATTTGGGCCGAATGTGTTGTCGAGACGGTTGGAGACGACTATATGATTGTTTTCGGGCTATGAGACAAGATCATGTTAGCTGAGGAATCGGATTGAACGATATCTTTGGGGCAACGCCCGAGACTTACCGAGATTGCAATTTCAGCGGCCTTGGAGCCAGCAGGAGAAGATCCATCACCATATGTACTTCCCTCGTAGATTTTGCGGAAGGAAATTCCGTTGTCTGAATAGGTCACCCGGAACCCACTCAACTCGTTGCTGAGCTCCTGCACAAGGTAGAAGTAGACATCTGATGCTGTGCTGTTCGATCCGCGGGGGGTCCAAAACACACCGTGCCTGGGTCCAGATCCTGGGTTCACGGCCAGTGGCTCGATCGGTTCAAGAAGACCAGTCAACGGGTTGACATGGAAGACGCGGACGACATCGGCTCCAAGGTCGGGTACGAGGACAAATCGTCCGGTAGGGTCGACAACTACTCCATGGGGATGGGGGGCATCTTGGCGAGAAGCGACCGGACCAGGAGCGGCCATCTGGTATGTGAAGGTTTGTTCACGCTTGAAAAGTCCCAGGACAGGGTCCACGGAATACGTCGAGACAGAAGATCCGGAGCTATAATACCAGAGCGAAGTCAGCACCTCGTACCATCTTGCGTGCAACTCTCTCCAGGGATTCGATGGGGACCTTACTAGTGCGCCACAGCAAAGAGCTTGCGATTCGGGATCCTAGGTGCAGAGTACATGGCAGACATGACGGGGCCGGCGGGGGTCTTCAGTTGCGCAAGCTTGGAGAGTGTCCCATCTGGATGAGTTCTCAGGGTGGTTATAGTGCCATTGGAAGCACCGATTGCTTCATCGAGGCAGTACAAGACACTATTGGGACTATCCAGCATCAGCCAAGACGGGCTGCTGCCGCACTCAGTTGTCTGGGAGAGGGTAGACAGCTCATTGGAATCGGAAAAGTCCAACGAGGTAACAAGACCAGCGTACGATGCCGCATAAAGCTTCGTAGCAAGGGCAGCATGCCCAAAAAGGGATGCCGCAAAAAAATACAGACAACGTCTTCATTGGGTCTCTTCTTTCTGCTCTGGTAATTGAATGGCAAGGCTGGAGAATAAAGACATGACTGAGGTAGTTGACAGTTTTTCTATGTCTGAGAGTTTGTCTTCAGGGATATGTCGAAATGAACGAAGTCCCCACTGTTCCACTAATTTTAGATGTATATTCCCCCCCTTGATTCCTATTGTTCAAAATTGTGTACACTTGATAGGGTATGGTTTGTTCATTCTCTTATCGCGCACATGGGGCTGGTTCGGTATAATGAGTTGCCACTCTTGGCGCCAATGCGGTTTTGAGTTTCTGACGACATTCCCCTTCTCGGCATGCCGAAAATGAACCCGATTGAATACGATGCCGATTGGTAACATAACGAGGCCCAGATCGAGGCCCAGACTGGAGAACGCCCTCGAATTATGAAGCACTCATGGGCCAGACTTTCATGTTTAGTCTATTTACGGATGTTCCTTATCATCATGAATTATATGATTACATGACATACACAAAGTTTCAAGGTTGCCTTCGCTATTTTGGTCAACAAGGTTCTCAAAAACAAGATTTGGAGTTTCCTGGCACTTTCAAGTCTGCAGTTAATATACTGAAATCAATAACCTTGTACAGTCCATATATTATCACGCCCAATTCCAATTCAGGCATCGGATTAGAGATCTACGTACAAGTCCAATGGAGATCGATCCCTCGAAGTAGCACTCCGTACCTAACAAGGCGTACTAGGAGTTGGTACAGCCCTGGAATGATCTACTGCTGACATTACCTGTCAGCAAGGCCCGCTTCCTCGTATCCAAAATTAACTATACGGAATATGCACGGAAGGATTCAATTTCAACAGACTGGGCTGATGAAGGCCCCACCTCTCTGACATGTAATCTCGGATTTTAGCACAGGTACACCCACGGAGTTGGTTATTCCTCCCAGATAGGACACCGGTGCATGAAAGTTAGTATGAAGATAGTTTGACCGGTCCCAGGAACCGACTCGCCAAGATGTGCAGAACTTTATTTTCTGCAGATCAGCCGGTAGATTCCATTCCGTGAAACTGACGATTGATATCGCACCCCTATTGCACCATACCACGTGTTGTAACCGGGATCGTAGAGCCCTCCGTGGGTATTGTTCAAGCATTTGAGGTTCGGTATCAGTATAGTATCAAAGACGCAATTGTTACGAACATATATATTTGATGCTTCCGATCGTCATTTCACGTACACCAACCTACTCTTTTCCTTTCGTTTCTATATACATTGCCCTCCGGGCTATTTTTCCTCATCATGAAGTCCGCTATTATCACCTCCATCCTCTTCTCTGTGGCTGCCGTCCAGGCCTATAGCCCGGCTGAGCAGATCGACGTCCAGTCTCACCTGCTTTCCGACCCCACCAAGGTCGAGGGAAAGACTTACGACTATGTCATTGCTGGTGGTGGTTTGACTGGTTTGACCGTGGCTGCTAAGCTGTCCGAAAACCCGAAGATCAAAGTCCTCGTGATTGAGAAGGGATTCTACGAATCCAACGATGGACCGATCATCGAGGACCCCAACGCCTATGGGGAGATCTTTGGAACTAGTGTGGATCAGAATTATCTCACAGTTCCCCTTATCAACAACCGAACTGGAGAAATCAAGTCTGGTCTCGGTCTTGGTGGCTCAACCTTGATCAACGGCGATTCCTGGACCCGCCCAGACAAGGTCCAGATCGACTCATGGGAAAAGGTCTTCGGCATGGAGGGCTGGAACTGGGACAATGTCTTCCAGTACATGCAGAAAGCTGAGCGCTCGCGCCCCCCGACTGCCGCCCAGATTGAAGCCGGTCACTTCTACGACCCGGCCTGCCATGGAACAGACGGAACCGTTCATGCCGGCCCTCGCGACAACGGCAAGCCTTGGTCCCCACTGATGCGAGCCCTCATGAACACCGTCTCCGCTTTCGGTGTTCCCGTCCAGAAGGACTTCCACTGCGGTCACCCCCGTGGTGTCTCGATGATCCCGAACAACCTCCATGAGAACCAGATCCGTGCTGATGCCGCTCGCGAATGGCTTCTTCCCAACTACCAGCGCGATAACCTGCAGATCCTGACTGGCCAGAAGGTCGGAAAGGTTTTGTTCAACCAGACCGCATCTGGCCCCAAGGCTGTTGGTGTGAACTTCGGTACCAACAAGGCTGTTAACTTCAATGTCTACGCCAAGCAGGAAGTGCTGTTGGCCGCCGGATCTGCCATTTCCCCTTTGATCCTTGAATACTCCGGTATTGGTATCAAGTCCGTTCTTGACAAGGCCGGTGTTAAGCAGCTCCTTGAACTCCCTGTTGGTCTCAACATGCAAGACCAGACCACTACCACTGTTCGGTCCCGCGCCAACAACGCACCTGGACAAGGCCAGGCCGCTTACTTTGCCAACTTCACCGAGGTTCTCGGCGACCATGCTGCCCAGGGTATTGAGTTGCTGGACACCAAGCTTGACCAGTGGGCCGAGGAGACCGTTGCCCGCGGTGGTTTCCACAACGTGACTGCCCTCAAGATCCAGTACGAGAACTACCGCAACTGGCTCCTCGATGAGGATGTTGCATTTGCCGAGCTCTTCTTCGACACTGAGGGCAAGATCAACTTCGATATCTGGAACCTTATCCCCTTCACTCGCGGTTCCGTCCACATCCTCAGCAGTGACCCTTACCTCTGGCAATACGCGAATGACCCCAAGTTCTTCATGAATGAGCTGGATCTTCTCGGCCAGGCCGCTGCCACCAAGCTGGGTCGTGAGCTCTCTAGCGCCGGTGAGATGAAGAAGTACTACGCTGGCGAGACCATTCCCGGCGACAACCTGCCTCAGGATGCCACCGTTGAGCAGTGGGAGGACTACGTGATGATGAACTTCCGTCCTAACTGGCACGCTGTCAGCACCTGCTCCATGATGTCCCGCGAGCTCGGTGGTGTCGTCGACGCTACTGCCAAGGTCTACGGTACTCAGGGCCTCCGTGTCGTTGACGGATCCATCCCTCCCACTCAGGTGTCCTCTCACGTTATGACCGTTTTCTATGGTATGGCCTTGCGGATCGCCGAATCCGTCCTTGAGGACTATGCCCAGAAAGCTTAGTTGGATTACTTGGTGTGGATGGTCATTTTGGCAAAAGACAGATTTGGTCGATCATCCCGACAGTGGGAAATTCCTTCCCGCTTTTGGATTTGCGAGGGGACTCCGCACTCAATAATGTCCTGACT